GGGCTCAGTCAATTTTCACAAAACTCCTTGAAGGCGCTGCTCAGCCTAGAGGATCTTCAGGCAACTCATGTGTGAAACTCTGTGGTTTTGTCGAGCAGTCGTCAAAGTCGCAGTCCCAGAGCCTGAGACTTTGGGCGTATTCTAGAGACGTCACTATCAAGCTCTTCAACTTTTATGTTGAGTGGAATGAGTCGGATAATCACCGTTCCATGAAGCTTGTTCTCGATTTGCTCCCTCAACTTATCAGGAGAAACCCGGATGAAAAAGCAGGCCAAGCGACCAAAGCAGCCATCTTGGATAACCTGATATCGATCGTAACTGGAAAGTCATCTAAACCTCTGGCCAAGTCTGCTATCAAGGCATTGGATCATCTCCTTACCAAGGACATTGTTGCCCTGGATGAGATACGTTCCAGCTATGCCACTCTCCAACAAAAGAACAACTCGAATGATCCTTTGGATGCGTGGAAACCATTCATTTTCGAATTGTTGCATTGGATGACCCTTCACTTTGTCTGCCCTACGGCGGGAAGATTTATCGTCAGTTTATATCGCGGTCTACGAAGCCAAGACCAACAAGAAACACAAGTTGAGCTGAGCATTGAGACATGGCACAAATGGCTTCTCGAGGCCGTCAATGAAGAACCCTCAATTTTGGAGTCTGTAAAGAACTATATTTTCTTACCCCTTTTCAAGGCCGACAAGGCAGAAGCCTTGGGCTTTTTGAAGAGAATGAACGAAAATGAAGCAGTCTCTGCAGGTGATGAGATAGATCTCAACCTCCCGGCTTTGTTACAACTGGCTGCTCTTGAGATTGGCAAGAAGGTTGGTCTGGTGGAAGAGCCTGCACTGGGCGATGACAAGTCTGCAGACAGCGACTCATCAATCGTCCTTGATGAAAAGGTGCTTGAAAGTGTTCTGGCCCACCCATCTCACGAAGTTCGTTCCCTGGCTCTGTCACTACTAATGAGTTCGCCATCAACAACACGACCATACTCATCAACAGCCCTTTCTCTGCTCCGAAAACACCTGGCCACATACTTTGCTGATTCGGATGCAAAGTTCCGAAACGAAGTGGCTGGCAAGGTGCGAGATATGTTCAAAAGAGTTCGTGGTGCTATATTCGTGCTCAAGAAGAGCATCCCAAGAGCAGCTGCTCGCAAGCAAAAGGAGCAGCCTGGGCAAGCGCAAGAGTCTCAACATATTCTGTATCGAACCAATTTGATTTCGCTCCCAGAAGCTCAGCTCGTCCACTGCCTGGAATACCACGAGAAGTTCCTTTCCTGGTACATGGGCTTCTTGTGTAGCGAGTTGATACCAACAGCGTCTTATCAACGACACAGCGCTTCGCTCAAGGCAGTAACTTTCATTCTTCGAATGGAGGGAGAAAAGTCAAAGACATGGGAGACTACGGATGATCAGACACTCTTCTTTGATCAGTTTGGTGGTTCGTGGTTACGAGCGTTATCTGACCTGGTCATGGACCCTTTTGATGACATCCGAAGCCACGCAGCTACTGTGATGAAGTGGATCTTCTCAGATAGCCGTTACAGGAACTTCCATCTTATGGCCCAACAGGGCAAGATGAGTCCTGCTGAAGAGCTTACCGAATTGCTGAAGCGATCCGAAGAGCTTGCCCGCAAGACTGCTCGAGCTGATCATTCGGACGGTGTAGCTAGAGTATCTCAGCTACTTTACCGATTCTCTGAGAAGGAGGAGCAACGTGTTGCTCTTCTTTCAAAGTTAATAGGCGGTCTAGAGGACCGGCTAGCAGTAGCTGAGAAAGACCTCGGCAGGGCAGTTCTAGACGCGCCGCTCCATGGAGATTTTGCATCTATGTGCTACATGTGGCAGGTAGTTTCAGAGCTTCAATTCTCCGACAGTGAGTTGCAGTCTGTACAGGCCCTCCAGGATACTCTCGTCACCTGCTGTGAACGTGTTTGGGTAGCTGTTCGTGACATTCTCTGTGACGACTCGCCCGAGGGCCATCTTCCCCAGGAGCTGGAGGAGGTTGACGGCCTTGACACAAAGGACGTGCTGAGCTATAGCTTCCGATCAGTTCATGAAGCAAGGTCAGTTGTCAAACGTTCTTATTATAATCGATTGACTAACGTGCGGCAGCAATCTTATGAGAATTTTAATTCTCTCTACCAAGCAGCGATCTCGCCAAGGCAGAATTTGCCCACCGAAAGAAGCTTATGAGAGAATAGGAAATTTGACCTTCACCCAACTCGCCACTCTTAGACATCGAGGTGCTTTCACTACCGTCGCCCTAACATTCTCAACATGCTGTCAGCTGGTTAAGCATTTGAACCAAGGAGAAGATGGTGCCACAAGCGGCACGACTCTACTCGAACAATGGTACTCTGTAAGTCAAGTATCCTCGATACTCTATTTCCCATCACAAATGGAGCGTGCCAATTTTGAAGGGTATGGAAACTAACTCGCAACAGGGTACGCTAGAAGCGATCAATGCCCAAGTGTCAACGACTCGACGCTCTGCCGGTATCCCTGCCATGATGACAGGCGTTCTCTCTGCCAACGCTGCTAAACCCTCGTTTGAACAAGTCATGTCGGAGCTTATGGCAATCGCCAGTCAAGAAGCCCGTGTTACCGAAACAGATGGTTCGAATCTCCCTCAGGTTCATGCCTACAACTGCTTGAAGGAGATTTTCAAGAGCTCCTTCTTGACATCCATTGGAAATAAGTCTGAGAAGTTCCTACCGCAATGTCTGGAGCTGGCAGCGAATGGTCTCAAGTCTGAGCTCTGGGCAATTCGAAACTGTGGCTTGATTCTTCTTCGAAGTCTCATTGATTGTCTTTTTGGCTCTCACCAGAGCAAGGCTACCATGGAGGCAGGCTGGGATGGAAAAGCCAACCGCATCGCTTACCACCGCTATCCATCTTTGCCCACGACTCTACTTCACCTCCTCAAGTCGGGCCACCAGATGATGGCTTCTATTGCCGCGAGTTCAGCAGCAGCAGAATCAGTCTTCCCAGCACTTGACATCATTCGAAGAGCTGGCCCACCCGAAGTCCTCCGCGAAGAGCTCCAGGTTCATATTGCGAAGTACTTGGCCAGCCCTGTGTGGCACGTTCGTGAGATTGCGGCTCGAACTCTCTGCTCGTGTCTTCTACATGCCCAGTGGCTTGATGCTATCACTAGTTTGGCCGCCGCGTCTGTTCGTTCTCAAATCGGAAACGTCCAGAACCATGTCCACGGTGTCCTCCTGGCACTCAAGTACACTATCGACCGATTGAGCGAGGTTATGCCCGAACAACTACAGCGTAAGATACACTACACATGCAAATCAGATTCTGGTACTAACAAAAAGAATAGAGGATACACCTAAGCTATCTGGGTTCCTGATTGAGTACTGGCGTGAGATCCAGTCCCTTGACTCCCCTGAGATTCCTGCCGCCTACCTCGAAGTCGTGAATTTGGTACGGGCTCTTCCTCGGCCCGGTACTGTTGAACGTCTCCAGTTCGAGTTCCCAGTCTTCAACAAGCGTGAAAGCGCTTTACTCAGAGCACAGCGTGTGATCCATGAGGTGCACTCTATTGCCGAAGGCAGTGGCCAGGTCGAGGACCTAAACTCCCTACTCCTCAGCAAGACTATGGGTGTAAACACTATAGTCGCCGGTCTTGAGACTATCCCCAAGCTCTGGAACACCTCTCACCTTTCAGAGCAAGAAGTTAACCAGTTTTTCAACCTCTACCGTGATGTTTGTATCAAGATTGGACCTGCAGAGCCCCGTGTCATTGCTTTACAAAACCTCACCGAAATTCTTGATCAAGTCATCAAGAGCAGAAACTTCGGTTTGGTTTCAGCAGACTTGCTTTCACAGATCTGGGATAGCCTGCCCTTGAGCCTCCTAAACCCGGCACTCGCAAATGCCATTGTCAGAATTAGTGGCTGCACCACAGCCATACTGAGCAAAACAAAGGCCATTTCTGCAGAAGGCATCAAGAACTGGGGTCACATGGTCGCCGACGCTGGTATGGATGACAAGGTAAGACAAAATTGCACCTGAACTTAAGTACTTGATGGCTAATATTTTAAAGGACTTCGATACACGCCTAGCTACTGTCGAATCGCTTTGTTCATTCTTCAACAGCATTGGAACGGAGCAATCTTGGGCTGGCGAAGAACATCTTTCTGCCATCCTCGCCCTCTACGATTCTCTTAACGACGATGACGATGAAATCCGCGACGCTGGAACTGCAGCTGTCAAGTGCATTCTGGGACAAGCTCTCGTCCCCATCGAAGCTGCCAACCGTCTCCTCTCATGGCTTGCACAGCGCTACGGCGACAACCCAGTGTTCCGCCAGATAATCGTGAAACGTATTATGGGCGACACCCGATACCCAGGCCCTGAGTTGAATGTCATCCCTGTCAAGGATCAGCTGCAAGAGGCGATGAAGTTTGACGACTCTCTTTTCGTCATTGAAGAACAGAACCTCTTCGTTGACGAGGTTAGAGAGACACAGAGATGGATCTCTGTTTATGAAAGCCTTGAATGGGACTCGAGCGATTCTGCACTCGAAGCACTGACAACTTGGTCAAGCGCAGGCCTAGAAGCAACACAGAATCTTGCAAGCCAAGAAGATGGACCTCTCGGGTACGGATCGAAGCCAGAGGTCTTTGCAATCTTGTCACGGGTAATCCGTGCATCTGCTGCCTTGATGCGACACCACGCCAATACTGAGTTTTGTGAGAGCATCAACAAGTCAAGCAGCGCTCTACATAATGGACAGGGACACATGTCAGGTCTGTTATTGCAACCACTTGAGAAGAGTACAAAGGCATAGAGAGTAAACTGAGTAACAACGGAAAAAGGAATGATTCGATGCTATTTGTATTTTATCGAAATAAGTGCTCCTCAACGCCTTGCAGTAAAATAGTTACGCGTGTGCCGCAGTGAATAGTAATAGTCGTCCATCACCAACCCCCCTTTCTCCCATCTCTATTCAGCAGGACTAAACATCAAGGTACTATCTCAAGCTTCCGTACTGGCTCGTTGTAGGCTTTTGATAGATGGCGATGGAGAATCAACACTGTCCAGCAAACCATTCTTACCCAACTTGCGAACAAGCATTGTGTTTTGAGCCTGCAACTCTCCAACCTGGCCCTCAAGGAGCTCAATCTGACGATGAGCAACGTCTCTCTCTGCGCGCACGCGCTCAAGCTCAAGAGACAGGTTGTTCTTTTCCTCCTGCTCAGCCGCTTTGCGTCGTCGCTCTTCAGCCTTGCGTTGGTCTCGTTCACGTTTCTCCTCGAGCTTGCGCATTTCGCGTTTATACTTTTCCTCCTGCTTGGCTACCTCCTTTTCATGCTTCTCACGGAGCTTGGCCAGCGTAGCAGCATCCTTCTCCTTATCGCCCACAAGCTTGCTTTGCCGACGCTCCTCAAGCCGGGCCAGCTTCTCATCGAGCTTCTTCTTCTTGTGCTCAAGCTTCTTAAGCTCTTTATCGGCCAGCGACTGTTGTGGGTTGGTGTGTGAAGTTTCGGAGTGCGACTCAACTAAGCTTCCGTTTGCCTTGCCCTCAGCGGTCACACTCCTCTCCAACGCAGACGCAAAGCTTCGGATGGAAGATGTATCGCTATCGACCTCATGGTGCTCTTCAGTAATGGCATGAATGTCCGATCCGTTAGTATCCGAGGACGTCAAGTCCGACCCAGTTCCCCACGTCCTCAGTAGCCCTGTAGGAATATAAGAGCTGGCAGCACCTATGGCACCAGCTAGAACTCCATAAAGACCATTGCTGCCAGGGAAGGGGTCGTCTTGGTTCTGCAAAGTGATAGTCTCGACTTTGTTTGCTTCGATGTTAGTTGTAGTGGCTGGTGTAGTCGAAGGCTGCCGCTTTTCTGACGCAGATGCTTCAGTACTCTCAGCTGTCTCCGGAGTTGCAGAAGTCTCTTCAGGCTCTTCAAACCCGTGAGCTGCTTTCGAAGTTACCCACTTAAGGAACTTGCCAGCGTCACCGACAATTCCTGGTGGCGTTCCCTTCTCGATAAGGAAGCGCGGAACGCTGCCGCCAGGATCACTTCGAGTGACCATGAGCCATTCAACAGCAGTAGCAGATTCGTTAAGAGGTTTCGGACCGTGTCCCTCGGTACCGGGCTTTTGGTTTGATATCTTGTTCTTGTCTTGTTCAAGTAAATCAGCCGACGACAGAGATCTCCTGGATGCAAAGTTGTCGACAGGAACTTCACGAATAACCTCAACTGATTCGTAGTAACCACGGATGATACCTTGACGAGGGGGGCATTCTGGGTGCTCGCACGGTTTTGATACTATCATATACTGGCGAAGAGGGCGGGAACCCTGACCAGGGCTCACGGAGGTCTCGGAAGTCAAGAGTAGGGTTACAAAGTCTCGTGGGGCGGTCGGGCCAGGGAATTGGGCAGATAGTTGAAAGACTACTGGGTGTTAGTTACCGAAGTATTTGTGTATGGGTCGTATGACTTGACTTACCTTGCAGGTGGCCATGATCACCGATGGTCTTCTCCTCAACCCGCTTGTCGGCACCAATACCACGAATGTTGCCACTACCAGGAGCGCCTTGAACCTTCATCGTCTCCGAAAATTCTACTGAAAGGCCCTTCTTCCAGTCATCAAACGAGAGTCCCTCATGGACACTTCTTCGAGCGAACCATGCGCCGCGTCCATCTTTGGCACCAAGCTTGTAAACGTTGATTCCGAGAGGATTATCTTTGGCATTGACTTTGATCTCCTTCCACTCCTTTTGTAGATTTTGCGCCTGGCTGATAGCCTCGGCCGTCTGTCGTAATGTCAGAGCTCGCTTGATCTCTGGAGCTGAAGCCGCCGATTCCGTCTTTGAACGTGCGCGCCCTCCGGTGGTTGAGGTTTCCTTTGGTGCTGGGCCTGGAATAGATTCTACGACGGTCTGTGTCTCGGAAAAGATATCGGCGAGAAATTCGTTGAGATCATCCTGGGGCACCTGTTCCCATTCGACAGGACCCATGGCCCCGAGAGGTTCATGGTGAGTACCCCCCATGGTTGGAGATATTCGGTGTGGATGTATTGTATGGTGGTGTAAGAGTTGAGAATGGCAACGTGCTTTCTAGAAGAATAGAGTATCGTAGATTAGTTATAGAATAGTTGGGATTAAAACAAGGAAGCAGGGCTTCGTTTCAGTTCAAGATGAAGACGTCAGAAGTAGGCTAAGATGAGATATGGCCAAGAGAATTAATCCGAATAAAGAAAGAAACCAAGAAGGCCTCTCACTTAATTGGACTCGATCTGTCGTGATCAATTGCCGTCATTCCCGCTCATTGACGTCACCCAAGCCCCAAACCTCCAGTGGTCCAAGCCCTACGCTACCACTATAACTTAGTGCCCGCCGAACGACCCGCCACTGTTGCTTCATTCGGAATTCTCGGATATAGACTACTAAGCTAGAGGCTGCAAGCCCCCAGACACCCCCGGATCATCTTCTCCAGGTGTCAGACGCGAAAAAAAAGAGACGGGATGAATTATGCATATTCACACTGCAGGTTCAATGAATAAGCAACTTTTAGAACACTCCAGAATTTGATGACAGATGGAATTTGTTGTCTATGTAAAGGTGGGAGAGAGTTCTATTCACCTCTCGAATATCTGCGTGTACAGCTACTAAATAATATTACTCTGCTACTCATATGTGGTGCGATTACAAAACAGACAGCTTGCGCCCCTTCATCGCAACTTGATAGTCCTGCTTACAGCTTCCACAGTAACTATCACGCCATTCCTCAAGGACTTGCCGTCTCTCAGCCGATATAGGCTCCGTGACCTTCTGCGACCCCTTAGATCCCTTGCCACTTTCGGATCCTTTCATTTGTCCCTTTGTCTCACCTTGTTGCTGGAGCATAGTGTCCAGTTCTTCGCAGAGGAGTTTTTCATCGACCAGCCAATTCTCCCACTCCGATTGAAGCATTTCTCGTTCAATACTGTTGACTACCCTCATAGCAACCAGTAAATCATGTCGATATGTTCCTAGGCGTTGCCTTGTTCGTCGAAGTCGGCGGGCTGTAGCACGGCTTGTATGCGAAGCCAAGCTGGCTCCGGCATCTTCCCATGGTGTATCCATGTCTGTCGTGTCCAGCAGGTCTTTGAACGTTGAGAAGCATGTGCTGTTTTCAGGGAAGGATAGAGCTTGGTTGTTCCCAGACGCCTCATGCAGATCGGCAAAGTAGATAGCTTTGCTCATCATGGTATTGGGCCGGATACCGACATTGTGCATGAACCCTACCGCTCTCCTCTCTTTCCACCAAACTGAAGTCTCACTTGAGGTCAGTAACAAATTGGTGAGTGTGCTGAATGCAAGCAGCGCCAGAATGATCCACTGGGCAGTGATCAAGTTGAATAAGTTGCGCAGGACCGCGATAGCCCACATGATGACTGACGAGACTGCACTTTCTCCGAAAGATCGAATTGTTTCAAAAACCATGGTCGTAAGAGTCCGGGGCTTGATCGCCTGCTTCTTTGCTGAGACTGTTGAAGCGGGTGAAAAGACTACCACCTCGGTCTGTTGCCCAATCTGTCCATAAACTTGGATCGCTCGGTTTGTTCGACTTCGCGTCCCAAGCTTTCGAATCTGATCTGTGGCAACTTCAGCCAATTCCTCAGCATCACTAGCAGCGTCGTGGATTGCCTGACGGTCAATCAGGTTCTTGGATAGAGCTGGGTTCTTCGACCAATCTGTTTTGATGTAGATAGCCAGCTTGCACTTGGATTTAGCCACATGGGTGATGACAATCTTTGTCACAACCTTGAACCAGCTTGAGTGAGGTAGATGCCAGGCCGTCTTGACGTGTGTCACCACGTACGTAACATGGTCACTGAAAACATCGATAATCTGATAGTCGTTGACGTCCGCCGTCTTTGACCGACCCAGAACATCCTTATAGTCAACCTTGAACTGGAAGTCACGCCTCATCCTGCCCTGATCTACCAGCACCCACGGTCCTTGGGCGATCTGTTGGGCTCGTCGCTCAAAGTACAGCTTCGGGAACACGAAACTCTTATCACCAAACAAAACGTGGAAACATGACTTGGCACTGATTTCAAAGTGTCGCTCGGCGGCCATTTCCTTCATGCCTTCTGGTTCATAAATGACAGGACGAACTGGTAGGTGTAGTTTGCGATTATGTCGCGCTTGCGATCTTGAAGGCCGCGATAGAGGACCGAACTCCATACGACGAGCAACCGGGCGGCCCGCTACCGTTCCATCATCCATTGGTGTATTTGCTGATACCTCTTCCCAACTTTCAACGCTTGGACTTGGTCGATCATACTCCTCCATTTCGAGATTAACCAATGTGGTGATAATAGCTTCGACGTCCATGGGCTCCTCAGCCTGAATGTCATCAATTAGGAGGTTGAGACGAGTGTGAAGAAGACCCAAGTCATCCAAGAATAGCTTGATGGTGATTCTGGTGTAACCTGTTTCGTTCGCGTTCTCATTGAGATGTAAGAAGATGAAGTCACAATCCCTTCCTGGAGCTGCCGTTACTTCACTAATAATATCAAGGCTGATACTATAGGCAGTGACAAGTCCAATTTGTTGTCCATAGAAGTACATGTTGTCGGGCGTGACATATACACGGCCGTCGCCGGCCATGTCTGGTTTACCAGGACCTCGCTCTGGAGAGCCAGTCCATGCAGCTCTGAAGACAAGTACCAGCTTCTCCTCCAAAGGTGCATCCGGGAACAATAGTCTAAATTGGGCGTGCTGAGCTCGCAGTTCGGGAGGATAGTTTCTTGGGAAGTATTCGCCTGCATCCTTTCGTTGCACGCCTTGGCCGACTGTGCTTCCAGGCACGACCACGCCTATAGGGTCGTCTTCATCAAGTCGAGGGAGCACAGGTTGAGGAGGTGCATTCACGGCACCCCAGAGACTGCTTCCCCAATAGTTTGCAACTACGCACGCGGGAAGCTTCCTATTGTTACCCACAGGCTGGCGATCCCCTGCTGTCAGAACAGCGATGCGACTAAGCCCGGTCATGGAGGGAGGCTTGGCTAGAGTTGCCGGGGCTAAACCGCCAGTTTGGGTGTCAACTGACGGCAGCATGCTGGGCGTCTGTCTGAAATTCGATGTACTTGCGATTGGACCTGGAAATCCTGGCGGGAGTGTATGGCTAGTAGCCATCATGCTTGCCAGTCCGGTATTAGAAGCCGAACCTCCCTGCATTCCGTCAGGGCCTTGATTGCCAAAAGTAGCTTTGCGGTGGAGGTCGAGCTTCTGGATGATTCTAGCAGCATGCTCACGGCCGCTTTCACCCTCTTCTCTGGCAAGATCTCGACTCAAAGAAGTTATAGTACGACGAGAAAGGCTGCCGTTAACATCAAAGCTCTGTCGTGTGCTGAGGTTGCCGTCTGGTCCAGGTACAGGTAGTGTGCTCGTGCGATCAATGTTGGGAGTTGACTCGTCGTAAATACCGATCTGTGCATCCAGGGCCTTGGCTGAGAACTCAGGAATGCTTGGGGGAGAGATCGAAAATGCAGGATCAACAGACCCGGGCAGAGAAGCGCTGTTTCTGTTCATGGTGGTCTCGAAAGCGCGCTTCTTTGTGACCTCGAATACCTCCAGCCACTCCGTAAGTTCACCTTGCGTTTCAGCTTGAAGTAGGATGGTTTGACTCTTTGTTTTGACCTCAAAACAGAAGCGTCTGTCCTCGGCAACAGCTGGCTTTGCGTTGCAAAGCAGAACGCCGATTTCATCGCCCTGAAGAACTCCCAGAGGTCCAGGTATTAACCAGCCAAAGATGCCATCACGGCAATAGTACCACCTCCTGATCCAGGTGTGTCTCGCTGGCTTGCCTTGGAGCACTCGGAGGAACAGCCACCCTTGCTTCTCGGACACAACAGAAGCACCCTCTTCAAGGCGCACGGTAATAGGACCGCGACTACCGAGAAAGGGGACGGTCGAAGTACTGTAATCCTCAATCTCACGGGACGGCTTAAATCCCGTAAGGGCGTTCTCTCCGATTTCTCTTCGGGCAGATTGTAACTCCCGTCTGAATACCATTTCCGACGCTCCCATCTCATTTGACCAACCCTGGATACGCTCCATCTCCTGATTCCAGCGGCTGGTGTCGCCAGCAGCTTCTCTTGTGCGCCTCAGCTGGCTCCATCGTTCGCTACAAATCTTAACCAATAGCTTGTCCATGCTAAAGCGTAGTTGAGGTGCAAGCTGACAGTAATCCATCGATGCTTTGAGGTACGCTTTTCGTGTCTCGAAAACGGCAAATGCATCCTCACGCAAGGCTGACGGCTCTTTTGTCTTCGACTGGCTGACGTATCGAGCGAGTGTTGAGTCAAAGGTTCGCTGCGCCTGGTCCATAGCCCTCCTGCACTCCTTGAAGTTCCTGAGGTCGCCAACAATAAACTGCCGGATAGGGTCGACGACTGTACCATCCATCTTCTTCATTGTGCTTATCATCTGTATCCAATACTCGCGCCAGCCATCACCCACCCTTTTCAAGGCCAGAAACGTATAATCATTGTCGACAACGCCGTCAGACACCGAGGGCATCGTCTTTACGAGGAAGGTATTGATGGTCTCCTCAAGGGCGAGGATATCGTGCAGGAGCTTCGAGGTGGACTGGGCATATCCGTTCAGCCATTTTTCGATAGCATCGACTTGATCGCCAAAGTTGGCAGCGGTTACTCGAAAGGTCGGAGAGTCGAGAGCTGCCTCGTTGAGGCCGACGGGGATAGCGCGGCCAGCCTGGTTAGCCGCTGCTGGCGGGGAGTCAGGCTGTGATTCGGGCATTATAAGAAATAATTATGTTGGAGCGCCGGACAACAGCTTCAGTTGATACTGAGCTGCAGTCTTTTATGGCGCAGAAAAAGGAGAATTATATGACGGTGAGAAGATGAGTTGGAATGATGTTGACGAGATGGAGGTGGCCTTTGATAGGCCATTACGCTCGGTACGAACAGTCTAGGTCAGGGACCTGAAGTTGCGTTGACGTAGCGCACCCATGTCATCTATGAACCCCCACACAGCGCCTACTGCAGAAACACCGGAAACGGGTCTGGATAGAATACGCGGTCCCGGTACGAAAGACAACCTAGCTAGCCTCAATTTTATGAGATATGTTGGTTCCCCTGAACATGGTCTTTACCAAACTGAATGTCAATGGCTACGGCTACACAAGAGAATTGATCACATCACGTTTACATTTCAAGTGGCCATGCAAGCGACTTGTATTTTGTTGACTCGACATGTCGTGCCTGCTCATGACTATATAAGAAGCCTTGCAGCCATCCCATACCGATTCTCCTCAAATACTAACGATATTCAGGCCGGGCGTTGACTTGCCCATGCTGGCCTTCACAATCCTCTAGTCGCCGTGCCGCCGCTATCCTTCAATTTTAATGGTTGGGTCTACCAGCCGTTAGACCTGACATTCTGGTTTCTTGAGGTGCAGGAATTGGAGGGCTCTGTGTACCTCTATTCCCGTCGATCATAACTCAAGCCGTCATCATTGTGCGAAGCGGACTGGGTCGCGATGCCGGGTGGGAAGAATGGAGAGGCGAGAGACTGTCCCTCTCCACCAAACACTGTTGGGCGATTGACATCGGCGCGGCATCGGTCGACCTCTGCGCCTCAGGGCGCATGGCACTGCTGTTGTACGTGGACAGATGAACTTGAGTCGATCCCTCGCTGGTCACGAGGGGATCTGCTGGTCAATCTGATCTTCTGTTAGATTCAAAAAGTTTGTTTCAATCATGGCATTGTCTACTCACCGTCGTAGTAGTCGTCGTCGTCGCTCACTTCAGCAAGCTGCTCAAAGTTGACCTTGTATCGGAGAAGACCGCCGATACCACCGAAGCCCTTAACGAACTGGTTGCCCTCGGTGGAACGATCAGAGACGAACTCAAGGGTGGTACCAAAGTCCTTGTAGTGTTCAGCAATCCATTCCAAGAAGGACTCCTGAGCAACAATCTCCATCTCCTGGCCAGTCTCCTTGTCGAGGAACTTGTCTCGGCTGCTCTGCTCTTGCTGTTTGGTGGTGTGGAGGACGGTCTCGGTGCCGTTGCTGTCCTTGAGAACCCAGCGGGTGATCTCAAGGTTCTCAAAGACGATAAGAACCTCAACAGCACCCAGCTCAAGGGCCTTGAGGGTATCCTCGATACTGTAGCAGACCTTGCCGGTATCCTGGCTAATTTCCTCAAAGTACTTTCCAATGAGCTTCTTCTCCTGAATGAACTTGACGTTACCAAGAGTCTCGGAAGACAGCTCAATAGCCTGGTTGAAACCGTTCTCACCACCGTAGGAAACATCGACAACCTTGATGACCTTTGTCGCAAGACGGTTGTCAAACAGGTCAGAGGCGTTAAGGTCGCTCTTGAAATCGGCGGAACCAGCAAGGATGAGACCAGCGACGTTGACCTTGTCGGCGGTGATAAAGTTCTGGACGGCCAACTCGGCAACCTTTCGGACGTAGTTATGACGCTTTTCATCTCGCAGACGGGCGAAACGGAGAGCGGACTGACCACCACGACCGTGCTTCTTGGGAAGATCGACAGAGAACTTGTGGACAACTTCACGGGTGTTTCCGCTCAGGGTTCCGAACAGGGCACCGTTACCATCCATGATGATGAAACCGAACTTTTGATCGGACTCGAGCAGCTCAGCCAAGGCCTCAGTGTGGAACTTGTTGTCGCACAGGTAAAGGGAGGTGTTGATGGGCTTGAAGGGCTCGAAATCGATGTTGACCTTTCGCTCCTTTCCTTCCTGGGTCAAGATTTCACCACAGTAGACGACGAGGCCATTCGGGGGGACCTTGTTGTACAGCTTAAGACGCTGCTGGGTCGAAGTAATGGCGGACAGGACGGACTGTCGGTTGACTCGAGACTTGATGTTGGAGGCGGTACCCTAGGGCATGTTAGCGTCGCTACAGCGACATTCTGTTGGAGTGAAGAGATCGTACGTATTCTTCAGCCAACATCTTGGCAGCTCGAGAGACTTGATCCTTGGGAGCTAAAAGGCACACAAGTTAGTGCGTTGTTTCGAGATCGCGGCGAAAGGATCGGACGACTTACGAATAATGAGGGAAATCATTGAGGTTCCATTTCCTCTGGCGGCTTCAAGACGCTTGATGAGCTTCTTGACCTTCCAGATCTCAATCTATTGTAGACATTGTCAGATATTGTCGCTATTGTTTATTATTTCGGAGGATGATGACAGAGTCTTTAATTTCTCGATCGCGGGGCAAACACCACACAAGAAATAAGGAAGAGGGGCATTGGACTCGACTCGACTTACGTTCTTCTCGGCTTCGTTCGCCTGAGGGTCACTCATTTTAGCGGTTAGGACTTGGCTCAGACCTTGCGAGTGATTTTTTGTCTTTGCTAAGGGGTTCTCCTCGCAAACTTGGGAGTAGTTGAACTATTAAGTCGGGACTCTGGAGCCTGAAGATCCCAAAAGTTGGATGTTAGTGCCAGATTTTTTTCGCACAATGAGCGATGACCTAGCTGGGTCACATCCAAGGCACCCGTGGCGGGTCTGATTCATGGGTACTAGCCGGACACTGGACGGAAAGTTCCTCAGGAACCCAGGTTGCCAGCCCGGTCACTGGACTTTCAGGCACCTATTAACCTTCAGCCCAGCATAAAACGTGCAATGCTATAGTGGTTGATAGAAATGTTAGGCCATATTTAGTGGATACATAGCCTAAGACCGTAGGTACTAGTTTTTTCGCCTCCAGGCACGACCTGTTGACTCCAGATCTTGTAAAGGGAGTTTGCACATTTCCATGGCTCTCTTGAGTGGGGCATGCACTAAGTTGATGCCTTACCATAAAAACAACGTCACAGCTGCCAGGTGACAAGTAGTATTGGTGGTTCTACAGACTCTTTCCCTCGCTCTTAAGCTTTAAGTTAGGTGGCAAGTAGCATATCATTTATCTTAGAGTTGTGGCAAGTAAGGGTGCTGTACAGTGGTTGTTCCAACATAGAACATTTTGGTTGCATTTCAGTCACTAACATAGTCCAGGCATCCCGAGATCAAAAGGAGATAAATGTCCAAGTTTCAACACCTTCTTGGTCAATCCTATAGCTAACAGTATCTATGGCACTATACATCCATGTATCTAATTCACATTCGTGTTTCCTTCTCAATTTGCTCTCGCTTTACCTCATTGACCCCTCGTATTGACCAGAAGAGGTCAATGATAAAGCTAATGAACAGTAAACCAGCCGCAGCTGGCACAGCAAACTCATAGAAGAAAAAGACCAGCACAATAAGCCCAGCGGCAAAGAAAAGGATGGCACAGATGGCAGTATATGTGACCGCTTTAGCATTAGTGAGAGCTATGTCAAGAACATCTGCCGTTGACTCTTGAGAAGGGAAAAGAAACTAGAGAAAGTCGGTCAAATTACCCTGTGATCGAGGCTAGGCGAGGAAGGGGGAACTTACTGTTTTGCCTTCTTCAATCTCGAGTGTATTTGTCCTTCGTGGGGTCATCCACCTGGTCATTGAATCGACCCTTGACCCGAAGCCGGCATTGCTTGAAAGGTCTGGCTGACTATACGATGCTGAAGCCATGGGCATCAAAGAGTTTCCGTAGGTCTTCGACGGACCCCCTTCTGCAATGTTTGTCAGATTCCTTTGTGTCCCCTGGGACATGGCTCGGCTGGACGAGGCAGCAGAGCCCTCGAGTGATGGAGGAACATGTATCGATGCAGGATGTTTCTTCATCTCGGTTTCGATCTCTATTACCCGGAAGTTCTTGATAGCTACCATAGTTAGCAGCCAGTCAAGCAATTTCATGTACAGAACTTACTGCCAACCTCGACAACAGTCAAGGCGATGACAATTAGCAGGAGCATGGGCATAATCTGGCCAAAGCTCACAGTAAAAAGCTCTTTGGTGTCGACATTTCTATAAAAGAGACCATTGACCAACGTGTATATGGCCACACAAAACGAACAAATGGCAATGATGAGCTCGGATAGAACTGAGCCAAATATTTCCCCGACGACTGGGGGTACAACGATGCTGAAGGCTTTCCAAAAATTGGCTTGGTGCTCTAATATCGCGACATTCCTTCGATTGATACGTTGGATCTTGTCTTTCCTGCGCTCGAGGTAGGTCTGAAGATCTACCTGTCCTTGATGGCCCTGATATATCCACCCCAGTATTATGTTCTTCAATGCTCTGTTCTCGACACTGTAACTTAGTGAAGTGTCCAATTTGATTGACCGGAACGCATTCCAGTAGACAAATACCATTAGCAAAGCTATTCCAACTGACCTGAGCGCTGGTATCCCCAGGCGAGGAGATATAGGATTGTGCAGTCCGCAAACAAATAATCTTTTACTTGGCTCGAGCAGCGTAGTGAGGTCAAGGATGAGGGTCGCCACTAGAAGTCCCATGAACAACATCATTATGGCACCCCTCAAGATGGCTTGCTTGGGATGTTTTTTGAAATATGACTTGAGAACCAGAAGGGTGCACAAATGAACACTGGACGATAAATATCCCAGCTGGGCACCGATATGAAAAGAGTACAACGAGACCTTGCAGACCTGAACATACATGGCGATGAGATAACACAGACCAACAGCCAACATCTGATCGCTCAGCGCGAGGAGAAGCGACTGGTATCCAAGATTGCTGGGTGCATCGCTGGCTGGTTTCCTGACACCAATCCAGTAGAGAACTTTCTCATCGACACGCATGTATTGTTGCTTGGGTATTCCACGCTTCACTACAGCCATTATGGCTACAAACACCGATATGGCCGCCGTGATGACGAAGGACAATATTACCTGTGATTAGCATGTGAGCTTGTATAATGACAGTTAAAGAAGCGCTAGCTCTCACCCCAATTCCATTCATATCAGGGTCTTGCACATTCTCGGCTAGATTGCTGCATCGCCGGGCGCTGTTACAAAAGCTCATATTGGCGGCATTATACGATCAATGGAACAAACAGAGACTCATTTCAGTTTTCGTGTTGAGAATAAAGTTGACGCAATGGAGATCTAGTGGACTTGACGTCGCCGATCATCTCTCGAGGCATGTTTGCCCTATCCTTGTTTTACGCCAGAGACAAATGCTGACAGGCAGCTACTGCGACTCAATACAATGATGTATGTCATTCTGCAGCCGATCTGGAGAAGCACGTTGGTTCATTTTTAACGTCGATTGGCTTGATGGTTCCTGAATCGATATTGGGGGCCAGAATTGGAACAAAGAATATCAGTTCCAGTCGACGAATAGTTACTCACTCTCTGAGCAGTGGGTAACGGGAAAGTTAACCTCTAACTACTATAGAGTACAGAAATAAACAGCATAAGATCTGACGTAAGTAGCATAAACTGACCTACTATTTCGTCTCTTATGCTCAGTGGACAATTTTCTAACACCCAAGGTCTCTGATAATATAGAATTATTTATATCCGTACTTAGTCAGCCTTTCGTGTCGCCTTACAACTCTTTATGCCAATCAGGCCTTCCCCACCACCTCCACGCGCTAGTCTACCGCCTGGCAGTAACCTTCCGCAGCTCGGCCATGCGACGTCAATCACTATCATCAACCACCAGCAATTCGAGAACGTAGAGCTACTCTACCAAAATTCAACTATTTTATCTTAGCCGGGTTTTCAGAAACTCGCCCACACAAAGATGGAATCAGGGCCAACTGAACTTGCGGCCACCATCCAGGCTGCAAGCATCGAGCACAACCCGGATGCCAAACTAGACACCAACCCGGCCACAGCCGCTGATAGAAGACAACCCATGACTCTCGACCACGACGACGGTATCGATGAAGACGATGATGAAGAAGAAGATATTCCATACAGTGTTCTCCGACCCGCTCCACGACACTCCAACCTTCCTCCTCTACCAGACCTGCGCTTCGAGCAGAGCTATTTGCGAAGTATCTCCAAGGCCGATACATGGTGGAAGGTGGCACTCATAACGACAAGGGACCAGGTACACACAAATCGAACCCGCTTCATACAGGTTCCTCTAATAGTCGTTGCAGATCTTGATGCCCTTGACCCAGGGTCTAGCATACAATTTGTTCCTTTGCGGCTGGCAGCACTGGAACAGAAATGCTCAACTACACGGCAATACAGTAGGCGCGCGAGTGAGACGCTGGTGGTGGGGAGTCAACAACTGTAAGTCATGGAGTAATTTTATGGTTCATGAGAGACAGCTAATAATTAAACAGGGCATATACCTACACATAGGAAGAGGGTTTGAAAAAGGTTGTGTTTGAGATAAATAGGCCGCGTATACGGTGGGATACAGTATCCCTGTTACGTATCAATTGCTTACTCTGAAAACAGTAAATGAAAATCCAGTAATTAAAAGATGCAAAACGTCAGGTCAAACTGAGTTATAAAACAAGCTACAAATGTGCTATTCGCCCTCGGTCGTCATTATTATTGAAATGACATCCAGGCAAACTCACATATATCATATCCATGACAAACGAACATTGAGCCAGTCAGCGAGGCCCAGCTATGTGGCAATTACTTGTGCCTGAGAACTATCGAGAATATCAGATGGAACATACAGAAACGTCATGCACACTGCAAATGCAGTTCTGTTGAGTTTATAATTGGTATAAAAACGAGCATGCCTTGGCTATAGTCGCTCGCTCTAACTATTATTTTATCCATTCTTAACAATAATGGTTCTAGGTAGGTATATTCTTCTCCACCAGGCAATACTGCAGTACTGCCTAAATAAAGGGTGCAAGTCCTAGTAACTCACAATGCCTTGTTTCCTTTGATGCCTCAGTTCTATACCGCCATAATGCCAGCCTTTAGCTTCAATAACTCTATGCCATTTGATTCCTTTGTTCCAAAACTCCAACGAAAAAAGTAGTGTCTGTTATACAACCAACTCCTACGGGTGGTTTGCGATAACACCGAGCGGCCGGGGTACACGCTACGTTTGTGTCTTTTCTGGACTCCCTCTAAAAGCCAAAGATGTCGCATGAATGGTTCCCGGTGTCGAATTCTGGCGTTCAGCCAAGTCGGGATCTGGGTTGGGAGACTGCTGGGTTGTAGGCTGAGATTCCTTGCTAGGAGTAGCTGCCAGCGCATCCTCCATCTCAACCGTCTCCCCCGAAGGTCGAGACTCTTCCGCCGCTTTATCAGAGCTTGGCGTTGGTAGTTTGTTCCCAGTCTGTGCGTTGCACTCGAGGACGTTCCGCAATTTGGGTGGTGTGACTGAGAGCTTCACAACCAAGCTTTGGTTGTGCTCTTCTAGGTCATCATCCGCCATGACTTCATCCTCATCAAGCTCATCCTCATCTTCTGATTCCCCAGATACGTGTTCGTCGACATCTTCTTCATCATCCCCAAATTCGGCCTCACTTTCTTCGTCAGAGTCGTCACTGGCGTTACGTCGAGAAGTCTTCCTGGGTTCGGCCCAACCACTTTTACCGTGGTTCACTGCCGCTGATCGTCGAGGTCGTCCAGTTGGACCAACAGACGTATCTTTCTCCACTTCGGATGTGTCTCCTTGCACACTACCAGGGGCACTACTTCCGGTCGTGGGGTTGAGGCGAGTTGGCGCCTTGATCTGTCGGCCGCTGGCGGTAGTGAGAGGGCCGGTTTCGACGGGAGTATGAGTTCCGGTGTTTCGAGTAGATCGACGAGTGGTCGAGTCGGTTGTGAAGACATCTTCATCGTCAGAATACGTATACTTCATCTTTTTACCCCTAGTACGACCTTCGTATAGCGAGAATCCAGGCTCAGGCCGTTTAAACTGTTCCTTGCGCATCTGCCGATAATCACGACGCTTACGTTTCTAGAGACTGAGTTAGCACGATGCACAAAACGCCGACCTGAGCGAGATCATCTCAATCGTCAGAGCCGAGTGGTGACAAACTAACCTCTTCGCCAGCTTCAAATCGAGGAATGGCAGTGTACATCTTCTGAGCTAGTTTTTTGGCCTTTGGTCCACCATCTTTGGTTTCCAGTTTCTCAGCAAGAGCTCTAAGCTCCTCGATCGTGCCAGCCACGCTATACCATGTTCGATTCGTCCCAGCAGGGTTGCTTTCTCGATAGACACGGAAAGCTGTGTCGTCCTGCCCTTCAATAAGAAAGTAACGACGCTTGTCGCCGTCGGATCCCCATGGCTGTATCGACCGGGGCTGGTTCATGTCGTCTTCGTGTCGGTTCTGCTTGTAGGATTGGTTGATGAGACCTTTGACGCTTTCGGACGACGAAAGTGTCCAGAGGACAAGGTATCGCAGGAGCGTGAGCTATGGGAATATTAACATTTCGAATGCGCACAAAACAGAAATTGGCATGACGCACTCGTTGTGTAGGGTCCATTGACGTGAAAGTTGCGCCGCCAGACAATGGGCTCTTGTCCTTCCAGGCAGGCGCCCATTGGTTCTTGTGCGAGCTGATAGCATCTTCCAAAGCACGACCATAATGGCCAGGCCTGACGAAAGATTCGTTAGCATATTACACTTTACTGATCAAGGTTCTGTCGCACTTGACGTCTTGTTTGCGATTCAATAGTAACCCCAGCAACGCGCAGAGGAAATGTTCGGCTCGATCACCAGGTATAGGTTCGACAACATCGCGCTCGATTTCTTGGGGACCGAAGTGGGCAAGTGATTTCGGGAATGCATCGCTGAAGCGGCTTCTGAACATTACAATGAACTATAGTTGTTAGCGTTCAGCCCTAACATTCAAGACGCGATGAAGGCGCGTCGCAAAAGCAGCCACGCGTGCCAACCGTTTGTAGATAAACCAAAGAAAATGAAATCACCAATCCAGGATACATACTGCAATGTCAGGGTTATCTGCCAACACATATTCGTGGGGTGGTGAAGGTGATCGCTTTCGAGGCGGCGGCGAAGCCTCCTTAGGCGGTTGCTCTTTAACCTTGGAGAAGTATTTCTGAATACCCTTTTTGGATTTGGCAACGGGCTCTTTGACCGGTTCCTCTAGCTCGATATCAGAAGGCGCGGGCGATAGTGAAGACAAAGAGGAGAGATCAGAGGAATCATCTTCGGCCGACATTTTGCAGACGATTCGATTCGTTGGTGTGTTGATGTGAGGTTAAGATGAATGGAGATGAGTGGGGGGAGAAGTAGGAACGACGTAACTTGGGCTCTCGCACGGAACAAGCACCCGCTAGCCTTACTCAAGAACCGCAGATTATGCTTGTGAGTCCTGATAGGCTGGGCAAATATCAATTAACTATGTATGCAGGCATCAAACAACCATCACAAAACAAAGCGAAGTCAAGGCTTGTTGTTTTCCAGGTACAGAGCTCCGTTCCCTGCGTTTGAGCTATACCCTCGCGAGCACCCACAGTAGCTGTAGCCCATCCATCACGTTCCCTGAGCATGAAGCTGCGTGACGAACCCTCCAAAAATCATTCTCATATAGTCAAATAGCCCAGCCACTGTCATTTTTGGTTGTGCCATATCCACGTTTCGTTTCCATCCATCCTATTCTTTCATCACTTCGCATCAAGAATGCTGGACCCTTGTGTAATTGCAGATACCTTAACTGCTTCGTACATCTTCGCAATGTCGATAAGTTGGTAAGTGATGCTTAACAAACACCCTGGACGAACTTGGGCACCCAACCAATTCCCAAAGCAAGATCCCTCCATCAACCCTGTTCGTGGGTTGCCGCATCTTCGAAACTCTTTTTGGCCGCGGTGTATTTTTACGCCGTAGTTTGAACGTTGAGAAGATTGTCTGTTCTGGTTCAAAAGTAAACGGAAACGACGTTTTTCACCGCCTTATATGCGACCTTGAACAGTGCAATTTCCCACCACACCCAATGATTGTCTTAAAAGGTGAAATGGCGTCCGTCATCTAGGCCAAGAGCTGGTGTCCCACTAGAAACACATAGCGGGAGTTGTCGCGAAGCTCAAAGTTGTAACACAGAACGACTCCCCTGAGAAATATGCTGCCATGAACGCCCCCATGTCACTCATCGAGGATCGGCCACTTGGTCAATCTCATTCCTCCAAACTTGGAAGCAATTTGACCCGCTCAAATTCATTAGAACCAAACGCAACATCACGCCTGCGCAAATCTGCATAGAACATGATGTTTGCAAGATTGACGATATCTGATAAATGAAATGAATGGTAGGAACGGTGACAAGAGTGTCATATTGTTGTTATGCGAGTTATTGCCCGTTTATAATTGAGCATAGGAAAGCATATGAAATGTCAATAGAAATTAAAAGGCATGCAATATGTCGAGACGTGTTGTCGTAGGAATAGTAGTCATCGTTGGTTCTATGATGACCTCAGCTTATTTGAATGGATGTTAGAGAGGGCAAAGGGTGGGCATTGGCCAGAACGCGAGTAGCGCTAAAGTTCAAAGTCACAGCGATCGGATAATTTCTGGGGTTGACCCGAAGACTCGTATAAGGAAAGGCGTAACCCACTCCATAAGTGGGGCGCATTTTCCTCAACCCTAAAGTAACATAGATCACGTGTTTGATCAATCGTTTCGTTCACAGAAAGGAAATTCACCCCAGCCGTACTGCCTCTCTGAACAAACACCAAGCGGCCCAAGCCAGGTAAATATCCCCCTCCCTTTCCTCTTCGCCCACGATCTTCTTTACTAACCTGCAGGTCAACAGAAACTCCTATTCACGATGGGTAGAGTTATTCGCAACCAGCGTAAGGGTCGTGGATCCATCTTCAGTCAGTACCGAACGAGCCTTTCCGCGATATCGAAAACATCAGAATACTGACGCTCAGGATAGCGGCCAACACGCGCCTGAACAAGGCTCCCGCCAAGTTCAGAAACCTCGACTATGCCGAGCGCCACGGATACCTTCGAGGTGTAGTCCGCGAGATTGTCCACGATGCTGGCAAGTTCCCCGATTAGGTTCCCGAGATACAAAATTCGACGGAAATTACAAATTGTGTGCAATTGGAGGAACGACAACTAACCATGCTTGCTATACAGGTCGCGGTGCTCCTCTCGCCAAGGTCGTCTTCCGCCACCCCTACCGATTCAAGCAGACTACCGAGACCTTCATCGCCAACGAAGGCATGTACACCGGCCAGTTCATCTACGCCGGAAAGAAGGCTGCTCTGACCGTCGGCAACGTCCTCCCCCTCGGTGAGATGCCTGAGGGTACCGTCGTCTCCAACGTCGAGGAGAAGGTCGGTGACCGTGGTTCTCTCGGCCGAACCTCCGGCAACTACATCACCATTGTCGGCCACAACCCTGATGAGGGCAAGACCCGCATCAAGCTCCCATCTGGCGCCAAGAAGGTCGTCCACTCCGGAGCCCGAGGAATGATCGGTATCGTCGCTGGTGGTGGCCGAACTGACAAGCCCCTCCTCAGTATGTTGTCCCTCGGAAGATCGAATGGTGTGGAAGAATGGATTGCTGACCCTCATTACAGAGGCTTCTCGTGCCAAGCACAAGTTCGCTGTCAAGCGTAACAGCTGGCCCAAGACTCGTGGTGTTGCCATGAACCCCGTCGACCATCCTCACGGTGGTGTACGTATTTTCCGAATAGATTTGATGAAACGCAGTAAAGCTGACACTTGACACAGGGTAACCACCAACATATTGGTAAGGCTTCTACCATCTCCCGATACGCCGCCCAAGGTCAAAAGGCCGGTCTTATTGCCGCCCGCAGAACGGGTCTTCTCCGTGGTACCCAGAAGACAAAGGAGTAAAGTTGTGGCTGGGTTCATGGTCTCATTGGGATGGTGTTTACTGGCTTGCTTGCATCTATTGAAGGTACTGCCAAGAGCAGATGGCTGGTAGCTCAGAGGGCAAGCACTATGGCATTTGGCGCAAAAAAAATTCTGAAGGCCGTTTCTCTGTGAAAGATGTGAGCGAAGAAGTGAGATACCTCGAATACCGAAAAAAGGCTTCCATGAGAGAAGCATGCTTGGTTCAATAATGTCCTTGTTAAAGCGATTGTGCTATCTGCCTACTGTCCTGCCAAGTTATGACCCATATTTGTGGAATTCTGTTGAAGTGTGCTGTTAAACCATCTCGAGGTTTGAAGCTACCCATTGTTATTGCACCAAGTCTATTTTGCATTGGGAAGCTGCTGTTGACAAATACCAAAAACAATTGCAGTAGTTCGCAGTTGCTTGTGAGGTCAGCAGGTCATGTTCCAGTTGGGGATAAGTTGCCAGGCATCTGATCGTATGATGGCAAATGGAATTCATATTATAAACTCCAACCTCCAATCAAACAATTGTAACTTTGACCAAACAAACCCTCGCCCCAGATAAATTATTCCTCAATTGATACCATATCTCCCAACACGAGCTGTCAATCACATATTGAACGCAATGAAGCTGACAAAACCACCCCCCTCCCTCAGACTTCCTTCTCTATTTCCAACCTATCGCACGTGGACTCGCAGCTTTGCCAGCGTCACTCCCGTTCGGCTGCCGAAGAATCAAGCCCCACGTCTAAACCCCACCAGAGCGGTTGACCCCTCCATTCGTCTCAAACTCTTCCCCTCCAAAGCTACACCCTTATTCTTATCTACCTCACCATATCGTGTATATCAGACGAGACAATTAAGCACAATGTCTTCCGTTAAAGAATACTCCCTCTTCTGTCTGGAGAACCCTCTCCTCGGTAAGCTTTATTTCATCCAGCCTTCAGATAATGGACAGCTCTCAATGCCAGTTCCATTGAAATCGATACTATTACCCGCTTACACCAACATGTTCCACATCGATCAATTGCTGACAGGTTACCTTTTGGTCTCTTGTAGACATTCAGGCTCAGGGTGACCAGGCTCTTCTAGACAAGTACGGCCTCAAGCCTAACGATGCTATCCTGGCCGAGGAGAAGCACATCCCTCTCTACGAGGATCTCCTCAACAACTACGATGCTAAGCTCATTGCTGGTGGTGCTGCTCAGAACAGTGCCCGAGGTGCCCAGTACATCCTTCCTCCCAACAGTGTCGTCTACGTCGGTGGTGCTGGTGACGACAAGTACTCTGCCATTCTTCACGACGCTGTCAAGGCTGCTGGCCTTCGAGTTGAGTACCGTGTCGACCCTAAGGAGAAGACTGGCCGTTGCGGTGCCATCATCACTGGCCACAACCGAAGCTTATGCACTGACCTCGGTGCTGCCAACCACTACGACCTTGACCACCTGAAGAAGCCCGAGATCTGGAAGCTCGTTGAGAACGCCGAGGTCTACTACGTTGGTGGTTTCCACTTCACTGGTAAGATAAGCTCTAGACAGCATATGCCAGTTACAGTATATCATGCTGACATGTATTAGTCTGCCCTCCTGCCATTATGGAGCTCGCCAAGCAGGCTGCTAAGAACAACAAGCCATTCGTCCTCTCGCTCTCTGCTCCCTTCATTCCCCAATTCTTCAAGGAGGTCGTCGATGCCAGCGCCCCCTACTGGGATTACATCATTGGTAACGAGACTGAGGCTGCCGCCTACGCCGAGTCCCACGACCTCCCCAGCAAGGAGCCTAAGGATGTTGCCAAGCACCTTGCCAACCTTCCCAAGGAGAACAGCCAGAGAAAGCGAGTTGCCATCATCACCCAGGGCACCGACCCTACGCTGGTCGCTATCCAGGGTGAGGATGAGATCAAGGAATTCCCCGTCCACGCCATTGAGACTGAGAAGATCAATGACACCAACGGTGCCGGTGATGCCTTTGCTGGTGGTCTCCTGGCAGGTATCCTCCAAGACAAGCCTCTCGAGACCAGCATTGACATGGGACAATGGCTCGCTCGTTTGAGCATCCAGGAGCTCGGACCTTCGTAAGTTCACCTAACACAACCGCTGATCTTATTGTTTTCCTAAGAATCTTTGTTTTTGTTTTTTTTTCGTTACTCTACCTATTTTTCCTATCAACAGTATAGCCTGTGTACAAGGGCACCAATCTCATCAAGCAACCACTATGATAACTCTCGGCTAACTCAACTCCAGATACCCCTTCCCCAAGCAAACCTACCAGGCTGCTTAAATTTGTTAACAACTCATCTTTCAAGCTCTGCTTGAGGGGTTGAATATGGTTCGGCGTTGCAAGGGAAAAGGGAAACGGGAAACGGTTTCAACAACGGCGTTTGCATCCAAAGGGAGAGCATTACCCCAAACGTGGGCTCCCAAGCGCACTAAGCGGCATGGTATCCTCCACGATATCGAGTATTTGGCAAGCATATTATCTGAGTGAACATAAAAATGAATGACTTCTTGCTTGAGAACCCAGGATCTTGTACCGACGAACTGCATATGAGCCAGCACACTTGTTATATACCTGATGACACTGAACCAACTTGCGCTGCGATAAAAGCTGGATCAGCTGTAGGGATCCACATCCAAATCATTGTAGACTTGCACATTCAAAAATCGCAGAGCATATTGCATGTGCGAGCTGATCGATCATGTCGACAACATCGTAACAGCCGCAGGAGAACACCAAAAGGTCAGGTCACATGCAGATACATGGACTGTTGCTAAACAGCGCATCGTCGATCTAACCACCTATCGTGCCGAACCCTAATGGCCTCTCTAAGAACGAAACGTTCTCAGAGCGCAATGACCGGAACGGGCTGAGTAGAATAGCCTTCCCCAGAAGGACGGGAAGGGAAGGTAGTTTCGTTCTTGCAAACACATCCAGCCTCTACTTGTTGCCGTAAAATGCAGCCTGCAGGATGGCAGCGTCGTAGCTAGATGTCGTCTCATCCATCTGGAAACGTCGGCCTGAGGAGGCTGGCACCGACTCCTGACTGCGGTTGCGATCATAGCGATTCATATCCATGTAACCTCCATTTGGCATGCCAAAAGACGCCCCATTGGAAGGAGTACCCTGGTATAGGCTGCTTGGATGAGAGAATCCAGATATAGCAGGTGATGTAGGATAACCATTTGAGACCTGGCGATGGGCGTAGGACTGCGGGGTCGGATTGCTGGGGAAACGGCTTGAGCTCTGGCCCCATTGGCTCAACGAAGAGGTTCGGGGGGCACCGGGACTGCCAAAGGTCTGCAGCAGGTTGTTGCGATGGGCTTCTTCAGCTGCAGAAGCGATGCGAGGACTTGCCATCATGCCACTGGTAACCCGAGGGATCGGCATAAGGGGGAGCTGAGGCGTAGAGTTAGTATAAGGATCCTCAAACGTGCTGATGTTTCGTGGTATCTCCCGCGAAGTAATGTTAGGGCTAGCAGGGGCATCGAATGCACCCTTGTATGCTGAAGCGGAAGCATCACTGCCTCGGTGAGGCGTAGGCGTGTAAACCCAAGCCCAAGGCAAAGGCGCAAACTTGCCCTCGGGCAAAGAGCCAGCAGGGGCTGGTTCAGCGTGAAGCATTTCAAACACTTCGTTGGCTGTGGTACTGTTCATTCCGTAGGAGGATTCGTCAGTGGACTGGTTTGACTGAACCTTCTCAGGGGTAGGTGGCCTCAGGAAAGGTGTGAGCATGTTGATAACAGTGTTATCGGCATCATCAGGGGAAGGCTCTTCCCTAGGAAATTGAGTCTCGGGAGATGCCGTGGAGGACTTTCTCGCAGTTCCGTTGACTGCGGGGCGGTTGTCTACCTGCCTGCTTTCAGAGGCCTTGCGCTGATGGTTTGCAATTTTAGTCTTGCTCGTTGTCTCCCGGGCAGGAGAGTTCACAATAGACATAGGCTGGTGAGCTGGCTCGTTCTGTACAGACAGTGGTGTATGTTCAAAGACGAGACCTTGCTCAGAAACTTGGTAACTAAGTGGACACGAGGCATCTTCAGCCAGGAAATAGCCGCATCGGAGAATGTCCAGGATTCTGGCCAGTATCTCCTGGAAGGGGCGAAGTCGGTGCTCTGGGGATGCTAGTCTTGGTTTCAGCCCCCCATTCTCTGAACAGTAGTATCGGCATGCCTCAGGTACTTTATCCTCGGTGAGAGTAAGCAACCCCTGCGTCTCGACATCTTCGGCAAGAAGATAAGGGCACGATGCCAGCGCTTCCTGGGTGAACTTATCGTTGCATAGCAATGAAAAAACCCTAGAGATGGCCTTCATCATGTCCGGAAGCACAGCACCAAGAGCCTGGCCAGCAGCGAAAATTTCCTGGCGGCGGGCGGCAAGCCACATGCCGTAGATGCGCAGCAAAGGCAAAAGCGACTCAATAACAGGAGACGATTTGGCAGTAGCAGGGTCCTCGGAGGTATGGCTTTCACGCCCAACGATATCACTGAGCTCAGAACCGAGGGCTAGGCAAAATGCGAGGATAAACTGCGCATTGATGCGTAGAGTATGGTGGCAGAATCGGGATGCTGCTGGCGACTGGGCCTCTGCTTTGTGTTAGAGAAATGCAGTAACAGGATAGTGCAAGAATACTCACCAGTATACTTCTGAGAGGCGATATGATAACTCGCCATGTTAATTAGGGTCATTTTAAATAGAACCTCGGAATATTCGGGGTTCTTTGAGGCCATGTCAAGCCGATGCAGAACTTCCCTCTCGAGTTCGGAACTGCCTGCCATGGTCTCGTCCCTGTAGTAGGAAGCGTGAAGCTTTGTGAACCAGGTTGCAAATGCATCGTTCGGTACACGAGTTTGCTTCTTAGGCGGGTTCTTGTCCGGTTGGAACAGGGTCTTGAACTTAGACTCGAGACTCTGCTTTGCGTTGGGGTGAGGGTCAGCAGTTGCAACACTCCGGTAAAAGTAGTAAACGGTATCTAGATCTTTGCCTTCCTCAAGGCTAATTATGCCCATCTGATGGAAAGGAAACCCAGAATACGGTTTCAGATCATGTGCGAGACCGTAGTAGGCCAAAGCGATTCTGTAGCTTGGCTTCTTCAGTCCCGATTGAACCTGGTAGCGTGCCAGGTCACCAAGACATATGAGAGTGAAGTGGCAAGAGTTTACGACTAACGGATAAGTCTGATCCGGGACAGGGCTGATGGCATCACTGGTGGGAGATCCGTCGACCTCAATTCCCTTGGCAATGCGCTTCAGGTCTGGGATGTCGTATCGAGCTGAAAGTCGCTGCACATATCCCTTGTAAAACTCCTGAGCGACGTGTAGGAAGCCCAGGTACTTATCGCCAAACTTGCGTTTCTCCACATTACGCTTGTCATTCTTCTGTTTTGGGGTGGTTTGTTTGTCTCCCTTGGACTTATCACCGTTGCGCTTTTCGTTGGCCGTCTTATCGGTCTTTTGCTTGTCCGAGTTTTGCGTCAGGTGTCGAAGGCGGCCCAAGGTTCGTCGGTATTCGTTATTGATACTAGTATGTACCGCCCACATGGTGTTGTCGGTACGCTCGGCGACGGCATATTCGAAGTCGAGATATATGGTTTGCACACAGGCAAGGCGGAACCTATTTGAAGAGGGATATCAGCTTGAGGAACGTAATGGGCCGGGTGCGATGGTTCTCACTTATCCAGGAACGTGTCAATCGTCTCGAATTGGGAAATGTCAACGCCCGAGTTGCTGTCTTTTGGAAGCTTGTCCAGGTGCTTGGTCAAAATCTTTCGCAGCTTGACTGCCGTGCTGGAAAGTGAATGTCAGTTTCTTCTCTTGCTGGTTATACTAACTAGTGCGCAGTGTTTGCGCAAGCCCTGGTCATTGAACGCATATTTGGCGGGGTACATTTGCACAAAGTAACGAACAAATAACTTCTCAAAGTTTTTGCAAGACGACGACAATTCGACTTACCGCCATGTGTGTCTGGCCTTACCAGACAGGTCTGCGTGTTCGGGAGTTGCGGCCTGGCCGTTCGTAGGCGCAATCTCGGCCTCCATGGTCGCAAAATCTGTGGGTTTGGTTTGCAAACTTGGAGAGCGCGAGGGGTCAGTCGTAAACGTGGACGTAGGCGTGGACGTGGACGCAGAGATACGAAGCAATACGAAAGGTGTCGCGGCACAATTCTAGAGCGTCGATATCGATCTTAGTGCTTTTCGTTCATGCTTTCTTTGCGGCGGGATCATGGAGAGGGCGTCGGTCCATAACTCATTCGCAGGTCGGGCTGTTGGGTTGAGGATTGGCACCAAACTCGGCTCGCGAAAATGGAATCGTCGGCCGAGAAGACAAACATTGGCGAAGAGAGGGGAGAGGAGGGGAGAGGAGAGAAGAGAGGCGAGGTGAAAGAAGTAAATACAAGGCAAAGAAAGTCAAATACACGCAAAATAAAAATTGGAAAAGTATGATGCAGGTCTGTCCTTTTAATTGCGCCGCAGACCGAGCGTATGTAATTAACCTTGGTGAGTGAATGCAATAGGGAGCGGGAAAAAAAGTATCGCTCCAGCTGTGACTCGAGGTTGAAGTTCAGGCAGGCCGGAAACCTTAATCAGTTCGCAGACGTTCCAAGGCACACACAGAACACAGAAGGGCTTGTAGCAGGTCTCACTGCCCCGTGGGTTTACTTCGGGTCGAGCCTTGCTGAAAATCACCTGGACCCTGGAATATCGTGTGCTTGAACGCATCATTGTCGGCCACTAGCGAAGACTTTCCGCAGGCTATTTTTTCTGATGACTTTATAAATCCGTCATACATGTGCAAGGATTCATTTCGGTGCATCCATTGATCAGGCAAAATATATTCTACTACTTGGGATTATAAGTGAACAGTCGAGCTATCATGATTTGCTTCAAGGATGCAAAAATAACATGGAATGAGTTTAAATGCTACACTATCAAGTTGGTTGGTTTATCTGCTGTAAATTTAGACATCAGGTACCCGTCAATACGATCCATTCAACACAGAATATGGCCCGTGCTCAGGCGAGCGTCAACTTTAGGCCTGTACAACTGACAACTCATCTTCGTCTGGGTTTCCATCCAGTGCCCCTCATCCAGCCCGTCACTCGCTCTAGCGCCGCTTTTAGAAACCCCCACCATTCATTGTATTGGACGAGCCTTCAAATTCAGGCAATGTAGGAGTTCTCAAAGATCATATCGATATTCCAGCTTTTTGGTGGCTTCATTTCATACTCTCGACGCCTGGCGACTCTACGTGTACCTTTTCCTACGACAGTATAGAGCTATCGCTTCTCTTCTGAACTTAACGACAGAGCCGACCGGCCACTACCCTGCACTCACCGCTTCGAATCCATCGTATTAAGCATCTGCTCTCAAGTAATTCTACCATTCCAATTAAGCTTACAGCAGAGAATGAAGCGCTCACGAGAGCTCGAAGAAGAGCTAGATTCGAATCCTGAATACACGCAAGTGGAACCATCCCTAAGACCAGTATACAAGGTCACTCAACTCGACTCCGCCATCGACGACGAAGAGGATACAGTAGCCATGAGATGCAACTTGCCTCCCCACAGGGAGCCGCTATCTTTCAGATCCTACGATGAATACGAGGTGCACTACAATAAGTCTCATACTAACCGATGCCTCGAATGCCGCAAGAACTTCCCCACCGAGCATCTCCTCAACGTCCATATCGAGGAATATCATGACCCGCTAGTGACTGTCAAGAGGGAACAAGGCGAGCATACTGTAAGTCGCATACCCAGAACCATTCCGCCGAGATGAAAGACTAGCTGACTGGCACATCGCAGTACTCATGTTTTGTTGAAGGATGTGAACGCAAGTGCATGACACATCAGAAGCGGCGGATGCATCTCATCGACAAGCACATGTATCCCAAGAACTTCTTCTTTGCCGTCACCAAGGATGGTATCGATGGTAGGCGATCCCTATTGAATGACGGCAGCCACCATCGCCGCCGATCGTCAACCAATTCCCAAGCTATCAAAAGCTCTCGACGACGGGCAAGTCTGAAAGAGGGGGAAAACACCTCTCCCCAGCAAGCGCCCAAATCACCACAGTCACCAAAGTCACCTAAGTCACCGACAGTGCAGAAAACGGAAATGAAGCAGGGCGGCAAAAAGCCTGCGGATACGGAGATGGCGGACCTCACAGGCGCAATGTCGTCGTTGTCCTTCGTTCCACCAAGCATCCGCTTTGGACGTGGAAGAGCTGGCTTTTCCAAGACATAGAATAAAGAATGGGCTCCAAGCTGGGCAGGAGTATCAGCACGACGTTATGAACATATGGATGTGGTCAATGAAAGGATTTTCTACCTCATTGTGCCGATATGCATCGCTTGTTTCCCTGAATGGTGAATACCGTGTTGGTAATGTATTAATGCGCCGAACGCCTTGTCTTCCATCGCGCTTCTGAATATATTTCTCCCATCGATCGTCTTCAAGAGTTGGCGATATGGTTTCTAATCGCTTGACGCGCAGCCTCTGCATCCGCAGCTGACACACTCGATGTCTTCGTTGCCCTTCATCTCCGCTCTCGGCACGCGGCAGATGCACGTGCTATTGAAATTCGTTTCCTTTGTCTGAATGCAGCGCAAGCAGCAAAGCTAAGGAATGTTAGTATTCTGGCGCAAAAAAACAGTGATTAAGATACACACCTTTTCGTAGCCTTGCTTTTTCCACTTCGCGATCAACATGGCATCCGCGTACCCGTTCTTTAGCAGCCAGTCGTATAGCTTCTTGCTGATGGCTTCCTTCTCGTAATACAGCTCGTAGACGTATCGACTGCGCTGATGCGAAATCTGGAAGATTTCCCATTGCGCCTGGTGCCTAGGCCCTGATGGTGGCGGCTTGTTTTGAGCGTCCTTCATCTTGTTGGAGAAGATGAGCAAGTCGTTCTCAATATCTTCAAAGCCATCGGGCGGCGGCTTGCGCTTCGATGAGTGTCGGATCGCGGGCATTTTGTTGTGTCGTATTGTTCTATGTCGCTTGGTGATGTTGTTGTGTGGATTTCTCGATCGTAATCGACGATTATGATGTATAGATGATAAATAGTCCTTGAGGTCGCAGAGTTGTATGTGCTTCTTTGGCCTTGGTTGGTAGAAGGCGGAAAGTGGAGCCGTGTACTTCCATCATGTACCTCTGACTTCAACTCTATTAACGACATCCGTGTGCAACAAGAGAGCTCACATGACTGTCCAATATTCCATTAAGCGGTATGCCAATTAACGAAACATGTTTTACTGCTTGATGGAAGAGCGTTGAAGTTGAAATGAGGCGACTATACGAATGGAAGTCAGCCGATACCAGCCACAACCATGCACATCGACTTGTCTGAGCCCTTCCAGCTTTTAAAACACAGTTCCAATTATATATAGCTAACTTTTGGGATTCTAATGAAACCACACATATAACTAAACAGTGTAAATTTGTGCGACTCCAGCTTGTTTCTCTTAAGTTTTATCGAAAAGTAACATTCGCTGACGAAAAGCTAACAAGTTACTGGGAGATAGTACCGCAACAGTACCCCACTAAACTCTACTACGGACACGTGATCTCATTACCGTGGTGCTTTCCTGCATCTCGGTTTCGGGAATCTGGTCAACGTCAGAGCAGAGCGGTTTCCGACGTTTAAGAGCATTGATTGCCCACCATGGCCATTACGCCGACCCAATTTGCTAAGAAGACGGTGCAGTGTGAGTTGAACTTCCCCAGCCTACAGTTTCTAACATACTGATGCTCTGAATAGCGGCCAATTGGTCCGACGCCAAGCGTCGAGTGCTATCCTCCTACCGAGAATGGATTCGAGCTGTACGTTTTACGAACCCCCGAGATAGCCTCGATATTGCTGCATTGATGATCTCTTCTTCGATCTTCCTCGCCGATCTAGGATGATGGAAATATGCGAGTGAACAGCTGCTAATTCGCAAACCAGGCCCCCGAAGTCCAAACTATGTACAACATGCCTATGCCCGTCTCCGCCATCAGAACCCGTATGCGACAAGAATTCGAGCGACAGCGATTTGTGAACAAGCTTTCCGTTGTTGACGTTCTTCTGTTCAAGTCCCACGCCGAATACCAGGTGCGATCACACCTCACAGCCGGAATGAGCTGAGACTACGAGAGGGGTGTTTTTTGCTGACCCCGCGACTATAGGAAACCATGAACTTCTGGAAGCAGACCAACCACATCATGGCCTACTTCAAGGAGGAGAACTTCCGAGGCGACAAGCGACTACCAAGCAGCTTCATGACTGGCTTCCTCGAGGTAAGCGCAGAATGTAGAGCCCTTAAGATCATGGCTAACAGATTACGTAGGGTCGCAACTAGATTTGAGCAACAAGGGGCTTATTTGTGTAAATATCTCATTGAAAGGAATTACTAAAAAACGCCTATATTTCCATTATGCTTCCTGTGAATATAACCACTTTTCAAGACCCTGGGCAGCGGGTTTCAAATTCATCGATCAATACCCTGCTCAGCAATGTAGGCGTCTCTCTTGGTCCAGAACTCATCGGCAACCACGTCGCATACTTCCTGGATGTCAACCAAGCCCTTCTTGAGCGCATCGACTGCATTGCCATCTAAAAAGAGTTAGCAAGTTCAGTGTCATGGGTATCGTGTATCCATACCGTAGGTTTGGATTCTGATGTTCATTTTTGGCTCTGATGGGTGAGGAATAGAATAAGCACAGAACTCAACATCGGGGCTATGATGTTGTTAGTAAGACCCTTGTAGAACATCTCAAAATACATACTTCTTCATGATGATATATCTCAGAGCGTTTCCAAGGGTGTGACCTTCATCGATGAACTCAAATGAGGCAGCAGTGTCTGTTGAGCCCGGCAGCTACAATATGTCAGTAAATACATCACAAATGACTCTTTGCATCTGGATCAAGACTCACAATTCTAACTCGTTGGGGCTCAACCTCCTCTTCCTCTTCTTCGTCCTCAACCTCCTCATCGTTTGTCTCAGGCTGCGCAGAGGCTGGGGCATCCTCCATGTTGGTATCCTCAGCCTGAGGCTGTTCCTCCTTAGTTCGTGCAGGCATTTTTGAGAGGTTTTGTGAAGTTCTTGAGTGAGCGACTCGGACCTTAACTTCTTTGTTTTCTTCGGCGTGATGGGTGGAATATCCAATTATGTTGTTAACAAGCAAGATCTCTTTCACAACTAAATTGTTTGATGGAAATTTTTGGGCGAGGCTGCTGTGGCGCACCGAGCAAAAATTGTGGAGCATTGATTTTTCGAGCAAGATCTAACTTTCTTATTGGCCGCTACATACTTGCAATAACAACCACTTACAAGATTATCTACTCTATCTTCATTGCGATCTTGGACTTGAGTCAGTGTTATGGCAGGTGATAGCAAACAATAATCAGACTTTACATTGAAGAGTAAGGGCTAAGTTATTGTACACTTTATTCCGACTGAAAACTTTTATGTGAACTGGATTGTTGCTTGATCCAAAATCCGAAATCATGGAGAATATCAGGTTTCCGGTTTCTCCCATGTGAATCGTAGAGCATAATGCCATATTTCGATCTGCTTGGAATGCTACCTTGATACGAAGGTATCCGTTTTGCCCCGCGAGACTGACCATGGCTGACCATGAAGTTGGTAAGTTGGCTTTGCACAGTGATCATCAACCTCCTCCGTTATGTAACCTTGCTGGGGGTTGAGTGACCTTCTCAATCAACTTGCATCATGATCAACAGGGCAAGTGTGTATTGGGCGTAATTGTGTGAAAGTGCCTACGTTATGCCTTTGCTGCTGTTTCCACATGTTTTCGCATAGACTGTGTATAAGAAAGCAAATAATGCACTCCCGTCAACTTGCCTACCCTATGCTACAGGCTCAGTTAATACCAAACTTTGCGATTCACCATGACGATGTGGTGTTCATTTTGACACATATACAGATGCCACCACAAATTTACCATAATATGTCAAGTTGTGTCCTTGGGGCTTGTTGGTCAGCTTGCCGAGTGAAAAGTGGTTTTCTGGGTGAACTTTGACGGCCATCACCTGGAACGTTTCGTCATGTACGACTTTCGCGACCAGATAGATGGTAATGGTAGATTAGGATCTGGATTTAGACAGATGCTCATTTTCTCGACCGTCAATGAAAGCAAGGATCTTGGCGATCCAGCGCGCTTGCTCAATAAGAGTAAATGGTTCAGTGTGTCATAGGTGTAACTCTACCCCTACAACTTCATCTATCAAAACCAATAGTGGTGCAACCGCGCGAAATTACCAGAGGAGACACATACCAAATATAGGTCACTTTAGATTGGACGACAAGACCAAGGTCAGGTGTCGTGCACGTTGGTGCAATTTGATGAGCAGTGAAGACGTCCACCGCCTGAAAGGAACAATGCATGAAGCAGCGCAACTTACAAGACGCACATATAATATATATATGCAAGGGCGTCATCAACTAGCAGCAACAGTGTTGGATCGTTTCTGACAAACTGACAGTCTCAAGTCAATACCGTCCGTGCTCGTATAGTAGTACCGCATATACATAGTATGGCTAGTCGAACCGTGCGGTGTCGGCAATTTGTTTCCATAATTTCAAGGATCCCAAGCTATATGATAGCGACTCGTAATAATATATCTTAAACCCGCCTGTTTTAGACAATAGCCGGCCAAATATCAAGGATGTCCCCGGACTGGGGTTATGACTCTTATGGCAGCGCAAAAGAAGAACAAAGCGCACTGTGGGAAATCTCAATACCCTCACTTTTAATCTGCCAACTTGACTTGCTGTGAAGAAGCAGTAAACGGTGAGAGCGTTGAAGGTCCATGTGGAGAAGATGGTCGAGATGACGGCTTAACCCATATGGTGGTGACACGAATTAGCTCTGATCATGTTTGAGAGTAACATAAGCAAACCAATCACAGGCCGTTCCATAACCATCTCGAAACAAGTGCAAATGACGGCGCTCTAAAGAGGGTGGCTGTAGAGCGAATTGGGCATGGTACGTACTTGTGTGGTGTTGGGTTACAGTAGTGTGAGGCGTGTGGTGTCAGCACAGGTGGAGGAAACCCTCCACAGAGTTACTAACCTGAGACGCCGTCTCAGGTGAGATGAAGCACAAAATGTCAGTACGTACAGAACAACGAACGACACACTAGAGAATTACAGTGGACAATGAGACCCTGAAGAAATAGAAACGTCGCCGAAGGCGAAGCAGAAGTGAGGGGGACATGAAGGATCGAGAGGAGAGAAGCTTGGTTAAGAACCATACTCCCCGATGGGAGGAGACCTCGTGGCTAGCAACCTTTCTAGCTAAAACAACAAGAAAGCTACCTGAGGCGTCGACGGCGGGAGATGTGCGGCTCCTCTCTTCATTTCGCAATGGTCATGGCGTTCAGCTTTATTTTTTTTTTCTTTGTCACGCTCTTGGCAATTTGTAATGAGTCGTGGACAACTCTGCCTCGGTAACAATGCATTTGTCCTCCGTCCATAGTACTCGGTGCAGCACTGTGTTCTGGAGCAATATCTTTGAAATGCTTGCTGTTCACGAGCAGCAGCAGATCAGATGAATGCGGGCCGCTGACGACGATGACAATGAGCTTCTCAAATGGTTGGTCAAGACGGACAAGGAGAGTCCCGATCAGAGACAGGGGGCATAACACAGTGATCGTCGGAGGGCTCAAGGACGGAATTGGAGCGCTGTCATGCAAGCAAGACCCTATCTCGACCATTGTAAAGCCACAAGGATGAGTTATCGGGTTTTGCGATATAGACAGACCCTCGTTGGGTATTGACATCGGATGTTCTTGAAGACATACCCTTGGATTGTTTGACAGCAGCAAGGGTTATTCTCGAACCTCCCAGGTCTCAGCACACAATCCTCAAGTTTCCGGTGATAAGTTTGTCAACCGTTGGTGGATTCGTCAGGTTGAAGAGTGACGAAGGTGAGGACGAATGTAGATCACCCATCCCAACAACGAATTGCCATAGGGATGGATTGAGTGAAGATCATGGTTTCCTTGAAAAACATGCTGAAGCAGACATAAGACGACTTGTCACATACTGGGTAGTCCAAAAAGGAAACTATGGTTCACCAGATAATGCAGATTGATTTTCTGATAACTTGTCCTCAGTTACAGTATGAACTATTGACATTCTGGTGCAACCAAGGCGGGGCAGAGACAGATAACATGGTCAACGAAGGTGGTGGCATGGATCGTCAATATAATATCTGGTCGACAGAAAATCGAACTTGCATGTAGGTATCCATCAAAAGATCGTCAGGGCCCTAGGCTGTTTGGGGTTTTCAGTGTGAGTGAGGGGCAAGTTTCAGTATGTGAGAGAGTGGGCAAAGTCGGGTGGTGGGGGGGAGGCTGTACCGTAACTGCCTTTGGGAAACAACTACTAATAAGGTAGGGACTTAAATAGGGAGGTACAAAGGCAAGAGGAAATTAATAGGCACAAGGCACCGCAGTAATAAAACATTGAAACCTCGGACGAGACAGAGTTTTCCATTAGTACTAATATTGTGAGGATAACGAGGATGGTTGTTTTACCTCGGAAAGGTCGTTCCCAGTGTTGGGATACTCAAACCCGGTCTTCAGATGTGAAAGGGCAAGGGCACCCATGCCGACCACCTCCCAAACGAGGAAGGCCCCCGATCTCACCTGCTTACTGTACAGTTAGAGTATCCGTACATGCATGCCATCTTTTGTAGGTTCTTTGCCCGCTTCCATGGAGCCTCGTGATGGGATGAAATCTAAAGCCGATTCGGCAGCTACGGTTCTCACCTGCCTATCGCTTGGCTGGAAGCTAGAACCGCCAAAGCTTTGCACCAACAACCTGCATCGAATCATCTAATCGAGACCTCCTTTGTCTTCTCCTTTAGTATTCTTCGTTAGCTGGTGACAGAGAGCTAACAAGCCATCATTGGCTACAGTGATTCGCTTGTCTATTTGGATGGACACTATCAGTTGACTAGGCCGTGGATCGTCGACGAAACAAGCTGCATCGTTCTTCAAATGGCACGGCTTTGGCCTATCCCGGGGCTACCAACCAGCGACCTTGAGACTGTTAGCGTACCAGCGCCATGGGGTACGCTAGCGGCGAGCATCAAGAAGTCTTCCATTAACACTCTAACTCAAGATGCTGACACTGACCGTTACAGGCTGTAGAGGCTTTCTGACAGGAATGAGGTGGAATACATTCAACATTCTAGACAACCCTGCTTGTCGGTCCGCACCCCCGTCCCAGTAGGACCCTGCTTGGGCTCTGTGCTTGGAAACACGGTACGACAGATGGTTGTGGTACGGCTCACAGCGAATTCGTCCTCATCATTCATGTGAGACCAGTGTTGGGGCTGTAAGACATATTGCTGCTTGGCAGAGGGTTTGCTTGTTTGGCGTGTCTGAGATCGACATGAGGATTATATCAGGATCGAGGAGCGGTCAGCCTGAATTCAGATCTTCAAACAAGGCCATGTCAAACAAAGTCCACTTGGGAAAACACTCGTATATCAATCGGTAGCCTGGCCGATTTTCATGAGATCAACATTTGAAAATAAGGACCATCCGAACAAGCAGCACATACAGTACGATACTCCATGTGTTGTTACAGGCCAACGACATCGTATGTGTCTGTGGGTGAATACACGGAAAAATACAGCGCATTGGCCGTCCGACAGGTACTACTCGTGCGCATGCCAACAACGCGAACAGGGATAAAGGTTCTATCAGCAGCAACTGGGGCCACGCCGAATGGTTTGTTAGAAGGATATAGTAGTACTCCGTACATACAGTATCAAACCGACAGCAACGGTGAGAGCAAAACTCATGCCGAAAAAGTCGACAACGAGTGGCCGACGGTTGGCTTGGGTCGTGTGCAGCCAGCAGCAAGATTCAGGTGAGGACCACCCAACCCCGGTTCGCCATGCCTCATGTGCCGTTTCTGAGAATACTATGTATTTATTTGCCCGCTTGTCAATTCAATACGGCTCGCCTGCCACGATGTTATTGCCTTGGTCTGGCTTGTTTTCCGGACCGATGAGAGTTGGCAAGTATATGGATAGGGGTTTCAGCACTGCTCCTCGTCAAGTCTAACAGTTCGAAGTTCATTCTCTTTCAGCCTTTGGATTGGTCACGGATATTAGCCTCACCCCCCTACAGCATCCAAGCATGTGGCCAACCAGGGCCACCCTAGCTGTTTTCTATTCTCTCGATCCCATCCATGTCCCTTGGCTCGTCTCGCCAGGTTGGGTCCATTGCTTCAAGTTACGGACCAGGCGCCATGCCTTTGTGTCACTTTTCCCCGTGTCCCCCTTCATAAAATACATTGGCATCAAATAAAACATCGCCAGGTGCCCAACCGACCCCTCATCGTCAGCTGGTTGATTCTTTCTGTTGTTATCCTTTCTTCCTTACGTCGTGGGCTCTTGATTTCTCATCAACATATCTTGGTCCATCTGTCTCTAATACGTACAATCAGAGCTGCGACTGTCTGTGATAGCTCACTCTCACTACTGCACTGTTGCTACCGCCGACACCAACGCCTCCCCGCCTTGTCACATTTACAGTCGGTTGTGAGAATCTCTTCATTCGCTGATCCATCGTCTGTGGCCCACGGTCTTGCAGTTTACACTGTTGGCTAGCCGCTTGAGCTGCGCTGTACTGTCAAGTACTTACAGGCCTCCTTGTCCAGACCCATCAGCAGAAAGGAATCTTTCTCGATTGACGATTTGGCTTTATTCCACTTACTTCACCTATTTGGCATTTACTCGAAGGTATTGATCTAGCGACCCTCCAACAAAAGACAAAAGACCATCGGCCTACATAAATACAACCATCAATTGACAGAACAAGGAATTCTGTCCAACTACCAACTGATCTGGAAGCCAACTAAAACCGAACTGAGTTGAGCGAAACCACGCGAAACGCGGCCCTGCCGAGCTGGAGCCAACAGCCCAAACCTACGCCCCGTACCGAATTTGATACAGTCGATCGTCCGAGCCACATTGACGCCCCTGGCTTTTCTCACAGTCGATTATTGGCAACAAGAAGAGAGACTAATAATTCGGTATCCTTTCTTTTTCTTTTCTTTTTCTTGATCCATCATTCTCTGGAATATCTCTGTTTCCCCTCTCACCCATTAAAAGAGGAGAAGACAATCAAATCAAATCATTGTTCCTTCAACCTGTTGCTCTCTGTTCTGTCACATCTTACAGAGCTGAACCACCCGCTTTGAGCTTGGACCCAAGTCAGAGCGCAGCGCAAAAGAAGAGCCGCCGCCGCCGTCGAACCATCCACCAACCGACTAACCAACCAGATACTCTATCTTTGGTTTGTCGCCTGAGCTGAGCTATTGTATTCTCTCTTCTAGCCCGACCCAGCCTTTCTTCGTGGTTCCGGACGCCCTGCTTCTTTTTCTTCCCTTTTCTCCCGCGTCAGCAGTCAATTAAGTCGTGCACTGACTTGACTCGACTTGGTCGCGTCTACTATCTGCGTCCACGATCGCTTCCATTCCTGTCTCATTCCACGGTCCTCGCCGACCGATTCGTTCTGCTTGCTTCCCAAAGACAGGAACCCTAAGGCTTGCGAGACCCAGTAAAACCCAGTTACTCGGCTCACTCTGGCTTTGCCTTTTTGGCTTCTCCTTGCAGCTCTTTCATCTCCTTACAATACGAACTACCTGCCGCCAATTCTCACAACCCTGCACTCGCTCTTTTCATTATGAGTGCTGCAATTGCCATGGCTCCCTCTCCCGCTCCGCACGAAAGATTCTCCAATCCTGAATTGCCCGCTCCCTCCACGTCGGCCGCCGCTGGCACTTCCCCATCAGCACAACGCTCATCCCTCAATCTTTCAACTTCGCATGCGACAGCTCAGTCCTCTACCAGCAGCAGCCCTAAAGCTGCTGGTCAAGGTAACAAGTCGTCACCATCTAGCGCGTAAGTTTTTGACATTTCTTTTCTCAAGAAAAAAAAATCATCAATCCATTGGTCCCTTGCTAATTTCCCTTGCAGCTCCCGATCCGCTGGCGCACCCCCTAGAATTATCGTAAAGAAGGAGCCTGCTTCTCCCAGTATGACCAACACGCGACCTCGACCGCGCAAACTCGATTTGTCCAAGAACACACCCAAATCCAACCAGCCGACCTCGGCACGACCTATGACTGCCCGTGACGGCCTGGCAATTCAAGAAGTTGGTATTGCTTGTCTGTCTCCTGGCTTCGTCACCCAAGATCCTGTTATGAAGGAGCAGCTGCAGCGAAGTATGTCAGTGAGAGAACAACAGCGACACATCATTGAGGCCAGACTTCATCAGCAATCTGCTAAAGGAGACGGACCCGACAAGGACAACGCATTCGCCGCTAAAACTCCCGGCATGTCTCGACGAAACAAGGCCCCTCCTGGTCTCTCTATCGTTGCTCCCTCTCATGAGCAGTTTGCCAATGAGAGAGTTATCCAGTCTGCGCCTCTTGGTCACAGCTTTACCGGGCGACAACACCCTGCTCCTATGACCCGACATATCACCAACCAGCCATCCAACCTTTCAAACACTTCGCATATCCACCACATTCCCGCTAACCCAACCTCCAACCGATTGCCACCTATCAGCGATGTCTTTGGTCAGGGGCTTTCTGCGCATCCCGATAATGCTCCTCCGTCTCAGTCTCTTTACCCCAGTGGCCACAACTCTCGCGGGCCTTTGACATCTCCTAGTCACCCTCCACCTCCTCCCCAGGCTCCAACGCCTGGCCGTGGCCGTGAGTATCGATCTGCTGAGGAGGCCCAACAAGACCTCGCTGGCGGGCGAACAGAGCTTCTCCCCAAGCTTGTCCACTATGGCGGACATCAGCCACCAACCCCTCCTTCTCCAGCTCCTGGCAGTCGACCCGTTGATGCGTCGCGAAGCACAAGCAGGCGAAGGACCCGAGCCGAATATGAAGACGGGAGCCCACCACTGGGACATGGACCTGCGCCTACACGTGTCCGTGGGCCCTTTGGTGCCGGACGAGATAGTCCCGATACTCAGCGAGCCAAAAAGGAAGAGTTCATCCGTCTATGTGAACGGGCCTGGGATCTATTTCACTCATAGGCGACCACAAATGATAATTCACTATAATCTTCTCAATACTGACCGGGCCATCACTGGTCTCTTTTAGCCTAATAACTAAGGCGTTATTCTTGTTTATTACTTCAACACTACTATCTTGTGGCTTGCATTCGAATCGGCTCGAAAAGGTTGGATGGTATCGCGGTTCACGACTGGGGGCTCACCGGGTGGGCATAATGTTTTTGGTCATGACGACGCTATGACATTGTGCGTCGATATTTTCGTTGTTCTGCTTGATTGTTCGAACAAATTTATTGCTCGATTCGCAATATGTGATCGTCGTTTGACTTCGCCGTTGTGATTGCGGGGGGGTTATACAATATCTGAGGCTGCTGTAACCCAGGGATGGGAGTAAAACAGATCAATTTGAGGTTTTTGATCTGGGTATCGGAAAGGGCTAGTTCGCTGCTCGACTCAGCTATACGAGCAAGACGGACAGGGTTGACCATGTTGTCTTTTGCATGTTTATGTCGATTCCAACCAGATGTTGGTTTGGATTTATCTGGTTTTATGGTGGGCGATCGCCTTGATAGGCTTCGCGCGGTGTATGGTTCTTGGTTTTTGGGCGCAAATCAATGGGATAACGTATCTTTTTAAAGGATATCTGGGTCATATGCTCTTCAGTTTCTTTTGTGATTTTGACTGTTTGTTGCATAAAGCACGAGGCCATGAGCCTTCCACAACACATTTCATAGGCATAATATCTATCTATATTTCCAATATCGATAAGTCCCTTGTTGTTACAAACTGAAACCACTTTGTCATGTATCCAACATTTCACATCGCCTTTGTTTAATATATACTGCTTCAAGGGGTTGGTTGGGTCTGAGATATATCATCAATCGGAAAGCTCGCAAGAGTAGATTGAAAGCTTGCATTCTGTCTCGTAATTTTGTAAAAGATTCCTGTCATTTTATCAAATGTTTTGTCTAAGCTCGCCGAGAACTAGTTTATCAGCGTAAGAAGCCTGTACAGCAAGTCCTCATTATATTTAAATTTGTTAAGAAACTTGTCGCCAGTAAATCAATGTCAGTGATCCCCGACTGTTTGAGGTGACTGATATACAGCTAGAAGTTCAATGCTCAATCTTGGAGAGACCTCATCTAACATTATGCTTTGAGAAAGACTCTGGCGGTCTTGAAGTACGTTTCAGTATATGAGATTATAGGGAAATATGTTGGCATATTAAAATGATGTGCACAGAATTTTTGCGTTGACATGAACAACGCCTTGTCTATTCTGCTTCCTATGTCTTTATATCTCTGAATGTCAACGACAGGCGATGTTATTTCACCTCTCCTTTCTTCCCTTTTCATTGACTGAAGCCGTCGGGTTCATAACTTCCTGGACTTGACTTCCCCTGTCCGGGTTCAGGCCTTCCGCAACGAAGACCGCATATCCAAATCATTCGTCCATTTCCCATGATTCATAACCTTCCATATTCTTGTTGTTCGGCCTTGTCCTGTGCTTCCTAGTCTTGGAAGTGCAACCTTCTTTGACAAAATTGTTCTTGAATAGTTGACGGACTGAGCCTCCCTATACCACCAACCCAACTCCTGAGCATAAGCAATCCTTGCCGTGCTTCTCCTGAGTGCAAGAAACCCTTACCCTTCCAGGGCATGATATGCTTTAAAACGATAAAAGGAAATATTTCTGTTTACAATACGCCCAACACCATTGCTCGGTATCAAATGACAAAGGAAATAACCCAAACGATAGGTCGTGGAATCATCAGTGTCCTGGCTCACAGTGCCGCCATCAACGCCAACCTGTCCTTTCGTCCCACTCGATTTTGGTTATCCTATCTAGATGGCCTCGAGTCAACTGCTCATCGAGTCGAAAACATTCAGGCCAAAAAGGCAACCAAAGTCTTTTCCTGTCATTACAGACCCTCTTCACCAGCCTTGCATAGCTTGATCTCGCGTACCCATTCTGACTTAAGGACTTGAGCAGCTGTCAAACGGCGAGTAGGATGAGGATCGAGAACCGAGTAAATTACGTTGCGACAACGGGCCTAGGAGATATGTTAGTTTGTGATGCATATCCCGACACCAGTGCGCGAATAAACATACCCGATGAAGAGACTCGATAGGGCCGTAACCTTCCTCGTCTCGGCGGCCCTCAAGGTATCGGGCATAGAATTCATCTTCATCCTTCTTAGCCAGTCGCCAAAGGTGACGGCCGGTTCGCATTGCCATGAAAATAACACCACAGGCCCATACGTCTACAGCTCTGGCGTCGAACTCCTTATCAGTGTATTCCTCGGGGGCAATGTAGGGGGCAGAACCGCATAGGCCAGATACCATATGCGCGTCCGTTTCCCAGGCCATTCGGAAACACTCTCCGTTGCCGAAATCTGTGATCTTAAGGGCGCCGCGGGTGGTAAGCAGCAGGTTCTCGGGCTTGAGGTCGCGATGTGCTACGCCCATTTCATGTAGATATTCAACACCACGCATCATCTGCTTGAAGAAACAGTCGGCTTCTTGAACTTCGAGCTTCCCACTTGAGAGAACGAGAGTGTAGAGATCTCCTCCAGCACAGAACTCCATTACTTCACAATAATCGCCCTTGGCGTCCTTGAGCAGGTCAAGCGTATGAATAACGTTGGGGTGTCGAAGGGACGACGATATACAAAATTCGGCTGTAAGGCGCTTGCTGTACTTCTTCTCTGTCTCTTCTGGCCTGCGTCGGAACTCCTTGACAGCAAACAGCTTTTCGTTGCTGCCTCCGATTTTCTTGTGGGAGATGCGAACAATGCCGAACGCACCACGTCCAACTACCTCCTGGCATTTGCCGTATTTTTCGACCAGAGTCGTTGTTGCGCTGGGTCCATTTTTCTTTTCGCCCGCTTCGTCTTTCTCCTGTTGCAGAGTGTCCACCCAGTTCGAGACGAGTGAAAGATCGTGTTCGGGCGTTTCCTCATGCTTCTTGCCAATGAGTGCTCTCCACATATCTGAAAGCTTCTCCTGACGTCGACTTGATCTTAAATGATGCTCATGTCCTCCCTGCAACTCTGGATCTAGAACAAAACGCTGAGAGGGCTCCTTGCCGGCTGACTTTGGTGTAGATTTGCCAGGTGTTGCTGCTTTTTCGGCGGGTTTCTGCACAGGCTTGTCACTCCCCTTCTCAGTTGATGGTATCTTTCCTGCAGGCGTAGAAGTACCATTCGTCGAGTTGGCGCGTGGACGATTAGGTAGGTCGATGGTCGAGGGAGCAGGTGTTGGCACTCTTGATGTATCCTTGGACGAAAACATGCGAGTGAGGCGATTCTTGACAGAGGTAGTGGGCTTCAAGTGAGTGTCCGAAGGAGGGTTTCCGTTGGCACTGGTCGCACCATTTTGCGGTGTTAGACCTGGGGAGTTCTTGACGCCATCTTGAGACTTGACCGAGGGTGGTTTTGAGCTCGTTGCAGATGGTGGTTTTGAGGAGCCAGATGCGGTGGGCATTTTCGTAAATGAATAAACGTCGAGCGTCAGTGTCTCGGATACTGGAGAGTACAGTTGGGACGAAGAGTCGAGAAAAGTGTCGCGATAGCGGGATATGCGGCGGCTCGGTGCGACAGCAGACACGGGCGGTAGCACAAGCACAAGGTGGGCGTGGGCGAGCACGACTCGAGCAAGGGATTGTTGCGCGACGGATCAGTCTAGAAGCAACGGTCTGCGGTGAGCGTACGACCGAAGCCAGCGTACAACAGTAAGCCAAGTACCAGGTGACGGAGAGAAAAGCCGAGCGCAGAAGAGCGACTTTTAATAGTGCTTTCTGAAAAGCGCAGTGCCGCTAACAAGAACAAGATTGACGAGCAAGTGGGCAAAAACAAGACAGTGGGGGATCTCTGAGCTGTCTTTGGGTCCCAGATCTTGGCGGAGAGTGGGGACGAGGCAAAGCGCAAGACGGGCGTCGATACGTAGTTGTTGGACTGGACTGAATGTAGGTAGGTACTGGATCGCAGATGGTGATGGTGGCTATGAAGAGCCAGTACTGTTACAGTACCTCGAGAGTGGCGGTCCAGTTGTTTGACGTGACGTGATAGCAGGTATCGAAAGATGCCGACAAAGACACAGTTTCGAGGTTGGGTTGCCTGGACACTGAAAAGCGACAAGAGAAAGTCCGAAGGCAATAGAGAGAAAAAGGGCAAAAAAACGAGGCACTGGGAGGAGGGTCCTCAGTCACGGTTCTCTAGACTTCTTGGCTGATGCTGGTGATGCCGAGCGCCAAGACAGAGCGGATGCAGGTCACGAACGGATGTCGACTTGCAGGGGAAGCGCTATTGTCGTTGGATGGGTGCAGTAAAGCACTGCACTGTACTGTATATAACTTGAGTCACAGTGACGAAGCGAGGCGGAACGAGGGCAGTGAAAAAAGAGAAATGAATTCCGTCTTAGTGGTAGTCTTTGGGGGTTTCCGAGGGCGCTGGCGCCCGTGCAGCAGTACCGGTGACAAAATATAAGGTGAGGAGGAGGGGCGATCTACCTTTGTTATGACTGCTTTAATAGAGCAGAACAAAACAAAGGACAGAGAGGTAAAAGAGGACGAGTAGAGAGAGGGGAGGTGAGAGGTGAAAAGAAAAACGATGTAAAGCAGTTGTGGAAGAGGAAAAAGGGAAGCGGCAATTTAAGACGGCGGGTGACTAGAAAAAGTGAGTGAGGTGAGGGTTTTGGCTACGGCAATGTCCAGTAGACAGGTAGGCACTGTTAACAGCACTAGGTAACTGTGAGGCAGGCAAGCTAATGGTAATTTATTATTATTAACCACTGATGAAGAAACAACGATGGACCCCATCGAAACAATCAAATTAAAATGAACTATACTCCAGAGTACTTTGCTAATCATGACGCTCTATATGTCGTTGCAGGTACCCGCAAGGTTAATTGTAAAAGTGCAGGACTAATTCCTATAAAATTCCGCCGTTGGCTTGCTCCAATTTATTTTCCTAGCACCTCTTGCTACTCCCTACATTTACTTTAGTAGCTTACAAGGAGTATGCACTCGCTACTATGCCTTGACTGGGAGAACGGAACATTGACACAAGGACGAGCGGCAACAACTTACAGTCAGTCAGTCATCAAGTATCATAAGAAGATCTTTCGGCCAAGTTGCATCAGCATAAACGGATATAGACCATACATACTACCGGGGCTACGCCGGCATCAGATGGCCTTGTATGGGTCGTATTGATAATATTTTCCATATATTGCCCGTCTTTGGACTACATCAGGTTTATCATCGGTCATTTCCACTCCAAAAATCAGTTATCAAATCAGTAGTATTTTAGCAGATTGTCCACATCATCCATTATTTTCATTACTGCACCCCAGCCGAAGCTGGAGGGTCAGAAGGGCATGTTTTCCAGTACAATGAGAATTGATCATCTAATCCTCTTGTCACTTCACTCACTTATTTCCGAGTCAAGGGTTTTCCGACCCATGTGTGAACGTAAACGGAACGAGCCCTGGCCTGGCCCTCGTCAAATGCCCTTTCACGAAAGGAGGGGCCAGCAGCGCTACTCCGAGGAGGGAGTAGTCATGATAGTGTCATGAGGTCCAGGTACCAGAGAGGGAACTTTCCCCCAAGCTAAATGCTACTCTCGACGAGGCCCAGACTGGATCCACAAGGTCTCTTTAGAGCTGATTGAAGATGAAAAGATACCTCAGACTGGCTACCATGAGCCCCGCCTGTCATCCAGCAGGGATGTTAATGAGGTATGTCCAAGTATGGAGTACCCTCTAGTACATGGGCCAGACTTCTATACCAAATAATTGAATGAGAATAAAAAATAAAAAACCACAGAACTTCTCCCAACCCCCGAAGAAATCTCTGGAATGTGGCCATGTACTTCTGATAGTTTCATGCAGGATCCTACACTCATGCTCAGTATCATATCTGCATGAAAACTGCATCTTGTAAAACGCAAGGCGGTGACGTAGAGCAGCGAGCCAATCCGGAATACCGAGGAGAGTGCCTAAATGTATGACGGCAGATCTAGGAACACAGAACCGGTAAAACAGTGACCCGGTCCCCAGCGAAGATACGATAGAATCAATAGTAGCTCAATACGCTCGACGGTAGCTAGACAACCCACATAATCAGCTATGATGACTCTCCCTCTCTTGTGCTTCGGCCTCTAGTTGTCATGCTCCAGCTCAAAGTAGAGTTAAAGCAGAGCAGCAATGCCACCCTAGCAGTCGATGCGGTGTGGTCCATCTCTGTGGATACCCCTCCAGTGTTGGACTGACTGCTCCGTCTCGTTAATTCCCTGAGATGCATCGGGGGTGATATCTCACTGAGGATTGGCCTGTTTGGTTTTTGTACGGTGAATAATAAGACTGCCTGCAAACAAATCCCCAACGACATGGGCCATATACCGTTAATATGCACAACTCAGAAGTTGTCTCACATGGAAAGGGAAGAGCCGCTGGTCATGCTCCTACTTGGCGCATCGATTACCAAGCTGGATTATCACATTGGGCGTGAATGCAGTGGCGGTTTGGACCACAGCCTCAGCCTGTTTTCTTCGGGAGACCGCTGTTACTTGTTACTTCTAGCCCGTTGACATGTGCCATTAATATCTGCCTGGCCAAAAGCTGCAGGTGTCTTGCAATAGACTGCCGTACTCGTACACAAGCTGAAGCGAACGGAACATCAATCAGAAAATATCATGCTGTTGCATGTGGGCTTTTTACAGTAGGTGGTGTCACGATAGGCTTTCTTGTAACGTGAGAAGGATAATTACCGAATGGATCTGGTTTGTGCGTTTGATGGTTTGAACATGATAGATATCCTTGAACATCGTGCCGACCCCAGCCTACTCCACTGACAGAAGTGCCAAGAAATGGCGCATGGCTAGGAAGAGATCCGGCTAGACAAGGATACCGGAATTGTGGAGGTGTAAGTAACGGATGTATCTTTCAAGTTCCTCTTTAATGAGGACAAGCTTGCTGTAAGGACTGCATAGCATAGCCTGTTGCCTTATTTCACAACTGATTGTTGGGAGAACTCATCGACAATAACACTTGTTCCCAACTCTGCATTTTAATACCAGAGCTGAATTTGCTACTCGACTTTCTCGAGCGCCAAGACACAAGTTCATGAAGTCCAACGTAGGTACTGTAGGTACTCAATGCCTACATCAACTGATGCATTAGCATTCATAATTCATCTGTCTTGCAGGTTTTAACGGCAAGTAAAAGCAGAAAAGGTTAAGTCTCACCTTTTTGTCTTTGTAAGTACTCAAACCGTAAAGCCATCAGCCTCAACCTATCCCTTCATCAACAGAGAGGGTTTTGCGCTTTGAACGCCTGGTGTTCAAAGTTCACTTCGCCAAGTAATGGTTGGAAGGTCATTGGCTGGCCCTACAGCATTGGCATTGGACATTGTCGATACCCCTGTAGAGCACACATGCCCTCCCTCATGTGGAAGAACAAGCCTGGGATTTATCATGATGATCATGAAATCGATTGTCGTTTTGAAGACTGGGCACAGACTGTCTTGGCTTTGACAGAAATCTTCAATGCTGGGAACCAAGCATCAATGACACTTCACCTGAATGGATGCAACATGAAGTAGCAGGAGATGAGTCGAGAGCTCCCTTTACGTATCAACGAGGTACTAGAGGTAGCTTTTCATGATCTGTTGAATGTATTCATTTCAACAAGAAAGTAAAGAAGGCTTCAAAATTCGGCCCAGAGCTCCTTCCACGACCAGGTACCTTCCCAGGTAGGTAGGTGCCACCTCCGGGGTAGACAGATCCTCACTTGGGTTTTTATCCCTTTCTTCAAGTAATGGTTACAGCAGCTTGTCCGTCAAGCCTTTGGTTTCTTACACCTAACTAGATTTAGTAGTTAGTTAGCTCCTCGCTCCTATGGGTCAGTGGGATTCACAGGCTAATGTATAGCTGTAGCTGCATTGATTATTGAACAATGGATAAGAGTCTAGATCACGGCCCGGTCCAAGATCCTGCGATGCAGCCACTCGACGAACAAGTTTGTGTCCTCGAAATACGTGCTCCATTGTACCTAGCCATGTAACGCAAGCATCGCAACCACCAATGCATATCAGAACTGTGCACACCAGCGCCGAAGCTGGTGAATTCAAGGGACCACCCACAGCAAACAGAGCTAGATAGAATTGAGGATTCCGACATAGTCGTTGTTCATTCTTTTACCAATTCGATTTCGCATGCTGGTTACAGTACACGAGATGAGCCATGATACTGCACACTGTGAGGTATTTCCATGCATCCGCACAAAGCGTTATGAAGTGGCACGATCTGCTGATATCTTTGCTCTTTTTGCGCGAACATCTATTTCTACTTGCGTTTGTGTATGTGTACTGTTCATGTATATGCTCAGTGGCACAGCCCCCGCTCCTCCAACCCCCGAGACTACAAGGAACCTCACTTCCACGGAGTCATGGAGTTTGTCGGCACTCGCCAATACTTTAACGAGTTAGCTCTGACAACAAATTACCTCTTTTACAAGATCTACTAACCAAGTTCAAGAGGCCTCCTGCTTAGAAACTGTGTCCCCGGCCAAAGACTGAAGCAAGGATTACTAACCCTGTAGTTGCACTTCGAAGCTCGTGGTGGAGCCCAGTTAGCTCCATAACTCTTACCTCATCTATGAGGTACAGTCTCGAACTCACCAGCTCAGTAATTACTCCAACAGAGGACAAGCCAGGCTGACGTAATCGATAGCTTACAGAATGTCTTTTGCCATTCTTTTGATCGAGTGATTGATTTTTGAATTTCCTATGTTGATGTCTTGATATTCATTTTTCCGAGATGCGAGTATCAGCACGTGATTTACCGCGTTAGCGCACTGCGTGCCGTTGCAGCAGCCCCACAGCACTGGCCAATTATTATTCGGTCGCAATATCTTAAAAAAACAACCTTTTGTCTACATGCAGTAATAACAAGTTCCGAATTGCGAAAGAGTTGATATTCAACCCGCTTTATAGATCGATTATCTATCTGAATATGTAAAATCACATAACTTTGCCTCTTGAATCTTTCTTCGCCGTGCAATTTCCATAGAACTAATCAGCTATGGGATAGTTCACTTATGCTGAGCACCGACAATTTGAACTCCACTATCGATCCAACTTATTAACGGCTTGATCGATCGACACGCTGATATCTTATGGTTGTTTCGTCTTCGTCCTTGCTGACTATTGGTGTCAACCTTATCACATATAGGGATGTTCTATTTTAACGCAAGCGCAAATGTTGTCGCTTAAGCACGGTTCGAGATAGGACCTTGCGTTATGCGGTCCAAGTCAGAAAAGGCAATGCATATGCCTCTCATCCCCAGGGACGTATCGCTAAAGAAAGATGGCTTGTGGTAGGCAAACCCTTCACCGCTTGACCCTCGTCCACCATATCTCGACATTTGCACAAAGTAGAGATTGTAGCATGACAATGCTTGTGAGATATCATATCACCTCGTAACCTTACGGTTGGTTACTCGGACGTACCAGGCATCACTCCGTCTTGTCTCAATCATCAAGCCGTTTACTTACACACCGACAGGAAAGTGTATACACCTTGCCTGCTCGTGGTCTATCGCTAAGAGTCTACTGGCTTACACTTGACAACCATCATATCGACCCCCCGGCCCTGTTCCCGAAGGCTATCCTTATGGCCCACACAAGCTAGACAAGCTATATACAGGCTTATCGAAGTTTTCATCTTGACCCTGCCAGACCCATGCTGCACACCCAATTGTGTCTCACCACAGCTCGTTGGTAGCCGCTGATCACGACCTTTGCAGGCGGCTGAGCTTTGATAGTAGGTACTCTTCATGTATAGTGACACCTTGAGCAACGGTTCCCACGTGGCATCGGGTGTTCCTGGTGCCTTTATATACAGACCGACCCACATATGCATGGGAAGGGAGACGACCCGAATCTTATATCCCGTCTGCGGAACAACTTCCCGTTGTCGCAAATGGTCTTGGCTCTTTCTAACGAGACGGTGTATCGATTTTGATCGGTAAGTGTTTAGAGGATATTCCAAGTTTAGGCAATTCTCTCCCAACAACCATCCTGACAACGTGTCATGCTTGGTTCTCCGGGTACCGGAAAATTTGGTCGCTAGAAGCATAAGATACGACATAGCAAGTCTATTTATGCTGTTTACTAGGCTTTTAGGTTTATTTTTATACCCTAAAGCTTAAAGACCAACCTCTCTATTACCTAGAGTCACTTGTGATGGAATTGACACGCCTACGGGCTTATTCATAATACACTATATGTATAACAATTATCCTATCAACGATACATGTAATAGATACACTGCGTTGCGCAAGTTTTGTGTTTATGTTTTACGCGTCTGTTTCTTTCAAGAATGCCCACCAATGCTCTTTCCAAACCCCGTCTCAACGCCATTGTCCCGCTCGTGCTTCCCAACCTTCGAATCCATTGCCGGATACAATGAAATATCCAGAATTAGGTTTCACTCTTATCCAATTGATTATCCGAGAGGCCCAGCTTGGAAGTTAGGTTGGTGATCAGATTAGGAGCCGAGCCTGTCGAGCTCGACGTCTGTGGATCATGTGAGTGTTTGGCAGTATCATCGTCTTTGACCAGCTCAGAAACACCTTTCAGGTTCTCTGTGTCCTGAACGAACTTGGTCAGGTATACAGTTGGCCTGCGCGTAGAGACATTCGGGTTGGAGGTGATGCTCTCGATCGCCGTTTCATACGCTCGTTCATAAACGTTAAAGTCAACTGCTGTTGGCGAGTCGGATACCATATCTGGAGTAGCCTCGTTAGAGGCAAACTCGTCCATCGTTCCGGTGCCGATACCAAGGAACGGCGTAGTGTTTTGCGTATCAAGTTCTTGTGCTGGGGGCGTCCCATTATTCGCACTCGGCTTTTGTTTCTGCGCCTGGAAAGTTCGTCTCCGGGAAAGCAATGCCTCAATCACCTCAGCCTTGGCCTTCTCCTCCGACGCATCAAACGAGCCATGGTTTTGCTTCGGAGTGCTAGTGTTGGATCTGGCGCGATGCTTGGCCAAGATTGACTTGAAGCGGTGGATGACTTTCATAACACAGAGGAGGTGGTTCATCTTACGGGTGAAAGCACGGTTAACTTCAAGCTCATTAGGTGGTTCTACCATGTTGACACAGTTTTCCTCGGCAGAAAGCAAGTAGTCTGTGCCTTTCTTGGTGACCCATGGGTGCTCCTATTTCAACGTCAATTGTCATCATCTCAGTGCTTTAACGAGTTGCGCAGCTTACTCGGAGCTTGTCCATGGTTATGCGCTGTTCTGGATCTTTGTTGAGAATTGTGTGCATGAGATCGACAAAGTCTGGGTTCTCATCTTCAGGGAGAGAGGGTTCGTCAGACCGAATGGCATCGTACATGTCCAAAACACCATCGCGGTTGAAAGGGATACGCCCATACTTTAGACAGTAGAGTGAAACCCCCATTGACCAGATATCAGCAGCAGTTCCAGACACATCCCCATGCTTACCGCAGAGTTCGGGGGGCAGGAATGCCGGAGAGCCTGCAGATTTTGCTGTTCTCATGTTGTCTGGTTTCTCAAACATCTCGGAAACCCCAAAGTCAACAACCTTCAGCACATCGTCATTGGACACCAAAAGATTATCTGGTTTAATGTCCCTATGGATAACACCCTGCGCATGTACTTCAAACCATTATGTTAGCCCTCTGAAGGAGCGGGTTTGATCTGATGATACTCACAGTATTCAATGGCTAATATCAGATCTCGGAACCAGTAGCGACAGTTCTCCTCTGAATAAGGTTCAGCCTGCTCATCCAAGCCAACTTTCATTACGACACCCTTCCGGCACATCTCGAGGACCATGTAGATGGAGTCCTCCTCGGGATCATCCAGAACCTCGTAAAGCTGGACAAGATTAGGGTGGTTGAGCTTCTTCATGATCGCGATTTCTTCCCGTATGAGGTGCAACGCATCATTAGTATCATTGACGAGGCGGGGAGTAGCGTTGAAGGGACCTCCGCCACCAGGACCCATGCGCCTCGGACCTCGAGGACCTTGTCTGAGGATGGTTGATTGAAGGCGTTTTCGAAGACGAACTTTGGAGAACTCTTTAACGGCCTAAACTTGTGTGAGCCGAGAGACAACGTCTGGGGGGTGGGTGCAAGGTCTGATGCTCACGTATTCCTGGCCGAACTGGTCTTTGGCAAGATGAACTGCGCCATAAGAGCCCCTACCGATTTCCTCCAGGATTGTGTACTGGTTTACTCGGTGGTGAGAGGCACCATCAGCATCTTCATCCCCAAACTGAGTTTGCGCATCAAGAGTTTCCTAAGAGTGCTGGTCAACTACGCGAGGTCTACTTGAGGTGTTGCCATTGGTTTCATACCTTGACTTGTCGATGAGCACTTGGGGTTCGCTTGTGATGTCTAAGAGGGCTTGAGAAATGGAGAACCTCTGTTGGTTCTGTTCTGTTATCGGTCACATTGTCAGCTGGGCGCATTCAGATTCTACCTTTGAGTTGACTTGCAGATGATGAGTGAGGGGCGGCGGAGGCCTGTTATCAGAAGCGTCGTCATGTTGGTCAACTCTCACTTGAAGCGAAGGGAAAGTGAACGAAGGCCTCATCTCTGGATGAGTCGCTGGCTCAGGCGTGTCCATGCTGAATGATACTGTAAGACCAAACAACGAAAGCAAGATTGGGTACTGGATAGACTACCTGGTTCAGTTCTTGCGATGCGATGCGATTGGGCTGGATTGAATTGACAGGTTAGATTGAACTGCCCCGCAATCAATCCTTTGCAAATTGGGGTTTGAACTTTTACGTTGGAAATTCTGCTGTGGAAGTGGAAGAAGGCGGCTGTTTAAGGATAAACAACAAGGCTGACACAGCAATCTTGAATCATCTGTACATGTGATTGTGATGATGGAAAGAAGGAAGGAATCTAATAAGCCTCTGTCTCCAGCTGTGAGCCTTGGCTGCCCGCTTACAGTAGTCAGTCAGCCCTGAGGCTATGATGCGCTAGACGATGGACAGTTCCAGCTGAAAGTACTGAGCTTCCAGGACCATGTCAGTGGCTGCCCCACCAAAGCTTTCACTTCCTAGACCAGCCACAGTGAATTGAGCCTCAGTGGGTGACAGCCCATCATGACCCAGGTTGTCTTATCTGTCTGTACCTGTACTCTCTACCAACCTTAGTACTATCGCATCGCATCGCATTCCATCCACCTCGACACTGTTTGATTGAGCCCGATTTAGAACTCAATCCGGCGCATCTTAATTCAGCCAACTACAGAAACCCCATCTTCTTCTCTCCGTTTCTTATGCGCAAGGCATCAATCTTATTGCCAGCCATTCAACAACCTTCCACGTCGACCTTGAACCCCTTTGAACCACCATCATGGTTGTCTACTCATTCCACATCTTCGACCGACACAGTAAACAATACCCCTTTCCAACACTCATAGACCTCTCAGCTAACAATTCACTCTCTTTACAGCCGAGTGCGTCTACTCCAAGTCATGGCTACCATCGTCTGCAGGCTCCGAAACCGCCGCACCCACGACATCCTCCGACGACGCAAAGCTTCTGTTCGGAACCGTCTTCTCCCTACGCAATATGGTTCGAAAGCTTGGTGGTGATGACGACGCATTCATCAGCTACCGAACTGCTCAGTATAAGCTTCACTTTTACGAGACACCTGCGAACCTAAGATTCGTTATCTTGACCGACACAGCAACACTGAGCATGCGCAATGTACTACACCAAATATATATCAACCTCTGGGTTGAATATGGTATTTTCAACCGTTTACACCATTTATATAATGAGACTAATCACCGTGTTTAGTGGTCAAAAACCCTTTGGCGCCAGTAGAGCATAAGAAAGGCGAAGGTGTCAAGAACGAGCTCTTTGAACTCGGCCTCGATCAGTTCATCAGGGGCTTAATGTGAGAAGTACATATAGTCAGATCATCGCTAAAGCAATGCTTTTGCAGCGCCAACAACCAGGCAGTTCGAGAGAAGCCGCCTGCCTCATGCGGATACTGTGGTCTGAAGAACGCATATGCTTGTCCAAGACCACTATTATCCAACGCCATCTTCCAGGATGGGAGATAAGTCGAATCCGGGGACGACATGACCATGTTTCCTGGCGTCAAGCAGGGTTTTAGTCTGCATGGTATTATCGGTTCGCATCACAACAAACAACCACACCTCATGACGTCGGCAGAGTAGGCGTACGGAAGCAGAAGGAGAAGAGACTATACCCAACGCCAATTCCGGCATAAATAATACACGAGCCGATGCGTTAACCACATCCCTCGAACTCGACTAGACTAAACGAATACCCGCCGCTTCTAAATAGCATACGATGTGTGTTTTATGTCGGTGATTCAAATACATCCCAATATTATGCTAATCATTGATATCCATACCCTTACAATTCCCATGATAACCCTGCCATGACTCCCCCTATGCGTTATATAGCTGCACAACCAAAATACGCCTTACGGGTTGTTATCCATTGCTCGTCCCCATGCGCTCTCGAAACCCCCTTGCGAATCGACCACAACCATGCTTGCTTCGCCCTGTGTCTGGTTTTGAGTTTGTGGTTGCGTTGTTTTTCCACTGATTTGCGGAGCACCAAGATCAACGGCGCTGGCCATGAGATCATCGCCTGTGCGAATCTCTTGTTCCCAGTTGCTTGAATACACGACAGCGGCAAAAGCCTCGAGATCACGGACAGTTTCCATCTTTTGGAGATACTCATTTGGCATTCCGTCACCAATGACGTGAGCTTGTCGCGTCAACACTGACATGATCTTAGGCAGCAAAATCACCTTGGAGCGCTGCTGATCCTTGAGCTCAGGGGTTACCATTCCATCAGAGGCCGGGAGCTCGAATGCTGCAGTAGCAAGCTTATTGTCCGTCAGATATGAGAAGCCAGCGTCGAGGAGCAGGGTGAGAACGTGTATGAAGCTGGGTGATTCAATGAGATCCGCGGTCTCGTCAAGAAGACGTCTCAGGATTGCCTGCGACGCAGCTGGTGAGTGTTCAGGGTCGTGGTTAGCTGCTTCATCAAGTATACCCGATTCTTTGATCACCTCATCCTCCATATCTCTGGGCGGAAGCAGAAATTTGAGCCAGTCAGACTTTTGGCGCTCCTCGTTCGTGGGGCCTTCAACAAGCTTTCTAACCTCCATCGTCAGCTCGGAGAATCTCTCGAAGCTCAGGAGGTCTCTTGGGCTAAGGCTGCCAAAGACGGTGCGCACAGCACTTTCGACTCGGTGCATGAGATCCTTCCAGCCCTTGTTAAGCAGCCACCAGCTGAAAGTCAGGTATTTGCGGTTTATATCAAAGTCGCTGCCGTATGCCTGCTCTGTGTTGTCGTCATCGTTGTTCTCAAGGCTAATGGTGCCGTGCTGGCCACCTGTTGCAAGGGCCACCACGCTCGATAAGTAGCTTCGTCGACCCAATAGGTTGAGTTGCACTCGAGTCAGCATTGTTAACAATGCAAGGGTATATATCAGAGTGAACGATCGCGTCACGGCTGTTTGACACATTAGCTGTCCGTCAATCGGAGCACGCAAGTCTTACTCACCACTAATAGTCACGTCATCCCATAGTTGTCGTTTTGTCTTGCGTGGTTTTGGAGCCTCCTTATTCGCCTCACCACCAGCATTGAATGGTGAGGACGTGGGGATCTGACTGGGGTGTACACCGCTCTCGCTCTGGCCTGCCATGCTCTTCCCGTCCTCCTCTGTCAATGTTGTGTCGGCGAGGCTTGGTGGTGCGGCAGATTCGTTACCGCCATTCTTTATGGCCTTGGTGGCCTTCATCTGCTGAATCTCTAGTGTGATCTGTTCCGTGTTCATGGCCTCGATAATGGCAGTCGTTGCGGAAGGCAGGAGAGCCAGAACGGTGAATGTACAATCCTCTTGGTTCTGTTCGAAGCGACGTCGCAAGCTGTGAAAATTTATCAGTAAATAATGGCTCTAGTTCTTGTCCGGGAGGATAAAGTTTACTTCTCCTTGGCGATACGATCGCTGCTCATGCGCTCGCGAGCATCGTTAAGCTTGCCGATAACATATTGAGTCGCGACATAGCCAGCACCGATGACGCCCACACCAACAGCGATGGGTGTCCGGTTGTTGCGCAACCAGCGCCGAGTGGATGTGAACATTATACAGACGGAGGTGGTGGATTATTCGCGATGAGGTAGTGATGATGATGATTCGATGGATCAATTGCTCTTGTAGCTGTGGCTATAACGTGTATTGAGGTTCGCCAAGGAAAGGGGTGCTACGTGGACATGTGGACGTTAACAAGGTCGTTGAGTTTGTTGGATTGGAGTACTAGTAAAATAACGGAGTAGGGGAGAAAAAAGGTTCGGGATGATACCATGCACAGTCTATCAATCAATCAATCACAATATGAGCCTCGGCCCCAAATCTGGAGGCTTGATCAAGTGTAAGATGGGATTGACATGCCCCGTGTTCGGTGGTCGGCTTCGGCAGACACGACCGATGTGGAGGCGATTTGTGGCGTCTGTGGCTGTGCAGACAAGATAAAGCACGGGGTAAGTGGAGAGTGGAGACGGAGACCCCATGCCCCTCCCATATGGCTCAGTGACGTTGTTTAGGAGGCTATTATCTAACATTACTCTCCAATATCTGCGCTGCGATATCCAACCTACTCTCTCCCATTTCAACTCCTTTCATCTACACCAATCATGCTTGTAGCGCATAATCAAGTACACGACACCCCAAACAACATGGATCAACAGGAACCACCAGAGTTTATTCTCGATGTTTTTACTGATCCGCGCTCCGTTCGCGACGTGGTTAAAGGTTGGTTCTTGTCTCCTAATCGTCATCCTACCCTAGACAAACCACCCCGCTATCCTCGTGACAGCTTCAACAATGCTCTGTGCAACAAGACGGATTTATCATGACGAACTCAGTCTAACTTGCCTACTATAGGTATACTTCATACGATATTCTTTCACAGATTCTTTCCTTCTCTAGTTCCTCAAACTCGTGAAGTTCTGGACCTCACCCTCCCCTATGTGGACGACGATGAGCTCGAGACCATGATAGAGCAGCGCGTCGCGGCGTTTGAGCGACAGATAGACACACAGCGCTCATCCGGCGGAACAAACAATGTTTCTGGTGGAAGCGCGACCGGCGGGCGCGGACAGTTGGTTGTGCAGTTCTTTGAGAAGCGCCGGCGCAAGGCTTGGTTATCTCGTGGGGATGAAGAGGTTTGCTGGGAATGTTGGACGATCAAAGTAACCGTCGCCGAGCCCAGAACAGAAAGCGGTACGCTTCAGGCTCCTTGGCTCACCCACGAGGATATCACTAATAACCAGATAGAGCGGGCCAAAGTTCGACGCGCCATGGAACAAACCCTTCTAACGACGGCGATGAAGATTGTTACGTTCGCAAACACTCATAAGGACCACATACCACCCATCACCACCCAAGGGACGAACCCGTTCCCATACAAGATTAATCTCGACCAGAAGGAAGCAACAGGCTGGGCAACACGAATGCGAATATACTGAGGAACCCGTTGAAAGCTAGAAGCGAGACTGAGAATTGGACTAGGGCGCTCTCTGTTATCAAATTCAACAAGGGCTAGGTGGCCTGAGTCTTGTTCGTATTGACAATTACGCAAACAGCGACTCGAGGGTTATGGTGCAGCGGATATATAGACCTGAGGCGTTTGTGGAGTTTGGAATCAGCGTTTAGACTCTTATCATAATTGATATCCATTTATCAAAGCTAATCACCAAAAACTTCTCTGGCTAATGTTGGCTAGCTATGTTGATTGCACAGGCCGCCGCACCCAAGGTTTCAGCCTCGCATGCCGCGCAAGAACAAGACACGGCACAATCACCAGCACAGACACTCGAAAGCGAATTGTTTGTGTCGTGGAGTAGATAAGGGATGCGCACAATAGAAGTAACGAAAGGGTTGCGACAATGTTAAATACTAATATCGTGTCCATATATGATAGTAGCTGTCGTGCGTAATCATATGTCCTGACCATGCCTATCCGTTCCCAAGTTGAGCTTTCCCAAAACAAAACAAAAAAACACATGTACCAAAAACGCGCAAACATGCAAGGTGCACGCAATCCCTAACCATCATTCCACCCAGAGAACCATCCAACACCGCGCAGGGCTACATAATGTAATGTAAAAGAGTAAAACCAGAGCATAAAACCATCAACGCACTCAAACACAGATCCCAAAAATGCCTGTTCCGCAACCCAAGCCTTGAGAGCAAACACAACGCGCTCTTAAGTCATTACTTTCATCAACTGCTAGCTGTGAAGCCAATCCGAGTACCTGGCTTAAGCCAAGTCTCGCTGTTCTAGTCCATACCGGATACAACCCAATATCCCCGAGTTATGGTTGGGTGTAGACCAGGCCACATTCCAAGAAATTGCTCGTGTTGTCTTCTTTCGTCAAATCGTGAATGTCATGCATAATTATGCTTATTTCGTCGTCTTGCCACGTTCGTTTTTATCAAGTTTTCTTTGTCTTAAAATTGGGTTGAAAAACTTCGGGGTAATCCGGGCTTGTTGTTCCTTGAGGTGTTGTTTTTGTTTGCCTGTGATGTCGATCCGATCTTGTCAAAACCCTTGAATATGTCGAAACTAGACACATCCGTTGAAACACCAGGGCTAGGAGGCACAAATTCCAGTTGGCCCAGAAGAGCTGATGATGCCCAGTCGCTGCTGTCCAAGTTGACGTTCAAAAAGTTGGCGAACTTGGAGGGAGACTGATTGTTGCGGATGGGCGATTCCTGAAACATCTTGCTGGGAGAGCTCAGGCCTTCAAACGCCTTGCTTGGTGTATCAAACTGGAGAGACTGCTCCGGGGGTCTCAACAGAGGTGCAGAAGCAATAGGCTTCTTGGTCGCCGAGTTGGTGATATCGCCCAGGACCGATGCAGACACGGTGCGATCAAGTCGAGCGCGCTTGGCCGTGCGCTTGATGGGAGATCCAGCATCAACCGAGCTCATGGCCGCAAAGGTGGCATCATCAAGCCCATCAAACCCAGCGAGATCCTGGCTGATGGTAAAGTCCGCATCGCTCAAAATAGAGGCGCCGAAAACCGATTGGTAGACATCTGTGCCCAGATCGAAAGCAGGGCTATATGGTGTGAATTCAGAATTGCCCCCAACCTTCCGTTCAGGCGACTGGAGCAAGTTTCGCATTCTGTCACGATGGATTCGAAGATTTGTGTTGGGAGATGCTGATGGAGGGGGCCGGGGCGGAGGGTTTAGTTTGACCATAGGCGTAATCGGCGGCAGCATCTGCTTATCGTAGGCCGGTCGGAGAGGAGACGAAGAGACGGGTGGCATGACGGAGTGATAGCGTGTCTTACTTGGGCTGAAGGGCGAAGAGTTTCGAAGACGAGCAATCTCTTCCTCTGCACGACCCCTTGACTTGTTCCGTGGGCGGTCAGCCTCCGACGTAAGCATAAACTTCTGACTGGGTCTAATGGCTGATGATTCGAGAGAAGAGATGTATCCACTGTCGTCCATAGATGCAAATTTGCGCCTGTGTGATCGTGAGACAGACGAGGCCGGGTTTCGGGCAGCCGGAGGGGGTGTGTTGCTTCGATGATCCACATGTCGGGAGACAGGCGGTGACGAATGCATAGCAGCAGGAAGTGGCGAGTAGAGATATGATTCGAGAGAAATATCGAGGTCAGTCTTGTCCGCGACATCCTCAGGGCCAATGTTATCGGAGACAGGAATCGTAGCATCGGATGAAAGATCTACGGGCATCGACATGGTGGCCTGAGACGTGGGAAGAGGTGGTAGAGCGGACTGGCTGACGGGAACCGGGGGAGGCAGTGTAGGTTCCTGGGTTGATGCAGAAGCCGGGCGAGAGGGCTCGAGGCGAGTCGATATAACGTGAAGGCTGTCTGAGCCAGAGGCGGATTTGCGAGTAGGCTTCTTGTTCAGGTATTGCGCTTCGTAACCGGGCTTGATGACCCAGTAGTGGCCTTTGCCAGGGTCGTCCTTGGGTCTCTCGACTTTCATAAAGGCCTTTTGTAGACTTAGATTGTGTCGAATACTGTTTTGCCAACCGGCATCGGTAGGGCTGTAGAAGGAGTAGTTGTCGCTGATCCAATTGTAAATTTGAGAGAGCGTGAGCTTTCGATTGGGAGATCGGAAGATGGCCATGGCAATCAAGTCGGCGTAACTAAGGGCAGGCTTGCTACCGTCATCGACAATAGGAGGGAAGGAGTCGTGGGGAGGAACGACTGTCGCGTCTGTCGCGGTTTCCACTGTCGCTGTCATTGGCTCGGATTTTATCTTCTTGGTAGATCTGGAATCTCTGATAGGAGCAGCCTCCATGAGAGCGCGCTTTCCGTTTGGCTTTTGGTAGTAATTCTCGACTGACATGTCAATGGCAGGAGGTGTTGGGAAAATTTGTGGGTGGACATTCTCTTTGCCAAAGTCCCAGCCCATGTCGAGGACGTGCTTTTGAGGACCCGTCTTAAAATTCGAGAGGTAAGGCTTCTTTTGCAGGGAATCTGTGGAGTGGCCTCGTCTTGATGGAGGCGCCATGGGGACCATGTTTAATTTGTTGCCTTGAGAAGTTGCCAAAGGTATTTGCGATGCGGAAGCAGGTCTCTGCTTGTAGGGTGAGTGCACATTGTGGGAGGCGGTGGGTGGGTTGAAGACGAGGTTTGAGGTTGAGCTAGTCAGGGGCCTTCGGGCTTGCTTCGAGACTGATGGCATAGGAGCGTGACTAGTCATGGGCGTGGCATTCTCGTCCTGGTATATTTGCAATGGCCCAGATGAACTGGGAAAACGCGTGTGTTTGCCCATGGTGGTAAGAGCAAAAAGCTCAATATGGGTACAGTCGCGCGGTGAGATGGAGCAAAAAAAGGTTGAACCAAACGTGGGACTTTTAATGGAGGTTAGTAAGGTAGGTCGATACCGGGGACGGGAAGTGGAAGGGGATGACGGTAAGATAACGGCGAAGGTGGGAATAAATGAGTGGACACCGGCAGAGACTAATGGGACGAGAGTGCATGACGAGACAAGACGGTAAGGGAAGGAAAGACAAGGGAAGGGAAGGAAAGGACTTTAGTTACTCACAAGGATACGATGGACAGACCGTGAAGTTCAAGGTAACAGTGAGAGCAGAAAGTGGAGCCTGCCTGGACAGGGCTGTCGTGGGTTGGTCTGGGCGCTCAATAGGACGAGCAGCCGGTATTGGTTTTGGTGTAGTTATCTGGGGTTCACGGTTCACGGTCTCTGAGAAGTGGTCCGAATATAGAAGCGAGTTTAGACGGTCGAGGAATATATGTCTAAGTCGCGTCGACAGGAGATTATGAACAGAGCAAGAGCGGCGTCAAAATATATGCGAAATCTTGCAAAGCCGGCCAAGACAATGTACAATAAAGATAATGTGGTAAGAGTGAGAGTTGAGAGCCGGTGTAGCAAGCGCAATTGGTGAATCAAACAAGGGCCGAGTCGAATGCGATAGAATGCGTACAGTGAGATATTACTTTTACTCTCTAATGATTAGGCGAGAACAGATGTCGATTAATCGAAAGTGAAGAGAGAAAGGAATAAGCAATAGAATAAAAGGCTCGTAAGAATACGGAAGAGTATGTAGAAGTGTAAGAGTTGAGGGTGAGAGTGAGAGGAAGTTGAGGAGGAGAGAGCAGAGAGATGATTGAATGATGCAGCCAAGCAAGGTGTGAGGTGAGTTTGGTACCTAGACGCAAACCAGACCACACCGGGCGGGCAGCAGGGCAGGCAGGCCAGGAAAGAAAAGGCCTTTGGATTGGGGGGATTTAGCTGGCAGCTGGCAGCAGCTGGCGGGCGGAGGCAGAACACGGCACTGTACTGTAGCGTATCGTAGCGTCTGGCCGCAGTGTGTGTGGCCTAGTAGTGGAGACTCTTGAACTGGGCGCAGGGAGGATGATGAGAACAGAACGGTCCAGCGTCAGGGATTGGATGGAGAGTGCCCAGGCTGACACGACACGCCGAGGAACAGCCAAAGAGGGGACGCTGCGTGAGCACTGTCTCTCTTTTGCCTTGGTAGTATAAGATTGAGTTGAGTGCAATCAAATCGGTCAACGGACAAAGCGAGACGAGACTGATGTCATGGAGAAATAGTTTTAGAGTCTAGTCCACTTGAGGTCTGAGCCTCAAATCTCGGATGATGGTCAAACAAATCTGGTGATGATAATATGGAAGAGAAGAGAACAAAAAAAGAGGACGAGAGAGCACGACGAAGAGGAGGGAGGGGAAACAGAACAAGAAGATGTCGAGATGCACAACGATAGGACAGGATACTATACTGTACAGCAAGATAATCAGATGGGAAAGGGCGTGTGCAGCACAAAAGCGAGGGCGTACAGCTGCTTGTTTCGGGAATGGGCGATTGATTGATGTGAACGAAAGCCTGAGCCGACCAAAGGGAGGCCCAAGATGGAGCTCTCAACTCGAGGTGAGCAGTTGAGGTGTGGGTCGAAGGGAAAACTAGGGGCGTGTGACGCGTAGAAATCTACAGGGGTCTCACCTGCTGTACCGTACCGTACAGAACTGTAGCGGACCGTACTGTATTGTAACGCTATCAGGCCAAAAAAAAAAAAAGTGAATTGAATGGATGGAGACGGGATAGCGATTTGCAATCGCATCACCTCTACCACCACCTCAAACGAAGCGAAGCGAAGCGCCCTCGTCCTCGGCGGTCGACGCGCGCGTTCAATCAGAAACTTTGATTGGCTGACAGTGTCAGAGATTTGGAGATGCGAATGAAACTGAGCTGGATCGAAGCGGGGGATTGGATGCTGAAAGAAAAGAGACAAAGAGACAAAAAGAGAAAGAGACAGACAAAAGCCTCGTTTCTCTCTGCCGTCGAGTCAAGTCAGCCAAAACACATAACTCGGCTTCATGATGAGATATTCACCCGTCTTGTCTGAGGGGAGGCGAAAAGAGGTCATACAATGGGCCGTCCAGTCCAGCCAGTCCTTGGAACGAGAATGTCATGTTAAGCTGGGTGAAATAGCTCGAGGTTAAATGAATTTATTATGCTACCACCTGTTCAACCTGACCGGCCCTGTTGCTCATCATGCTATGCTGACTAGGTATTCACGGTCTCTTTTGTGTGTTTGGGCCGGCTTTTGGCACCTCGTTATTAATTGATAACCAGATGGCGCCTTAATGGGCTGCATACAGTAGTCAGAGTATGAAACTTGATACGTGTGTATGCATGTAGGGGCAGTGGAGATAATGACACCAGCAGATCTCGATCTTTGCTCTAATAATGTCCCATGTTTACCTACATATCCTACCTCCGGACTGACCCTCCCTTGCTCCGGATTGTCGCTACCTGATCATTATAACCGCGCAGTAGTGTCATTTCTGAAAAAGTGGTGCTTCCAAGGTGAAGCGATGAGAGACAATGCGAGGTCAAGAGGCGATGCGATGCGAATATGCTGTGCTTGTGCTTGTGCTTGTGCTGATGTTGATGGTCCTGCTTCCGGATCAGACACTGGGATTGTGCTTTGGTGCCGATCCTACCTTGGATGCGAAAGTCCGTACGTACGGATACACGAGATGGACCAGACATGGGTATGTACAGACTGTACTGTACATGTTGGAGTGAACTCATACGGTATCACGGGTAGAGGATCTGACTTGTTTCACACTTTTACCCATCATGATTTTTACGTATATCGATTTCTCTTGTCAAATATCACACACAGATTGACGTTTGACAGCTGGCACTTGACAGCCCATCAAAGAAAAGTAAAGTCAGAGAGGAAGAAGAAGAAGAAGAAGAAGAAGAAGAAAGAAAAAAAAAAGCATTTTAGATAAACGAGAACGCCAACCTTGTCCATGCTATACCTTAATCAGAACAGCAGCCAGCCACGTTCAATAGTAACCGCGATCTAATGTTAGAGATGCCGAAAGCTACAGATGCATCCACCCATACTAACAAACATAATTTCTTCATCAACTCAGGGCCCAACGTGTCCTTTCTTATCAATATCCCTCATGGAAAGGTCTCCCACACTCTCACTTCTGTACTGTGCAATACCCTACAGGCATAAACTTCCACCAGGGTATCTATCCATATCGGTAGAATGTAACGGGAGAAGATCACGGAGCGTAATCCTCCCCCCGCTCGAGCCCATTGTTCTTTACAGGGTTTCTTGAATAATGATTGGTCAGGTTGGAATGCTTGCTTGGCGAAACCAAGGCAGTTCAAAGTCCAAGAAAGAACCGTTTTTGACATTCTGACTGGGATCGGCTTGACCTGAAGCGCCATCCTCTTTGGTAAAACGGCCGCCAAAAAGGACAAAAGAAAGAGTCAAACGACGAACCGACCGAGGATCGGGGATCAAGGTCAGACCAGGTCGGACCAGACCAGAACAGGGTCAATGCGCAAGGTTCTTGTTCTTCTTTTGTTTCCAAATCAAAGAATGTGGACGATAGTCAATGATCTCCCACTCTATGATCTACTGATCGACTTCAAGTTAATCTGGTTGTGTCTTTTGGCCAGAGACAACGCGTATCTCTTGTTTAGATTGTAGTTGACAAGAGCCAATCAAAACCAGTCAACTTGAAGGGTTTAAAGGCTGCATGAAAAGAAGAAAAGCGAAGTGCATCCATCTCAGATTTGATTTCATTAGCATGTATGTGCCTGAAAAGGTTCTTACAAAACTGCACAGCACGCATAGTACTGCATATAGCATGCACCTTGAGAGAGAGCTGCAGTTCGCATTACCTTACTACCTTCCTATTCCCCGCACTACTTCATTCCAATTCTCATGTACTATATCGTCATTCTGTGCTCATCATGTTCGATTCTTTATTAATAAACGACAACAACGGAGCTTTCTTTAATGATCAGATCCTCATTATTATCGGGGCTCAACAAAAGAGGGCCGATTACCACATGCTAATTAGCCTCCCTTGCATGTGAAGGAAATAACCTCCAAGTTTACCATCAGTCAGTGTTAGTAGTTTGCGGTTGGGCTGGCTTTCCTAGACTGACCTAATCGAGGCTGAAGAGGAAAAAGCAAGAAAGCCATGTGCCAATCTAAACCATATCCTATCCGATCCGATGTCGTGATACGAGCAAGGGAACCCCTCTTTCTCCCTTTGACTTTCGCTGTCTTACTTTACCATCTTGACAATTTCGGGGACCTCGGGGTTTAAGACATTCAGTTAGAGATCAGCGGTAAATATCTGGTCTCTAGATACTGATATCCATGGATTAAACATTTGCAACTCTGTACTCGGTAGATTCGACTTTCAAGATTTAGCAGTTGCAAAGTATATCGTTATACAGATATTGTGTTGATCTAGATAAACGCGTGCACAAAGCCAATTCCCAAACTTTTTCTCCAAAAAAAAAAAAAAAAAAACTGGAATGAACAGGGTCCTTTCGAACAGGAAAACAAAGTCGATAGCCGAACCTCCCAAATCCAAGAATCCGCCTCAAGTGCAACCAAGATTTGTTACGGTAGGTGACCTAGCACAGTTCCAGCCTAGAGCTGCCAGTAGTTGATGATCCTTGCTCCATACTTGGGATAGATCTTTCGAGTTTCAGCTGTCGATGGTTTTCAAGCCTCCTTGCCTTGCAGCTTGATATGAGGTAGTTTCCATTTACGGATACAGTGGAAGAACTAGCAAAATATGGCGCAGCACTCGGCTCAGAGGAGGGGGAAACACGGCAAAGCCAAGAAGGATAACCCTGGATATCTCCCATGTCGAGATCAGAATCAGCGGGGTACTATTACTGAAGACTCTATAATAGATACACTGCACTGCACTGTGCCGTGGTATACTGTGCTCATTGAGGCGTCATCATGATAAAGCCACAAAAAAGGTTGGATTGGATTCCCCCTCCTCTTCCGTCTCGTATCCTCAATATTCCCGGGCTTACGACGCGTTTCCCCTCACGCGCTCTCAACTGCTAAACTTGACTACATTATTTACTCATTGCCTCTTTGGGTAGTAACCTAACAAACTCTCATCCAACCTCTTTTCGACTTCACCACCACGAGGAATGAGAAGCCATGTAACCCAATATGCGGCCGTTTACAGCTGATCTGACACGGGTGACCTGACCCAAGCATCATCATTACAGTATCAATCAATTGTTGATTTGATTGAACGACTTGATTAATTAAATTACAATCACTTTGACCGCTCTTTTGTCCCTCTCCCTTTTTTCGGATTATACCCGTCGCCTCGTAAAAAGAGACCCAAACCTAACTTTTTAGTATGTATCAGGCTTGAATCAATCCCCTGAATGGAATCCGTTTCTTTTACTGTAGTCCAGCTTAGTAGCAGCCTACTAAGTGAGACTGGCTGCCATATACTTCGTATGGGGTGACATCATGACCGCTGTCAGAATCAGAACCAAATTCACTCTGATTTCTTTAAAAAGAAGCTGATCAAGTCTCGTGCTCCATCTTCAATTAAACTAGTATCCACATCGAACACGCTCCACGAAGCTATTCGTTCCAGCATCCCAGTACCCTTCCCTCGCAAGAGTCAAGGGCCGGGGGTGAGTTCAGGCCAGGCCAGATCAGGCCAGGACTTGTCTTTTTTTTCCTCCGCACATTCAAAATTCACCTTCCTGACGCAAGGGCTTTAAATGGTTCCTGATATGGACATTGGGGGGAAGGATTATGCCTTGTTGGGATCATTATCAACCCTGTAAAGGTGAACAGAAAAAAGATGAAACGTAAATCCAGGCAGGACAGGGAATAGTAAAAAGCTAAAGATCCAGAAACCACTGGATCCCTAACAATGGCGAGATATCTGTCTGTCACCTGCTATTTTCTTGCATAATAATACGCGGGTGCTAATCTTGCACAATCAAGTTTCTTAAATAAAAAGATCAGACCTTTTTCCCTTTACACTTTGACAACTCATCTAGTTCCCTCAGACTAACCGAGAGGAGACCAGGTTCAGGTTCCCATCTGCTTGGTCAACTAGTAGGAGTTATCTATCACCTCTGGCCCTGTAGATTGAGGCCAGACGTATCTCACGGTGATCTGAGCTTTCGTCCAGTCAGATGCTCACTTCCATTCTTTTCTTCTTTTCACTTCTTTTACCCTCGCTCTTTTAAACTAATAGCCGTCCGTGTGTTTGTTCGTCCGTTTATTCTTCTCTTCACGATCCACCCGTATAGTTCTGGCCCTGTCTATCGTGGAGTTTGTTGGACACAGCTCATTTATCCCTGCGTATACCGGACGCTCCGTGGTAATACTCGGCACATATCCCAATAAGTGACTTAGTCCAGTACTTCCATAGCTGATATCATGCCCCCCCTGCTCTTTAGTTTAAATCTTCTTGACCAAGCTTCCGGCATATCTCGGCCCCATCTCCGTCCGGCAGACACCCAGCGCTGCAACATGCTTTACCATCCCTAGCAGCCTAGACCTCTAATTTCTATGCATTCACCAACGAAACTACATATCTCATTAATATCCTCCTTCAAGGCATAACTCAATGGCTCAAATGGAATGAGAAACACCGTCGAGAACACATCCCAACATACCGTACTTGACTTTGTACATCCTTGTACCCTTCGCTTGATCCCGACTTTTCATGTTTCATTCAGATTGACATGTCCACTTGCACTACGTATCTCGCCTGTTCAACATGCCTCTCATTAGCTGCCACTGAAATGCTTCCTTCTAATTTCCATTAGTGAAAAGGCTGAATAATGCTTGCTTCTAAAGTCTTCCAATGCCGAGGCCACTTTCTCAATTTCTCTTAGTAAAACTGTAGTCTATGGAGTAAACTCGCACGGCAAAACATTCATTACCAAAACTAGCTTGAGACTTGACTGAGACCGTTTCAACGCCGACGTATCACCATCTGAGCCATATGTAGTCACCGATGTCGATCGGACCACGAGACTGGGCTGTCCTGCCAGAGTACACCATTGCCGTGAAGCGGCATCGTACTTCATAAGTGGCTTCACAGCATAACTCGCAACGTTCCCCATGAGGCACCTTGCCTCGGACAGAACATATCTCAAGCACGAGACTCCTCCGCCATGCCATGTCACAACGGTAGTACCGAAAAGGTCAGGACAACGATCTAATCGTATTCGAAACTACTAACATTATCGACTACCTAACTAGCTATATACGCCTCACACAAAAAGCCATCCCTTGTTCAACGTCACACCTGTCTCGCGTCCCATCTCATCATGATCAATAGTCCTTCTCCAAGCTATGCACGCAAAACCATTAATCCAAAACTCGACCTGCTACTGCAGATGAGCTGCTGTCCTTGGTGGTTGTCTTCTTGAGAGACCTGCCCAGCTGGATCTCGCTCAAGAAGCCGGCTGGTCGACCACCGCCGGAAGGAAGAGCTGGCGCATTGCCAGGGGGGGGAGGAGGAGGAGGAGGAGGAGCGCCGCCCATTGGAGGAGGAGGAGGTGCTCCAGCTGATGGCATAGGCGGTGGTGGCGGCGGGGGAGCAGGAGGGCCGTTACTTCCGGGCATAGGCGGCGGCGGAGGAGGAGAATTGGGCGCACCATTGCCGGGCATCGGTGGAGGGGGAGGCGGAGAAGACACTGGAGCTCCACCATCATCGTTCGACACTGGAGGAGCAGGAGGTGTGTTAGCCCAAGCAGAAGTCGTCTGAGCAGGGCTGTTTGTTGCCGACTCTCTACCAGCTGCTGAAAGAGGACGAGGAGGTGCCATAGTACCAAACAGTATAGAGGCTAGCTGAGCTGCGCTGCCACCACCAGGTCGCTCGTCGTCGGAGTCGTCGTCCTTATCGTCGTTATCAGAACCCCAGTCGTCCGTGTCTGCACGGCGACGAGAGACAGGAGCTGAGGGAGATCTGGCCTCCTGGTTCTGTGTCATCCTATGGAAAGGGTTTGTGGCCGAGGGTGCCGAAGGAGCCGGAGCAGCAGCGGGTGTACCTTCGTTCGACTGAGACATCATCCGGAAGAATGGGTTCTTACTCTCAGTCTCACTGGGCGGCGATGTAACAACCATTGACGGAGGGGGAGGAGACGAGACAGCCTCGGCAGGGGGCGGCGAGGGCTGCTTTTCCTCTGCCTGGCTAGCCACTTGACTGTCACTTCTTGTAGGTGTAGAAGCCTGGGGGGTGACCTGCCGGGGACCCTCGTCATCATCGGACGATGAACTATCGCCATCTTCCATAGCCTCAAGCTGTCGTTGAAGCTCAAGCTCCCGCTGTCGAGCAGCCTCAATCTCGGCCTTTCGAGCAGCAAGCTTGGCCTCCTTGTCTTTGGCCTCGGCCATGGCAGCCTTCTTCCGCTTCTTCTCTTCCTCCTTGCGGAGCTTGCCTTGCTTCACCTGTTCCTCAAGAGCCTTAAGCCGGGCTTCAGAAGCCTCTCGCTCCTTGGCAAGTTCATCCTCCTGTTCCTTTGCATCATCCCTATGAATTCGTTAGTACTCTGACTGTATGGACTTTTAATGTAGGACTCACTCCATCTGTTGCGTCTCGCGCTGTTGCTGCTCATGTTCGCGAGTAAGTCTATCTTCCTCAGCTTGCTTTGAAGCCTCCTGGTCCGCTTCAGGCTTGCCACGGTGTCGGGTTGGTGGGGGAGGAGGCTGCTTCTTGGCCTCAGTCTTGGGCTGCTCAGCGGCAGGAGGAGGGCCTCCCTGCTCTTCAGCGAGACGAGCCTGACGGTCGGCCTCCCTGCGAGCATCTTCCTCCTCGGCCTGGCGCAGTTTTGCGGCTCGCTCGGATCGTTCACGCTCCATGCGCTGGGCAGCTGTCTCACCAGCCTTGGTGGGAGCCTTGATTCCCAAAGCGGCCAGCCTCTCGGCCATACGCTGTTCAGCCTGCTGCTTAATGAAAGCAGCTCGCTCCTCAGGAGTCTTGTACGCGGAGTATGATCCTCCAGCACTGGGCGTAGAAGTACGAGAAGTTGAGACGGGATCCTCTACTCGGGGGCTGGCAACACGTTCCGGCCGAGCCTCCTCGGTTCGTGCAGAGCTTCGAGCAGGTCGTTTGTCCTGAGCACGGACACGGGCGCTGCGGCTTTCACGCTGAAGATCGAAGATGAAATCGCGAACCTCATCCTCTACGCCAAGCGCATCCTCCCAGCGGCGCTTCTCGTGCTCACTAGTGTTGTCACGACCACCCTCCTTGAGACTATCCTCAATGCCGCGGGCAAAGTCTCGAACACTCTCCTCAACATCGCGGACCATGCGCTCGTTGCTCTCCTTCTCGTTCTTGACCTTGATGTTCTCCTCTTCAAGTCGCTTAGGCGCATCGACGTCCTCAGTGCCAACATCGACCTTCTTGCCAGTCAGAGCAGCAGTTCGCTGCTGCATCATGGCCTTGGCCCTGGCCTTGAGACGATCCGATTCGGTCACAGTACCACCAGGCCCAGTTCCTACGATAGGAGCACCACTGTTAGGGTGAGCCTTAGCATCCTTGATGCGGAAAAGTTCCAGTCTGGCGTCCATGATGGCCTTCTCAGTTCTTCGCACCTGGGAAGCAAGCTCAGGAACCTTATCCGTAAGGTTCTGGAGCTGCCGCTTGAGGGCTCTTCGCTCAGCTTCAGAATCCCCGCTTGTTAGGGCCGCATCAGGGTGGGAATCAATATCCTCTTGGATGCGACGAATGCGGCGGTAAAGCTCTTCGGCCTCACGTCGATCGCGACGATCGAGAATGTCGTCTTCTTCAAGGTTCTTCTCGTCAGCAAAATCCATAGCATCCAGAAGAACTTCTTTCTCCTTGATCTTCTTCTTGAGCTGGTCAATAGTCAAATCATCGTTCGAAGCAACAGAGGCGGGAGATTCAGGCCGAGGAGAATTGTTGCCAACCCTACGACGAGCACTAGATCTGTAACCAAACTGCTCGTCTTCGTTCTTGAAGACTGTGGCATCCTTTTTACCAGCAATAGCTCCGGCAGGCGCGCCCCTGAGTGAGCGGTTCTTCATGTAGCTGACGCCCGTCTTCTGAGGCAAGAGAGCCGCGCCGGACTTGGTGCGGAATTCGGATTCATCGTGAAGCATTGACTTCAGGGTACCGATCGATTTGCTGAAGTTACGTGTAGAAGGAGGAACAAGCTCAGCAGGGAGGTTGTTGGGCAATGGGTAACCGTTGAGCTTTCTATAGATCAAATGCATGGCAACAGCGAATTCGTCGAGATCCAGACGGCCCTTATTACCGTGGTCAGCCAAAGTCCAGACCCGCTCCAGGTCGGGCTTCTCGAGTCCACTTTGTCCGAAGATCTCAATGGCCTGGTCGCCACCAATGTAGCCCTTGCTAAGACCGTCCCAAGCCTTGAAAAGAGAGTCGTAACGGGTCTTCTCTTCCTTTGTAATCGCCCAGGGAATGACAGCGTTTCCTTGGAGGCCCTGAGTGGTAAAGTTTCCGGCTTCGCGACCTTGCTGAGGCATCATCTGAGCCTGGAGAGCATCAATGTTGGGGAGACCTGTTGCAGGCGCATTGACAAGGCCCCATTGACCAGGTCGTCCAGTAGGCTGGGCATTCAAGGGAGCTGCCATACCACCCGCAGGACCAGGAGTCAGCGATTGGCCATAGCCAGTAGGCATAGGGGGCATTGGAGGCCGAGGACCACTGTATCCGGTGGGCTGGGGGTTCTGCATCCCAGGGAAACCGGTCGCTTGGCTCTGTAGGCCCTGTTGTCCAAATCCTGTCTGTTGCCCAGGGAACCCCGTCATTTGCGCTTGAAGTAGCTGCGCGTTGGATGCTTGAGGTTGAGGTGGGGGCTGCTGAGGTTGAGGTTGCTGGATAGTTGGGGGAGTCGCAGTGTTGGTCCTGGTGTCAGAGGTGAGAGAAGCACCGCCTGAAGGAGTAGCGTCGTCAGCGATGCTGAAGCTGATGATATCTACCATGCTTGAAACCTCGTTCTTGATGTTGTCGGGTAGGTTAGGCGGCAACTGCTTGCCGGTAAGCTTCAAGTTGCACAGGTACATGGCGAGGGCGAATTCGGGGAAGTAGAGCTGTCCAGCACGAGTAGTATCGGCGAGAGTCCTAAGATATGTTAACACCATACATTGGAGCTACAAAAAGGAAGTCAATAGGGGTCATTCTTACCAGATATGAGATAGAGCGTCGCCATCAAGTCTTGATCGCATAAGTAGATCGCGCGCCTTTTCTCCTGACATGGTCATTCCACCGTCACCAACTGCGGATTTGAACAAGGTCTCAAACTTGGCTTGGTCCTGTGCTGTGATAAAAGACAGTCGGATGTTGGGAATCTTGTTAGGCTGCGGCTTTTCTGGTCTTCGGCCTCGTGGCTTTGCAGTACCACCTGTCTGGAAGGACGCGGCCATCTCAGTGAAACCGGTAGCTTGTGGTTTCATTGGTACCGCAGGGGGGTTGGATGGCCCGGATGCCGGCTGAGGGGAGGCAGAGAAGCCAGTTGGCTGCTGCTGCTGCTGCTGCTGCTGCTGTTGGAATTGTTGCTGGAACTGGGGTGGGATCGAGGGCATCGCGGGTGCACCAGTCTGAAAGGGTTGTTGCTGTTGAGGCTGTTGCTGTTGCTGGCCAGGGAACCCAGTGTATTGTTGCTGGAGAGGCTGTTGCGGCTGCAGTCCCTGGCCTTGCATTGGAAAGCCAGTATACTGTTGCTGCAAAGGAGCTTGTCCGAAGCCTGTAGGTTGAGGCGCAAAAGGACTGGGTTGCTGGCCAGGCTGCTGACCAGCGCCCATGTTACCAAACGATCCTCCGCCATATTGCTGCTGCTGACCACCAGGTCGCTGGCTGTTACCGCCTAGATAGGCGTTCGAGTTGGAGTACATTGTGGTTGATTCCTATTCCCAAGACCACGTACGAGATCTGGTTTGGGTGTCGAGGAGGCGCTAAATTCGGGGGTTGCGAGGAACCAAAAGACAGTCTCTGGGGCGTGGAAGCTCCCGTAATAGAAGTTCAAGCTCGAAAATGCAATAATAAGATGAGAAATACAATATTAAAGAACTGTAAGGCCCTCAGTCGGTAATCGCGGAGTAGACAGAGGGCATCCACAAGATTGGATGTGATGATGGAGGAGTAAGAGAGTGGCTTTCGTACGTGATGACGAGCGTCGTCTTTGGGCAGGTAGGTTGCTGAAGGTTTCTAGTGGAGTGTGTCCCCCGTGGAGAGTAGCCGGAGCGCTTCTAGTGGCCCGCCAAGGCATCAGTGGGCTTTTACAGGGGAATGGAAGCCCAAAGCAAATTGAGGTGGCTGAGCTCCATGGATAGGACTCTCCTAAGTTGGAATGACAAACAGGGATTAGTGGTCTTTTCCTATCTGGAGCTTATTAGCATGTATTGAGTTCATTACGCTTCTTTCACATAGCTATCATGGATACTGACATATGCACCTTAACTACTAAGGTAGGCCAAAGAATTACGAGGCTCATCGAAACAGTTAAGATATTTAATTCAGCTCGTCTAAGTAAACAGAAATAGCGAAGGGTATCAAGAGTAATTTATACGCAAAAAGAATGCACCAAAACCACAAACAAGATAATTGTACCAAAACCATCAAGCGCCTGCTTCCATGTGCCATATGCCCAATAAAAAAGAACTCCGGAATGATCGGGAAAGGGTCGACTACAATACCATTGTCCTTACACGCATTTTCTCCATTAGTTTTCATTATCCTCGTCTCACGCGTGCCGTTCGTCAAACTGCACTCCATGGTCCTCTTCCTCAATACACCCAGCCTCATCGCTCCAGAATCGTCGATGGGCTCGTAGTTCCAATCCAAAATCAGTATCATGAGGGTCCGCAAAGCTGTACTCGTAATCGAGGCCATCGTCATGCCCGTTTTGCTGGTTCCCTACTAGGTACTCTTTGTCGACTGGACTGTCCGGCTCGGGAGGGGTAGGAACCGCTGAACTTGTACTTGGGCTCTCTGCTGCACTTATGCCTCCTTCACTCGAGACAATCGAGTATGACCTTGACCAAGATCTCGCAACTCTGGGGCCTGGCTCCGCGCTCACCAGACGAGCTGGACCCAGGGAGATCATGCTGGCCCTCTTGTTGCTCAAATACGGGTTGGAAGTGCGACGATTCAATGCCCTCTTGGACTCGAAAGCTAGCAGTGCTAGCCCACCGAATGCTTTGGAGAAGTCCTCCTCACCTTCGCAAAGCAGGTGCCCGTCATGGCCCGAGTCCAAACGACCATCTTCGCCTTCCTCGAAGAGCAGTCGGTTTCTCTCTAAAACCTCTTGCTGTGTGTGAACTGCGTCTTCCCACCCTTCTCGCAATTGCTGCGCCAAAGGATCGTTGACATTCTGTGGGACCTTTTCGTGTCGCAGCTTGGACATCATGGATTGTCTGCGTACTGACGTCGTTGCAGTCGCGACGGCACTGTCCACAGACTTTTGAATTGTTTGTGCAAGATCACGATCTGAAAACGCTGAAAAATAGCGGACCGTCGTATTGTCGCTTAGATGTCGTACGAGATGTCTAAAATTAGAGAGGTTGAAATCGTTGCCCTCACAGTCTAAGCTGTGGAGTGTCTTATTAGCAGAGATGGCTTCAGCCAGGTCTCCGATGTTGACGTTCAGCATTTGACTTCGTACGCGCAGATGTTCCAACTTTGTGTTGAAACGAAGGCCACCAAGAGATTTCGAGAAGCCTCGACCAAGGCGACCCTCATCTAATTTGGCATCAAACCCAGAGAGGTCCAGAAACCTGATTGTGTGGTTTTGCGAGAACAAATTTGAGATTGCTCTGCAGGCCGTCTCACTGGCCGAGTCAGGAGTAGCGGTACCAGCAAGACTCAGGCACTCGATTGTGTTGTTGACCGTCAACGCCTCCAGAAGTTTGATGTAATTAGCCTCCAAAGCAAACTCGACCATCTGCACGAAAAGGCCCCAGGGCCCAAAGCATTCGCCAATGACAGCACACAAATCGTCGATACCCTCGTCCAAGCGATTGCCGTTGATGTAAAATGTGATCTGCCTACCCTGGCCCATTGCATAGAACATCTGGGCGATTTGAGCACCTGTCAGACCGCATTTGCTCAAACGAAGAACACGAAGGCGTTCCGAAGTTTGTGACGCCAGGTACGCGGTCAAGATATCAACGGTTGGAGCGTTAAGCTGAACAAGTCTTGTTAGTTTTTGTCAACCCAGTCATCATAGGAGATTACTTACAGCAATTCCGGACAAGTCAAGTTCCTCTAGAGACCAAGAGTTTAGCACGTAGTCCTCGAATAACGGGACATCGTATGGGATTCTCGTGTTGCCAGCTATGTTCAGCTTTCTTATAGCTTGAAGTTGACTGAGTGAGTCACGAATAATCTCGAACTTGACCGTGCCCTGATTCTCTGAGGTGTCAATGTGCTGTAGGCTAGCCCCTTGACCTGGGATACCTGCCCAGAGAGTAGTGAGACCTTCATCACCCAGACCGCAATTGGATACGTCAATCTTTTTCATGTAGACCTCGTCAAGAATGAGGAGATTGGCCAGTTCCTCAATATCACTTGGTGCAATGAGGTTGCCAGACATGGTGATGCTATGGCAAAGACAAGCTTGGCGCTTCAGTAAGAGTAGGATGGGTCGCAAGACCTCCGAACTGACTCTGCGGGCACCCTCAGGGTCTTTGGAACGACCAATGATGCTTCGCGGGCCCAGTATGTTCCTCAAGTCCATGCTTCGTATCGATTCAGAGGAAAACGCCAGGGCGTGAATCTCTTGACTAAGGACAGAGGATTGCATGAGAATATCATAATGCTCTTCAGAGATCTTAACTCCGTTGAGTGATGTGTAAGCAATGGTATCTCCAAAGTGTGAGTAATCCTTCTTCCCAGCAAGACCAGACAAATCGATGTTGCGGAAAGACAGTTCTTTGAAATAACTGTTATAACGTAGGGCACGGAACATTGCAAGCAATTGCAGAGTAGAATATGGTTGGTTGGTCGGAGGCAACAGGCGGAAGGCTGGTTGGGAGGGTGTGTTCCATTCAATGGTCCAGCTTGGAACCTGGACCTTGAAAGCGGCGCAGTAGGCGTGTAAGCTTCGTTCGAGACCTCCCAAATCGTTTCCAGAGGTCAATTGAAGTGGTGGAGGAAGACCTTTGATATCGAAAATGGCCTTTTGCAAATGCTGTGGCCACATGGGCTTCAGCTCTCGGTCTACTTTGGTCATGGCCTCGATGACATGTCGGTAATGGACACTTGCAAGCTCGAGTCGGTTTTCGCGACCAAGAGGTAATCTGACACACATCAGCATTCAAAATCATGATTCACGTTGCTTCTGATGTAACTTACCGAAAGCTTATGACAAACCGTTGCTCATGCGACGCAACGGAGGCCCGGAACCGTATCAGTGAGACTGTTCCATAGGACTGAACCTTGACACGCAAATCACCAGGGGTAGTTGTATAATCTGCCTTTAGGACCTCGATGAAGTACAACATAGCTGACCCAATAACAATATAGAACGAGGACCCATCTGAGAAGTGCTGCGAGTCGTCGCTTGAGTTGGCCTTTTGGAGTGCACCAATTGTACGCTTGACCACGGGAAATGTCAAAATTTTTGAGACATTCGCATTCGAATCGGTTTCTGTGGTCTCCACAATGTGGTTGATTCTTGTTCTTAGGTTGCTGGGTATTAAGGATGGAGATGGTGATCGTCTATGGCTGATTCTGCAGGTCTTTTGAATGTTGGCTAGCCAGTCATCGCGATCCTCGGGCAACATGAAGAACAAATGTGCCTTTGAGTATGCCAGTTTAGGCCACTGCGAAAACCACCAGATTTCGATGCCAAACCGTGGGCTCGAGCCTTCTTCGTTAAAAACCCCAACAATGGAACGCAGAGGGATCTCCATGCGTATGTCAGAGGATGATTTGCTTGTACTGTGCGAACTGCTTGGTTTCAACGTTCCATCGCCTGTCCTGATCTGCGGAAAAGTAGCTTTCGCGCTATCTACACCCCCAAATTTGATCAAGCACGTATCAGTCAAAACCAGATACTCGGCACGAGCTTTTAGGAGTGTAACATCAGTCTTGAGTGGCCCGGATTGAATAAGTTCCATCGAAGAATAAGGCACTTCAGGGGCAATCGCAGCAAATTCGGGAGCAGACGCGCTCATTGGTGAGGCTATCGATACTCGACGGTGTATTCTGTCAATCATGGAACCCGAGCCGGAATGGGTCTTTTGTAGGCGTCGCATAGAGGATGAGCTTCGGGATGGGCTTTGTGACACGGACTCCATTGAGGAATTGCTGAGCGAACGAAGCGCCTTGGAGAAGACGCGGGGTTTCTTTCCATCGCCGGTGTCGAATCCTTTGCTCCCATCATTGGGAATTGGTACCGGTGGTGTTGTCTTGAGGGTTGGAAGAGTCATCCTCTTCCATTTTTCGTTCATTTTGGCAAACTCGTGGTTGTGCTTGGGGTAGAATCGTCCGTAGGTTTTGAGGTTCGACTCTTCAAGTTTCTGAAATCAGTAGAGATAGAGAAATATATCGGGCTGTAAAGCTATGCTCAGCATGCCGACAACGTCGAGGATGCACACGACACCAAACTCCTGATTTGAAAACAACTGAAGGTTCGTTCGTTGGTTTGGTATGAGCCCGCAAACGAAATGGATATGGGATGGAAACCGCGGGCTGGGTAACAGGATGGTGTCGACGTCAAGATGTCTCAGTGCTTTCGGTTACGATGCAATGTCGCAGAAGTTGAACGAACCAGGCTTCAAGGACCTCCCGCATGCGTTGTCGTTATCGAAGCGGGATGTGGGTGCGTGTGGTGCCAACGCCTTCAACTCAGTTTTTTGGGTTTGGTGAAGTTGAGCGTTGCGAGTAGTATATGGCTGAGGAATGCGCCAGGAAACTGAGCGCTACGTCTGCACAATACGACTGTTCCAATTCGGCCAAAGACGAATTTGATAAATACTGCAGACAGTCACGCAAGATAAGAACTCCTTGAAAGAGGGATAGTATAAGACAGATAAAGACAGTGTGCGCGAGAACAGAGAAAAAACGACAGATAAATAGAGTAGATAGATATCACGGTGCGAGTTGAGTAAGGTTCCGTGTCGGTTGGCTGATCGGCGGCGAGGGAATGGCTTGGATGAGACCAATATTCAAGGGTGACGTCGTGGTGACCAGGAGAGTTACTGTAGCTCAGATCGAAAGCATGAGAGATCTAGATCACAGCTTTGGGCATGGCATGCTAAGACACTGCCAAGAACCGTGAGTCGATAACAGTGCAGAAGATAGGAGACTTGACTTGGTCTGAAGTGTTGTCAAGAATGCGAGCGGGACGGAGGCTTCGATGATACGAGGCGTGCCGTAGGAGGTATGAAGTTTCCGATCCGGTGGTCCCGGAGACGAGGACGTGAGGTTTCTGAAGAGGAATGAGAGATAAGTCCAAGGCTTGGACCAAGGAAAAGGAGAGCAAAGATAAAAGAGAAAAAAAGAAGTCAGAGCCACCACCAGTGGTGAGTGATATGATAATAGATGAGAATGGATGCCTTTAACAAAAAAAGAGGAGCTAGCTGGGTAGTATGTATCGTAAACCAGGGCGGCCGCTAACCAAAGAAAGAGATTGACAGGACAGGATGGGATGGGATAGGACAAGAGGGGTTTTTTTGCTAGGATTAGGTAGGTAGATGAAGAAAGTATTTCAAACGAGAGACGGGTAGAAAGAGTCGAAGGAAAATAGAAAAGCAAAAAACGAATGAAGCTCATCTAAGTCTGGTAAGGTAAAGGCAAGGTATGGCCTGAGTCTGAGTCTAGGTCCCCCATTCATGGATCTCACTTCCAGTTGAGGTCACGTCAATTGTCGTCGTCATAAGGACTGCTGCGGCTTGGGGGGCCATTTTTTAGTGGTGGATCACCTAAATGGGGGCACCCACAATGGATCTCTCGGGTCCAGCCCATGCATAACAATAATAACCACTGATCATTACGGGCTGAATTTCAGTTGCCCTGGGTCAAACACCTAATAACCAGACCACCAAGACCTACTAATCTTCTACTCCACCGCCCGGGCAAGTGAATCTCCAACGGCGGACTTGAGGGCTTTGACAATAAACTCCAACAGGCCGCGGTCTAATGCATCTGTAGTATCTTTTAGATTCTAGGTCTCGATCAAAGCGAGAAAACAGTGTCCAATTGAACGAACCAACAGCAATACCTCGTCACTCCATGCTGCGCTGTGGCTGATTACTGGTCCACGAGCAACAAGGGGCCCTGGTAACTTTAACAAGAGACGGGTGGAATCAAGGCTTGAGTTAGCCAAGGTTTGAAACGCATCCAAGATACAGGAAAATATGTTCTTTATGCATATCTATACTCGAAGATTATACAAATTGAGTTAGTTTTTTTTTTAGTTTTTTTTTTTAGCGGTCGATTCCAGGATAATGGGTTACCGCCACTCTGATCATGATCCAACATTTGTGGCCATGATGGGCAGCACTTGGTAGCCATGATGATTCTAAACCCATCATTACTTTCCATGTCCTATCCATGATATAGCCAATCGTCAAGTTTGTGGGGTATCCTTGGCCTCCAAATAAACGGCCTTGTCCTTTTATCCCTCACATCAACCTCTTAAAGTCAAGATCATAGGTTATTAGCCAAGGATAAATGCATCTCACGATAGCTGTCCATAGGTAGCTGAGAGCTGACAATTCACCCCCTCTCCTCCTACCAACCCCCTCGTTTAGTTCCAACTTCAACCCACCCAAAAACCTCAGTCAAGCTTTGGCTTAAGCCAAGTAATTCATCTCGGAATCATCCAGAGGTCAGAGCCACAAGTTGAGATGTAGTTTTAATGCAACTAGTTTGCTCAAAAATCCGGTGGAGTAGCCTTGGTTCAGCCTGGGGGTTGAGCCAAGTCCTTGATCTTTTCACATGAGTTATAAACATCGTATTCAATGACCTCGTGTCGCTTCTAGCCAAGACTGAGTAATAAGGTATGCCTCCAGTTCTGCCGCCTCGTCTTGCTCCGAGGACTATCCTGTGCATAACTTAATCCTTATCTGCCGTATTGCCGGACGTCGTGTCACCTTATAAACACTCTCCAATCCTTGCCAGTCACAAAGCTCAATCATTAGGCCGTTGAATTTGCTTGAGCTTGCGATTGGCATGCGGCCAAGCCACCCGCTAACGTTGGACGACGAGGACGACGCGGCGTCCTAATTGAGACAAGCTCAGAGATGTATTTACTGTAGAGTTTACTAGACTTTAGTCCTGCGACTTTGAGGACGACCCGTTATTCTATCATAGATCGATCATATGGACCGTGTCATGATATAGGAGAGACGGGCGAAAAGAAAAGGAGGCTAATCTCCAGGTCAGAGCTTGGACTCGAAGCTTGCATAACTCTGCAGTCCTGGCTTCGTGCGAGTCTGATCGCCTTTATCTAATTACTTCCAAAGCTCGCCATCCGCGGTTAGCGACAAGCCCATCGCCCCTTCAATCTGGCGCTTTTATTATTAGCGGCATGGCATCTTTTGGTGAAACTAGAAGAATTGCCAGCCATCCAAGCCAGTCACCGGAGAGACCGGGTACGTGGACAGCACCAGCAGACCCTTGAAAACTTAAGCTACAGTAATAATTAGTTCCTTCACCTCGTAGTCATGGATCATGTGGGCGGCTTGATGCTCTCACGACCAGACACGAACGAGACTGTCTAAGAAAAGCAACGTCTCCACCAATATCCTTGCTTTGCGGGCAATTAGTACGGCTACGTAAATTCAGGGACCAGACTAATAAAAGACGAGATCTTCCAGCATTTTCCTGGATCGTGGCTATGTTCCATTATGTTTCCATTGCTTGTGGGTTTCTCATTAAGGACACATTTGTTGACCGCTTCACCAAGATCCATCTGCCATGTTCAGGTTATGGTGCAACATACCTGGCTTCATTAGTATTGTTTATATCACATATATAGCTATGTTTTATTAGTTCTGCCTATAAACCTGTTCTTTATCTGTCGACGCAATTGCTAACGTTAACAATTCGGAGCTGACGTCTTACTGGCATGTATTCCATGAGGAAGCGCAGTCATCCGAAACCTTGATATGCTTTCAAGCGACATGATATATTGATGACTCTTGTCCCCTATGCTACGAGATGCATTTTTGGAGAACATTACCATTCAAATGGGCCACCCAACTCTGGTCAATGCAGAGTAATACTGCCATGGAAGCAGATTGTCGGTTGGCCAAACGATGAAAATGCATAACTAGAGTACTGGAGCACTTAAGAGCACGAGGGTTTCCCCAGGATACCTACCCTTGGCATAGGCATGCCGATACCGCATTTATTCAATCCTGCCCGGCATGCTAGATTTTTGTTCTCTTAGAGGTGAAAATAGAAAGTTTCAATGATCTGCCATAGTCCTAGATATGATACATGCTGTATACCATGCTATTATGTTCATAAAGACCTAATTAACAATATTTGAGCAAGCAGCTCTCAATAACCGGTTATATACAACGATACTATTGAGTAAACGAATATGTGTCTTGAGCCACTAGGCCTACAGCTGTGTACTGTGGCTAGATCGTTATCCTTTTTATAAAACTGATTGTCATGAGGAGCTCTGGGTAACACCAAGAGAGTTCATGACGTTTTCTGAACTATATGCCTGACCAAGTAAATATCTACAAAGCCACGGAAAGGTGTTATCACATTTCCCATCGGAATTCGATGTGCCTTTTCCGCGGTACGGTAGTTGTACCGGGCAGTCAGAGTCCGCGGAAACAATCCACGGAAACAACTAGAAATCGGCAATATCTGGTTTTGTAGCCGCGAGAGTGAGAGATACTGTCATGATCAAGTTAAAGAAGATGATCAGACTGTCTAGACCTGGGAAGGACGAAATACTTATGTTTGATCAATGGAACACACCTGAGTTAGTTTGAGTGAGCCTTGCATTTCAATGATAGATATTAGATAAATGAACAATGATTCATATAGGGCATATCGAGGGCTGGGGTTTAGGACCGAAGTATATAAGGCCTCCCATGCCGTATCTCGATTCCAATTGTCTGTTCCAACTTATTATTGTTCCTCTGTTCCTTCAACCACAGTCAACGTAACTCCAAACCGAGAAAACTACCCCACCACAAGTCAAACTCGAAGCCATAGTCTGGGGTAGCAACCAATCACGTCTTGCAATTCTCATATGATCAATCGACGAACTGGAACTCGAATAAGGCCCTCCGGCATCTTCAACCGCCACGTGACCGCTTGTAGAGACACATCGTCCAGGTCGTTTCCTTCATATCTACCGTACTGGCGTATCTTCTCTTAGTGGGCCTGCGACTTCGGCCTTCGGCCTTCGGTTTCCATTTTTTAATACCTTACCAAGAGCTCCCCCTCCTCTCTTTCCTTTAAACCGTCCAAAGAACTCAACAGCTTTCTTTCCACCCCCGCAGAAACCCACCTCGTGTCTGGTCTGGGTATAACGTACAGAACAGCACAGCACATTTTTTTGTCTGTGTGACCTCTGAGGCTCAATTGAATTGCTCATCACAAGAGCAAGAGCGAGAGCTTCACCTCCTCAGAGAATAGAGAGCATTGTGTGTTTCCAAGGCGGGGAACTCAAAAAGCTCCACCATGTCCTCTCCTGCCGACAACGACTCGCTTCTCGCGAAGCACTACATCGACTATGTCTACGCGCCTGGTCTGCTCCTGATTGTTGGCACTTTGATTGTCAAGAAGGAATGGACTCCTTACGCTGCCCTTATCGCTATCGCGTTCGGCATCTACAACTTCATGGCCTTCCGTAAGTTCTGTCCCGTTTCTTGCTCCCACCGCAATTGCCACGGGTCAACTAACCTAATCGAATTGCAGAGGTCAAGAAGACTCTTAAGCCTGATGTTTTCCAGGACTTCGAGCTCGAGGAGAAAACCATTGTGTCGCACAACGTCGCCATGTAAGCCGCTGATGCAATCCAAACACATGCACTCGCACGATTTTGTTCGTCATACTAATTGCGCGATAGTTACCGCTTCAAGCTTCCCAGCCCCAAGCACATTCTCGGTCTTCCTATCGGTCAGCACATCTCCATTGGTGCTCCTTGCCCCCAGCCCGATGGTTCTGTCAAGGAGATTGTTCGCTCGTACACCCCCATCTCTGGTGACCACCAGCCCGGCCATGTCGACCTCCTGATCAAGTCTTACCCTCAGGGCAACATTTCTAAGCACATGGCTTCTCTTGTCGTTGGCCAGACCATCAAGGTCCGTGGCCCCAAGGGCGCCTTCGTTTACACACCCAACATGGTCCGACACTTTGGTATGATTGCTGGTGGTACTGGAATCACTCCTATGCTCCAAGTCATCCGTGCTATCGTTCGTGGTCGAGCCGCCGGTGACAAGACCGAGGTTGACCTGATCTTCGCCAACGTTAGCCCCCAGGACATTCTTCTCAAGGAGGATCTCGATACTCTCGCTGCCCAGGATGCTGGTATCCGCGTACACTACGTTCTCGACAAGCCTCCGGAGGGCTGGACTGGTGGCGTTGGTTACGTTACTGCCGACATGATCGACGTGAGTACTCATATTTGAATTCTAACAGTCCAATTCGCTGACCATTCTTTAGAAATACCTGCCCAAGCCCGCCGACGATGTCAAGATCCTTCTCTGCGGTCCTCCTCCTATGATCAGCGGTCTCAAGAAGGCCACTGAGAGCCTTGGCTTCAAGAAGGCCCGCCCTGTTAGCAAGCTTGTTGACCAGGTCTTTGCGTTCTAAGCATATCGAATCGGATATGATGGAAAGCATATCCAAGGTTCCTATTTGCATAGTAGGGGGCAGGCGTAATGGATGGTCCATGAAAGTGTAAAACTCAGCTATATATAGAAAACGAATCTGGACGAGATGGAAAGACACATACCATTTTACTGAAAAACACTTTAGACTGTCGGAAATCATGCCATAATGATGCTCAAGATGTATCAAACATGAAGACATGCCAATTCACGTTAGTCATGTACCAGAGCATATTAAACTATTAATCTCAACTGAATTGTTTTGTCTGTATGCAAATTACAAAAATAAAGACGCTTCCCATTCTCCCCAATGTCTCGGCGTAAACCCATCTAACTTAATGATACAACTAGTCCCAACGTAAGGGTAGGCTTTTTTCCGGCATGCATTAGCAAAAACACATTCTCAAATCCCAACTGTATCTCTGTTTACTCTTCCTCGTCAGCCGCGTCTGCCATGCTGGTATCCGCTGCAGGGCGAGGCTCGTCGTCATCATCGTTAGATGTGGTCTTGGCTTGAGTGGGCGCCTCCTCCTCATCATTATCCTCCTCGTCACTATCGACGACACGTCCACGACGAGCTCGCTTATTCTGTTGGCGTGGGGCGATCTCCTCATCGTCGTCGCCCCCTTGCTCAGCTCCGCCATCGACATCCATTTTGTCATCCTCGACGGCCTTTTCATCGGCCTCTGAGAGAGGAGTCTCTTCTCTATCGATGTTTCTCTCGGCACGCTCGAGTTCGTCATCGTCGTCGTTATTTTCCTCATCGCTATCGACGACAATCTCGGCTGATTTGAACTTAGCGGACTCCTTCTTTGTGAGACGACGGCGCTTTTTGGTCCGCTCCTCCTCTTCTTCAGACTCGTCGTCCTGGTGCTCGCTCTTCTTCTTTTTCTTTCCTCCGGACCGTTTCGGTTTGGGCTCTCCTGAAGCCCGTGGAGCAGTCTTGCGCTTTCGCTTCACCTTGTCCCCAGTCTCGCTGTCGGTCGTCATCTCGGCTTCGATGCGGGCTTGCTCTTCCTCGGCTCGTTGAGCAGCCAAGGCTCGATCCTTCTTGGCAATCTCGTCACGTTCTTTCTTGATCTTGTCTTGCCGCTCTCGTTCTTGTTCCAAGATCTTTTGGCGCTCATCCTCACGACGTCGAACCTCTGCCTCTCTTAGTTCCTTGGCTGCCTGTATCTTCTCCTTGTTCTTCTCCTCCCACTCTTTCTGCTTGCCAATGGCACGCTGAAGCTGGTTACGTAAGGTGTTACGTGCCATGTTAGCACGCTGCTCTACGTCATTCTTGGGGTAAGGAGTTTGAGGGTGAGCTGCAATCTCATCCAACGATGTGATGGCAGACTCGAGGCCCTCGGCTGCCTTCTCAAGCTGTTCTGTTGATCGCTTGTTCTCCGGCAATCCTTGAACCAATGTAACAAGCTGAATTTGAACAAAAGCAACGTTGAACTTGTAGTGCACCTGCTCGGGAGCAACCTCAAGAGCCTAGTAGTCTGTATTAGCATAATTCTATGGTGAAAGCAAGAGAATATACCTTCTGAGCACACTCGAGTGCCTTGTTATATGCGTCGACGTCACGCTCGGCTCGGCCACGGTTCAACCATGTTCTACCCAAGCAAGCAAGAATTGTCGGGTCATCTTTCTTGCCGTCTTTGGAGAGAGCAATTTCATAGTGCTCAATAGCCTTTGAATATTGCCGGAGCTCGGCATAGATATGTCCCAGGTTGACATAGAGGTGAGAGTCTCTCACAGTCTCTCGAACCTTGTTGAAGATGCTCAACGCCGACTTGTGGTCCTTTTTGTCTTCTACAAGAGCAATGGCAATACCTTGGGCTGCATAGGCGTTCTTTGGGTCCAGTGAAAGGGCCTTTTCAAAGAACTCTACAGCCTTGCCATATATGGCGCTTCGCTTTTGCTTGTCGGAATCTGATTCGCGACGCATTTCTCGCGCTTGCATAAGATACAAGTTACCCATACCGACTAAAGCATGCCTGTCGTGCTTATCGTAGTTTTGCAATGTGTGTTTGTAGTGGCGGAACTCAGCGTCCTCGTTAAGGTTGGCGGGGCGTTTTCTCGAGTGAACCTTGCCCAGGTACCAGCCGTACAGGGCGCGGACCTCGAGGTCGGTGTTGTTCTCCTGGTACAACTTGGCAACGGCATCAGGTCCCTCCTTGTTTGGATTCTTCCTCAGCTTTATGTAGGCAAGTCTGGCACGAGCATCTGTGTAATCATCATGCCGAGCCAAGAGTCCCTCGTACACCTCAATAGCCTTGTCTGTCAACCCTCTCGACTCGTAGCTTCGTGCCAGGTTAAAGCTGATTGTCGATACCAAGGCATCCGTATCCATATCAGGGTCCTTCTCGCCAATCTTTATGCAAGCGCTTAGTGCAGCCTCAAACATGTCACTGGCAAGCTCATGTTTTTCAGCTTGTGAGTGGAAGCAACCTATGTTGTTTAGTAATTGGGGTGGCAAAGACTTTCGGAGTGCAGCCTTGATCTCAGCCGCGTCAGTGACATCCTCTGGTCGTTCTGAGTCAGGGATCTGGTCCAGCTCCAGTTGTTCTACTTGCTGTAGGCATTGCAGAGCCTTGTCAGGCTGATCTGTCTCATAGAGACGAGCTAGGTTGAGGAGCACCGACGCATCTGCGGACAATGCTCTCTTGGGGTCTTTCCAGGCATTTCGAACGCCTTCGAGTAGTGTGATGGCTTTCTTGAGCTCAGCCGACTTGTCCTCTTTACTATCACTGACCTGGTTGGCAAAGACTTCCTCGGCGTACAGTGTACCGAGGAGAATCATGGCCTCGTGGGTCTTGGATTGCTGAATCATCTTCTCGAGGCGAAGTTTGGCTTCTCCAAGGTCATTCTTCATGACGGACAACTGAGCAACACCAAACTTAGCAGGAAGGTAACCGGTCTCGGTTCCACCTCGAGCTTCATCGGCACGTCGGTAGTAATCAGCTGCCCGTTCGATATCTCCAGTGTAGTGCTCCTTTCTTGCAAGCAGATACCAACCATCACTGGCAATAGCATTGACGTCCGTGTACTGGATAGCCTTGTGCGCCAGCTTATCGGCATTATCCCATGCCTTTCTAGACAGAAAGTACCCAGAAAAGGTAGAGCAGGTAAGTGGAACATCTTTGTCCAACTTGAAGGATTTTTGTGCGTACTCCGTCATTGCTTTCTTGTAAAGCTTGAGGAATTCGTCGCTGTTTACTGGCACATGGCCGCTGGCGTCCAAATAGTAAAGTCCGAGCAGAATGTTGGCAACCTTAGAGTTGGGGTTGATCTCAAGACACCTTTCCCAGGCCATCTTAGCATCGTCTTTGAAACCGAGCTGCCAGAAACAGCAACCAATACCGATTCGAGGGTCTGGGTCAACCAAGTCCGGCATCTTCTGAAGGACGTCTTGGTATATCGCCAGCGACTCGGGATATTTGTGCATCGAGAACAGAGCCCGAGCTTTTCCCATGAGTGCCAACATGTTTTTGCCTTGAGACACACGCAGAGCATCATCGAATGACTTGACAGCCGTCTTCAGAAGCTCGTGCTTCTCAGATCCAATACCTCCCGCGGTCTTGGATGGTGCTTGTAGGGAAGCTCGCAGAAGCAGCAGGACACCACGAGCGAGGAAAATGGGCGGGAATGATGGGTTCAACCGTGCAGCGTCGTTGAGAGAAGATGTCGCGAGTTGAAGATAATATTCTTTCGTCTTGGCATCGGAGGCAGATATGCCCTCAGGGGCAACACGAGGCGCCTCTCTACTCTTCCACAAATACATCCAGCATAAACAACAGACCATGCTGACTCTATCGCGCGGGTTGGCACTGTTTTTCTGGATCTCGTTGCCGCCTCGCTGGAGCATCTCGATGGCATGGTCGACCTTGTGTTGTTTAGCATAGGCTAAGGCGACGGTCATCCAGTAGGTCTTTGCGGCGTTTTCGTTTTCTAAGAGTGTACAAAGATCGGCGGGTTCGTCGACGAGGTCCTCGAGGTTGATTTCGACAGCTTCATCGGCCTCGCCGCTAGGAATAGGAATGTCGATGGCGGAGGGGATGTCGCTAAATCGAGTGCTGACGGGAACCGACTGGGTATCGCCATTGACACCATTAGCGGTGCCATTTTGTGAAGAAGACATGGCGGCGAGGATGTATGTTTGTGTGTGTGCGTGCGGAAAAGATGTGGTGTTCGTTCGGAAGCGAAAAGTTGGGTCGAGGAACGCGTCGCTCGTAGCTAGCAATGCGCCTCGATTAAAAGGAGAATCAGCTCATCGAGTGGTTCAAAGACCAAGCAGCATAATCAATCGCAAAATCTGAGCTTGCTCGGGCGATATTCAAGGGTGCGCTGGCAAAAAGGATGAGGGTGGTAATGATGGCGCAGCGCAGATAGTTTTGGCGTGTTAGTTTTGTTGTATCACAGGATGAATGAGAATCTGAGAAGCTGCTACTCGAGGTTCGGAGCAGTAGGTACGTACCTCTTTTGTTGGTGGGGCGTTGACTACTCCCCTGATTGGCCAATAACTTACAAGATCGAAACGTCCAACGACATTCGACATATTATCAAGATTGAGTAGTCCAACATTTTCTTAACCATGTCAGTTATTGATGGGTTATTTAATGACACCTTCTTCTAGTTCGGTATTAGTTTTTCTTATGTATGGAATGAGTGTTGTTGTCGAGTTCGTGAGTATTCACGTTGACCTCGATAGTTTTGTTATTAAATCGAACAAGATACCAGAACAGTCGAGAGATGAAGAAACCCGAACAGATAATATAAGAAAGAACACTTCTATATTCTGAATCAGGTGTTTTGTCTCTTGGACTATGTCGCGGATGTCAAGATTGTTCTTGGAATTATGCGGGCTTGACTATCACCTGGTACAGATACCTCCCTCTCATCTTACAGCAACACAAAACACGGCAGTATTCCTCTATGTCATTCACCAGGAACACGGGCCTCTGGAGTGAAGTGAATTACCTTCAGTCATGCAGGTCGTCACTAGCGCGTTCTATATGCGAGATACCTCACGTATAAAATCGCTCTACTTCGCTTCACTTGTTTCGCGATTTAGAGCACGGGATTCGCGGTTAAAGGAGGGGAGCAGTATAAAATAGTTTATAATATCTAATCCTATATGCATCTAGTCACTTTGTACTACTAGTAACTTAGGCCTTTATATATGTATCCCGATGCAGTGCCTAACTTGTAAACAGAACTGAGTATTGCGTTCCGCTGCGGCGAGAGGGCCGGTGGCATGCACCTGTCAGGCGTTTGCTCGCTTTACATTCTCTGCCTACCGCCTATGCTCTCTCTGTTTTAACCACGAAATAAACTCATTTTATTTTTTCTTCTTGACATCTGGCTTTCTTCTCTACAACGCCAGCTGGATCGTACTCAACATCCGAACCTTCCATGACACTTTGCTGTTGGCAGTCTCTCCTTGCATTTCTAGTCTTCTTATCCTTGATACCAAGAGAACTCATATTCTAACCTCTCCGGGCATCACTTTTTGGTATCCGACTTCCTTCGCTCCATCAGCATAAAATACTCGAGAAGATATTATAACGACTTCGCCGATTGAGAGCAGCCTTTTCATCCCCGTCCTCTTACTATTGATACTAGCCGAGTTATAATCGCGGACTTTCACTCGAGTCTTGAACAGTTACTTCTGCACTCCCTTCTCCCCTGTTCTCGATACTACGCGGAGTATTATTCTTAACTCTTCAACTGTTCGGCACGAGGTAGCGGTTACTTGCAACGCTGGCGATGGCTCTCACTTCAGCGAACGTCGACCTTTGGTCGAGCGCCTGTATCATTCATGCTCGAGGCAAAAAATGCTTCGAGTGGGACTGCCTTACCTCCTCTGAGCAGGGGGGTATAATCACGACCGTTGTCGTTACGTCCATAATACTTTTACTTGTTTGCATGTATTATCTAGGACGAATCATTGTTGCTCACCAGGAGATTGCGATCAGCCAGCGACGCCGACGCCGACGTCGACGACAGCAGCAAAGAACAAATCTGGCACGATTTTATGATGTTGCTCTTGTTCAACTACCTGTGGTCCCTCAATATCCGAGCGAGAACGTAGTTTATGCATTCTCGCCCTTCGTATATCATCCTCATGGTCAAATTAACGACGTGCAGAATCAGACTACCCGAATTCTGATTCCTCAGCAACCTGTTCTGGCTGTTACACCTCTGCACGCGGCTACCTATGCTGGCTATCCAGTGGCCGATGTTCAGGGTCAACGTAGCAACTACCAGGCCAACCAACGACCTATTTCAGTTTTGACATCAGCTCCTTCAGAGAACATTGGAGGACTTGAAACTGACTGGTGGGGACGACTGCGTCGAGTTTTCGGGCTGCCTTTGGGCAGAGCCTCCACCATTGCCACAGATTCGGTTCCTACTACACCCGTCCTTTCACCATCTGGGGAGAATGGTTCCCGACGAGAACCAAGACTCGGTCGACTGGGGCCTGAACGCACCAGGCTAAGTCGGTCTACTAATTTCGACTCTGGTCACACTCTTAACGCTGGCAACTCACATGCAAACCCTCAACCTCAAGACAATGTGAGACGTGAGATTACAACAATCCAGTCGCCTCCTTCCGTTGTTGCTACCGTTCATAGCGATGATTTCGATATTGTCTGATTCAAGGCACCCAATTGTCGTAAACACCCTCACGCCTTATGAGTCTTTATCAACAAGATCAAGGCAGTAGCCAACTCTGCCATTATTCTTCGTAGAGATTCGTCAATGCTGATGATCGATCGCCAACAGCAATCCGAATTGATTGACGAGAGACAACGCGACGTCTTCCTTGCCTCATTCTATTCGTCAGAGTGTTTATTTTGATTTCTCGTTTCCTATTTGTCAGAAAACACAGGTTTCAGAAAGCTTTCTATGACTTTGCTTGGCGGAAAGGTTATTGCCAAAGAATATCAACTTTGAGAAGAGTAAACGAGAAGCAAACGAGACGGATTTGGTTTTCAGTGCAGTTGTTTATTTTGCAAAGGGCCCTGAATTGTAGGGCACATATTTCACGCTTGTTCAGGGTATCGTTTTTGAGAGAAGGACCATTTGAGTATTGGCTCATGTTCATGTAAAAGGTCAATGTTATGGATGTTATGAATGTTGCGGTCTCTTGACTCTGGTTGATATTATTGGACGACGATAAACAAGGCTTGGAAGTGGTTTTGTACTAGATGTGCAGGTGTAAGTTTAGGAGAGAAATAAATAACTTTTGTACAGCAATGCTCTATCAGACAGAGTTCGTGTGATGTGCAGCTGTGCAGCTGTGCAATACATATATGTATGTATCATCCAAGTCGAATTATACCCATCAAATAACCAGCGCTAATCCTAGTAAAGTTCCAATCTTGGAATTGGTTCCACAACAGGTTAAAGTACATTCGAACCTTTGGTGGCTGCCCTGGCTCACAAGGCCCTTGTTGCTTTGCTTGAGTGCCTAAACTCTACTTGGACTCAACTCAGCCCAGCCCCAGTCAACGTCATCCTATCCTATCCTGTCCCTCCCATTCTACCTACTAACTTTCCTACTTTACCTTACTTCACTTGTTTGCCGACACCGCCGGCCTGACCACGACCTACTTTTCCCTTTGGCAAGCTGCTTGAACAAGACACCGACGAACGCGACTTGACTAAATGCCATTCGCATCAATTCCTTCATTCTCGTATCACTCCATTAGACCCATGCTTGCCCCTCCCCCGCTAGCAACGACCTGCATTTGAAGCTCTCGTCCGCCAACAGCCCGGAGCTCTTCTCAGGTTCCAGCTTAACCGCGCGAAATAGACTCTGCAAAGAAATCGGTCTGCAGCGACCATCGCGATTCTCTCTGATATCCTTCAAAATGTGGAACGACGAGGATAACAACCCGTACGGAACCAGCTTCGACAGACGGGATTCGCAATCATCATCCATCAACCCGACGTCTCCGTCCACTCGGGAATGTAGGTCTACCAAATTACCACCATACCTTGAATTTAATTATTATCCACGGCACGGATCGGGCCTTGGAAGCTGATAATTTATCTACAGATCAGCGCTTCGAGCCCCCTCAAACACCAACCTCCGACAGCGACAACGAGCACAACCATGGCGTAATTCATGACGACAGCGACGATGATGATGGAGATTTGACACAAGACTCTGGCCCAAAGCGCAAGCCTGGCGGCTACGATAGTCGAATCGAACAAATTCTCTATGAAAACCCCAAACTGTCCATTCTCATCACAGATGCTGGTAAGAGTATAGAGAGTGGCGGCAGGTACATTGTATACACTATCAAGACTGGCGTATGTTTCTTTTGATCTGCTCTTCCTGAGAACCTCACTAATTATACCCAACAGGACCTTGAGGTGCGCCGCCGATACTCCGAGTTCGCCTCGCTGCGCGATGCCCTTACTCGCCTTCACCCTACCCTTATTGTCCCTCCCATCCCTGAGAAGCACACCATGGCTGATTATGCTGCCAACCCAACCAATGCGAAGCAAGATCAACAGATCATTGATTTGCGTAAGCGCATGTTGGCCGTGTTTCTGAACCGTTGTCGCCGGATGGAAGAGATTCGAACAGATGGAGTCTGGTGGCGATTCCTTGACCCGAATGCCAGCTGGGTAGGTTCTTCGTCTCAATGCGCAGTTATCGCTATGTGTCGCTAACAGTAGATTAGAGCGAGGTCCTCCACTCTCATCCCGTGGCCTCAATCCCCAAATCAATCTTGAAGGCGCCTCCACTGAACCCTGCGAACCCAACTCCTGCGCATAATTACTTACCCATCCCGGCTGCGTCGGCAAAGTTGAAGACAGTGGCCGGTACCAATCATGACAACAGCTCAGGTCATATCCAAGCAGGACCCCATGCCTTTGGTCGATTTCCACCTGAAGGACATAATCTCGGCGAACAGGAGCTCGACCCTTACTTCATATCTTACGAATCCTCGATTAAGGATCTTGAGCAACTTTTGACCGGACCCATGGAAAAGGTGAATCGACGAACCCTCAGCCATCTTTCATCATTAGCAGCCGATCTTTGCGAGCTGGGCTCTGTTTATAATGCCTTTGCGGTTTCGGAGCAGGCACCATCACTCGGGCCTGCCATTGAGCGCATAGGCCAGGCGGCTGATCTGTCATATATTGCGACGGAGGAACTATCCGGATCTCTGGGTGCAAGCTTTGCTGAACCGATGCGCGAGCATGCGCAATTTGCAGGTGTTGTCAGGAGCGTGCTTAAGTACCGCGTACTTAAACGTGTACAGCAAGATCTCACTACTGAAGAACTAAGCAAGAAGCGAGCACTTCTCGATCAGTTGGAGCAAAGCGAAGCTGAAGCTCGAAGGATTGAGAACTATCTATCCAGCAGTCAACAAATTTCACCGCCGCCAAAGCGATCGACGAGCCTTAGGGAGCCGCCCTCTCACCAGCGACGAGATGGTAGCCAGGAGGATACCGAATCCATCGATTCTGATTTCCCAGGGACACATGGTGATTTCTCGGCTCATACCCCTTCAGCCAGCCAAGGATTGCCCGAAAGAAGTACCAGTGTGCCCTCTCATAAGAAGATGCCCAGTGGAAACTCGATAACGAACAAGATCTTTGGACCCATTCGTCATGCCGTGCAGGGAGTTGTCGACGTTGATCCAGAGAGAACTCGACGTGATTTGATCGGAAAGACAAGAGAGAGTATCGGTCAACTGGAGCAAGCCCAGGTAGTCTCGGAAAAGGATGTCAAAGAGGCCAGCGCTAGTGTGCTGAAGGACATGAAACGTTTCCAAAAGGATAAGGAAGATGATTTGCGACGGTACATGGTGAGTTGCTGCATGTAACACCGATTGAACATTTGAATGCTAACACTCAGCAGCTTGCGTATGCGCAAAGTCAAATTGAATGGGCAAAAAAGAGCAAGCAGCAATGGGAAGAAGCTCGAGCAGAGGTAGAGAAGATTGATGAGTCCTAAAGCATGCTTCTGTCTTTTGGTTTTCGGTCAATGATTCTTGGTTTGGAGCTTGAAACAGTAGAGGATAAGATCAGTGTGGGGAGCAATGTTCCCATTATAATTCATACAGTTGACTTCATGTCATATCCTTACGACCACTGGGTCCTTTTGAGCAAAAGACCTCTCTTGTCTTGATTGTGATAAACCGATCTCTTGGAATTGAGACCTGGGTTTTTCATTTGTTCACTTCGGTCATTTTTCATAACTCATAGGTTGGGAATGATGCTCGCCGAGACTTGATATAAAAGTGGTTAAGGATAGAGTAGCGTTCATCAAAGCCACAACCTAGAAGGCAGGGTTTAAAAAGCCAGCATGAGGTGAGACGCTGGAGATTATCAAGCCTGACTCTTGAAGAAATGCGTCCTTCATATAGGTCTCATCAACTAAAGCCTATACAATCTAGAGTAATGGGTAGCAAAAAAGCTGACCTTCAAGCTTTGTGTAGGTTACAAAAATAAACAGCCTCAGAAGTATAGTCTAACTAGCATAAATGGTCCTACTAATTTCGTCTCTTATGCTATGGCGGCCAACTTTTCTGGTATCTTAATGACAATTCATCTTTCCTTGACGAATGAAGACAAGATTACCAACTGGATTACAGAATGAAAACTTGACGTTAATTCATCAATAATGACATTTAAACTTTATACGCTCGCAACTTGCAGTTTCGCTTGGTATTCCAGCTGGCTTGATCTGGTCCAATCAGGCAAAACGCAACAGATCAGCATATAACGTACAAACAACAACTTATGACTCTTACCAAGATGCCCAGATACGTTATGGCTCATTGATATATTACATATGATATGGGCTAGCATATGAAAGCAGAGAACATGAATGTTACTGATGAGGAAACCCCAGCGTTTTCTCAGCTCAAAGCACAGGTAAAGCATGTGACGTTGCCTTATCGATAACGTTACTTATAATAAAGACGCTTCCTTGTCGCGACAACATCTTTCATCCGCCTTATGCATACTGGTCCCAGAACTCTTCGCCATGGCGCAACAGGATGGGCCCATCACCTCCATCGCGGAGCCTGGTGTCAAGGCTCAAGGCCAGCTTTTACACGAGATGCGAAGGGAGGTCGCAACCCTTCTAAATAGGTCGCAGACAGGGTTTCCTGGCGCTCAGCCCGTGAGCTTCGCCCGACAGCATCTCGACGAGCTCGCACAGCACGAGTAAGAACAGCCACTGACATTAGACGATCTTGACTAACATTGAATTGCAGCTACTATGTTGTTGAGAAGTCCGATGGTATCAGATACCTTCTTTATTCGACAACCGATGAGAACAGCAACGAGGCGCACTACCTAATCGATCGCAAGAACGACTTTTGGTTCATCACAAACAGAAGCCTTCACTTCCCCCTCGAGACCTCCCCGGAGGCTTTCCACACAAACACGCTGATTGATGGCGAACTGGTTTGGGACACCGGCTCGGACGGGAAGCGCGTCCCCATGTTCCTTGTATTCGATTGCCTGGTGCTAGACAATATTGTTCTTATGGAGCGAACACTCGACAAGCGCCTCGCGTACTTCGATCAGCGATTTTACCGCCCTTACAAGAAGCTGTACCAGGAGTACCCCCAGGAGCTGGAATTCCAGCCCTTCTACGTCGAGATGAAGAAGCCCCAGTTCGCCTACGCCATCGACATGATGTTTAGAGACATTCTACCCAAGCTGAAACACGGAAATGACGGGCTTATTTTCACCTGTCGCACCACGCCCTACAAACACGGCACCGACACTCACATTTTGAAGTGGAAGCCCCCGGAGGAGAACACCATTGACTGCCGTCTGCGCCTGTCCTTCCCGCAGGCTGAACCTACAGAGTCGGAGCGTCGGGAGGGCATCACGGAGCCATTCATCGACTATGACAGCATTCCAAAAGCAGAACTTTATGTGTTCAAAGGGGACAGCGGTCCCGATAAATACGAGTTCTTCAACAATGTACATATCAATGAGGAGGAGTGGGAGACCCTCAAATCTCTCAACGACCCATTAGACTGGCGCATCGTCGAATGCAATATCGACGAACAGGGAAGATGGCGTATTGTTCGTTTTCGTGACGACAAGAATGAGGCAAACCATACCAGCACCACTAAGAGTGTGCTTCAGAGCATTGAAGACAGAGTCTCGGAGAAGGACCTGTACAGAGCAGCAGGTGATATCAAGAACGCGTGGAAGGCTCGGGCCAGCAGGGGTTCTAAGTAGAACAGTTGGTCCACGGGCATGGCGTCTAGAAGGATATTGGTTCTATATCGATCGGGCGAGGCGTTGGAAAAGGCATCAGGAAGAGGATATTTATGTTTCAGTACTGCCGTACCCGGCATTTAGAAGAGCTCAATCCATGACATGTTACTATCAAGGCCACGCAACCGATTGTTTATTCCGATGGAGACATGGTAAACTCCATGGGCTTCGACATGGCCGAATTCATAAACGGACTTCGAGCTCTGATTTCCTTCCACAAGATAAAAACAGCACTTGTTGCCGCCAGTGATGCCAAAGAAGTCAGCCTCCTTAGGATATAAAAGTAAGTAGTCTACGAAGTATAGTCTAAGAAGCACAAACTGGCCTACTAATTTCATCTCTTATGCTCATAGCGCTCAATTTCTGATACCCTGATGTACATCACCAAGATAAAACACGAAATACTCCAACAGGGACAAAGCAAGGCGCGCGTTAACGGAGTAAAATAATCATGCTATGCTATTAAACTTTTATTATCTATACCTAGCACCCAACGTCACCTTATGCATTACCTAGGTATGCAGCACAGCGCAAGCCAAAACCAAATTCACAAACCCCGTCGCTTTGCTTTCCAGTTCTCATGCCAAATCTGTTGCCAGTTCCGACCGATGAAACTCCAAGACGCCAGAGTAATGGCTTAGGGCTCATACTAATGAATCTGAACCCTTCATCCACTTCGCAGGGTTCTCCAAGGTTGTCGCGTTGCGCATTACCTCGCTGGCGGAAATTAAAGGAGAAACATGATAGCAGTAACAAGCATGACAGTGCAGCTGAGGTTGGTGGTTCCGCTGGTGCCACCCCAACCTCGAGGCTCGGGCTTCTTGGTGCCGCCGGAGATAATGACTGGAGTGGGAGTGGGCATGTGAGGCACAATGGGGCTGTTGCCGGTGCTATCAGGCAACAAAGTGTCATTAGCGGTTGGGTAAGGAGGGTAAGGGGACGCGGGGACGAAAACAGTCGTGGTAGAGGTATAAGCATCACCCTCGGTTTCGTAGATCGTCGTGGTGAATGTGCTTTTAGGAGGAACACCGGCGATGGTTGTAGGTTTCAGGTAAGGAAGTGTCAGAATGTATGTAGTGCACGACGTCACAGTGCTTTCCGGCGCAGGGGGGAAGATGTTTGAGACGGTTATGGTTGTGAAGACGCTATCGGTGGGTGCGGCGTCGGTCACTGACTTTGTGACAGTCTCTAGGTTGCCAGTGACGGTGACATCCGGAAGGTTGCTAGTGACCGAGGTGTCGGTTTCGGATTTTGTGACAGTCTCTGGATTTCCAGTGACAACAGCATCTGGAAGACTACTGGTGACCGAGGTGTCAACTTCTGTGGCAGTGACGGTCTCTAGATTGCCAGTGACGGTGACATCCGGAAGGTTGCTAGTGACCGAGGTGTCGGTTTCGGATTTTGTGACAGTCTCTGGATTTCCAGTGACAACAGCATCTGGAAGACCGCTAGTGACCGAAGTATCGATTTCGGTCTCTGTAACCGTTTGGGGCTCTTCAGTGACAGTGACAGGCGTTCCAGGGAGAGCAGCAGAGGTAGCTGCAGGAATTTCGTCAGGGGTGACAGTGATGGTAACAGACTCTGTCATGATAACGGCCTGATCCTCACAGTACTCGGTAGTGTCCTCGAAAGTGGTGGCTGAGACGGAAATGGAGACCTCGGCAGGGGCAGTAACATAGGTAGTGCCAGTGACAGTCTCGAATACAGTCTCGATCTCAAGAGTGGGAGTATGTCTGACCTCATAGATGGTAGACAATGCAGTCTTGGTTCTGTATAGATAGGTAGGTACTAAGTTAGCCGAATCTTCATAATGTTCAGGTGCTGGATACATACGAGATAGGGTATGAGACACCAGCAGGATGACCACGACGGGCCTTGTGATGGGTACCAGCAGCCGGAATAGCGATTGCAGACTCGACAGGGTGATCATCGGAAGGCTCATTACAAGAAAAACCTATTCAGTCAGTTTGTGAAATAAAGGGAAGACCGAGACCTACCAAAGTATCCGCAAATAATGCCAATGGTGACACCGGCGCAGAGGAGGAGCAAGGCAAAGAAAAAGGGGCACTTTCGAGAGCGTGACTCTTTGGCCTCAGGCACCCTGGAGGTGGCCTTGCCCTTCTCAACATCGATCATGGTCGCTGGAGCAGTTGGTGGAGACAAATGTTGGATAACCAGATGGACTATTGTGGCAGTTAGTGAGAGGCTTGCGTTACGCAGATGATCATGAATGCAGTTCATTACGAACGTGCCGCCGTAACGACAGCGGTGAGGAGGTGAAGAGCGGAAGGCGCCCGGCAGAAGTTCAAGCGGGAGAGGAACATACTGATCGCGTGCATGGAATACACGAGCTGGCAAAGAATAACGGTTGCTGATATGAAAAACCCAAGAATGTTAGACGTTGTGATAACGAAGTTTGGTGGAGAAGTTAAGCAGAGAGGAGGCAAAGGTGAGAAGGATGGGAATATAAGTAGGTGATTCAAAGAAATAAACAAATCGGCAGGAGCAGATCGGCCCGGTAATCAGAAAGAAAGAGCCTGTGATTTATTCAGCAGGCAGCGAGGGCCGCCTTGGTAGGGAAAGTCCACTCGTAACTCGGCTCTGTCAGCTGGCAGGCAGTGACAGACCTGATACTGCCAGGTTTACCTTCCCTCGGTTCAAAGGCTTGCCTCCCGAGCATCAAATAATTTATATATCCTTGCGAATGGAGAAGGTAAATTGGATTGGGGACAAATGTTGGTGTCTACTTACAGCGAAATTGATGATAGATACTTTTGTTTTATATCCTCCGTGTTATATCAAACGAGAGTTGGTCGAGTACGGAAGAGAGTAAGCAGTAAGAGCGATGCCAGTTTAAAGAGAGAGGATGCAAAGCATACTAAGTAAGAAGGAGAAGAAGGGAATGGATTGTTCTTTCGCTGGGAGGACCACTCAACTTGTACTCGGAAGGTTGCCATCCAACCCTCGAGCACCGCAGAAAAGTTGACCTTTGAGCTTTAGGATACAAAAATAAATAGCTTAAAAAGTATGGTCTAAGTAGCATAAAGTGACCTACTAATTTCATCTCTTATGCTTCTGCCGGCTGACTTTTTTTGGTATCCTGATGACGGAATACCCCTTTCTCAGGAGTGGGCAACTTGATCACTCCGTCCTTTCCTAGTGAGAAGCAAGAAGGTTGGCCTTTGAGCTTTAGACTACAAAAATAAATAAACCAAGGGTATTAGGCATCAATGCCATAAACAGACTCATTAATTTCGTCTCGTATGCCTTCAGTGGCTAACTTTTCTGGTACCCGGGTGCCTTCCTTCCTACGGCATATCGAGAAAATGATTCGTCGCATGACAGACGACACGGTCAAGCTTGTGCTACGAAGGTGCATCCTCCGTTACTCCAGGCCGAAACCGCTATGGAACTTCCTTGCGCGGAACCACAAAAGGGGGATTCTGTGACAATGTTGCCTCGCGGTGAAATGAAGCAAACATGATCGAGGTCGTACATCAACGGCTACGATGGGACGACTTAAGTATGACAATGTTTTCACGACATATACATGCTGTGTGCGTGTATGCTTCTACAGTTACCATTTTGAGGACCGACTGAGCCAAACATTATAAACGAGATTATGAGTAAATCGACTGGTGAGAGTCCAGTAGCAAAGATAAAATACTCGATGTCCTGGCCCATACCTTCCTCCTATTCACCGTCGCTTGTCTATTGTGTACCAGAAAAATTGGTCTCTGAGCTTTACGGTATAAAATAAATAGCCTAAGAAGCCTGATCTAATTAGCATAAATTGACCTACTAATTTCATCTCTTATACTCCTGGCGGCCAGTTTTTTTGATACCCTGATGCGTACATGTAATTCAGCTTCGTACTATCAGGCTTTAGTACACCAGCCAAGAAACGAGATACGGCACCCGTTACTTAGATAAATAAGGCAATATCATTTCCAAATTCTTTGCGTATCACGGAATTGTGTGCCCTGATGCTTCCCTCGATGAAGTGAATGACAACATTTGCTTAATGTTGGACTTCGTGACGTGATTCCCAGCTTCAGTCAACAATCAGCTCTCTGTCACAGTTTGAAGGAAAGTCGTTGGTTAGGTTTGCAAATCAGTCCGCACAAGACTACAGCGCATCGTAGGTCCGGTCTTTCAAGCAGGCCAAACGTGCTCAAGACAAATGCGCATTTAACATAGAATCGAGAACGAGCTAGATAATCGCATTGGGCATCTGTACTTGTCATGCAAAAATTCATGTTGACCCAAGAATGACGTGTACTATTATTGAAAACAGCCGGTCGTATAGTTACATACTGGACTGCGCGGTTGGAACCAGACTCGACGTTGGTGAGTTTATGCAGCTAGCCGCAAAGAATGAGTGAACCCAGCAGCAGCATACCGGAGGATCTTTTCCTATTGGTAGACGGGAGCTTCCTTGATCTAGCTTAACATGGCTTAAATAATGAAAACTAAACTGCATGGGATTGGTAGCAGTTAGATTTAATGCATGTGCGTTTTGGACGGCAAGCTCTCGTCTTCCTAAAGTGGAGTGGAGAGCCAGAGCCCAAAGTAAGGTCGCGTCGCGCACACGGCCACGGAACACGCCTCCGCTTATCGAGCTTCTCCATCTCCCACTTTCACCAACTTTCATCTTGAACAGCGGGACAGAGACAGGGACTCTACTTGTCTCTACGACGCGCAATCTTATCACACTCATACCGTTGCATTAGCGGTTGCTCAACTGAGCCGAGGCGATTGTTGTCACCACCCAGCATTTACTACATCCTGTAAGCGCATTCGATTCCGTGTTAGTACTATTGCGCACCACGAATTCTCGTATTCCAACACGACCCAAAACTGCAACATCAACAATCTATATCGACACGTAATTCTGAAAACCCGTCCCAGGACCTCTTCCTTGCTTGGCCCTTCACCATAATTGAACATCGGATTTTGCATAGCGCATAATGGCGCGACGTCGCGCGCGTAACGAGAAGCCCGCCGAGGTGGTGGAGGAAGAAGAAGAGGTTGTGGAACAGGACGAGCAGGAAGAACCAGAACAACAAGAGCAGCCCGAGGAGCAGAACCAAGCTTCGGAAAATGAAGAGGAAGGCGAGCAACGCAGCCTGGAATTCGATGAGGAACTTTCCTGGAGACCCGCCAAACCAATTCCCACTGGCACATTGATAAAGCGACTCGATAAATTATCCAAGGAGCTATCAGAGCTTGATCAAGGCGCTACCGATCTTGACTCCCTCACAAATGTTGCCAAGCAGTTGGGGCATCGCAACTTGCTTCAGCACAAGGACCGCGGAGTCAAGGCATACACAGCATGCTGTCTAGTCGATATTCTGCGGCTCTGTGTCCCTGATGCACCCTTCTCTGACGATCAACTCAAAGTGCGTTTAGCATAACCCTTTCATTTACGTTTCTGAAAATGCTAACATGCACTAGATGATGTTCACTCTGTTCATTAAAGATATTCTACCCGCTCTTCATAACCCTACGAACCCATATGACAGCCAGCATAAATACGTTCTTACATCTCTGACAGAAGTCAAGAGTATTTTGCTTCTCCATGAAATATCTGGGGCCGATGAACTCCTTGTGCGACTCTTCAATAACACGTTTGACGGCGTAGAGACATCAGGCTCTAAAGCAGCTACTGAGGAGCAGGTTGCCAAAGATGTCGAGCTTCATCTGACAGAGATGCTGATGCAATTGATCGACGAATCCGGCGGCGTATCACCACAGGTTGTTGATGCCATCATCAGCCAATTTTTGAGGGCTGCTCCTCCAGGAGGCAATCGCAACAAGGGACAGAATGGAAACCAGTCCACGCTTCTTCTCAAGGCTGAGCCCCCAGCCTATGTAATGGCAAAGAATATTTGTAACGGATGTTCTGACAAGATGGCACGTTACGTGAGCCAGTACTTCAGCGACGTTATTTTCAATGCCTCAGGATTTGCAACCAAAGCAAATGGTCATCGACCAACTGATGATTCTGACGATGAAGACGCCACTGCAGGTCCGTCTGATGCAGACCTCAAGAGTCTCCGTCAAGCCCATTTACTCATTCGCGAGTTATGGCGAGCCGCACCTGCGGTTCTTCTCAACGTGATACCACAAGTCGAGGCCGAACTTTCCGCCGATAATGTCCATCTGCGCCAGATTGCTACAGAGACAATCGGTGACATGATTTCGGGTATCGGTGCAGCAGGACCTCCGCCTCGCCCTACTCTTGACCCATTGGCGTATCCTCCGTTGAAACTGCTGGATGAGGTCCCTGCTCCGGCCGTCGAAAATGTCTTGACAAAACCTTATTCGCCTCAGTCTTTTGCCCAAACGCATCACGCTGCCTACCGCAACTTTGTTGGAAGGAGAAACGACAAAACAGGCACCATCCGCACCGCTTGGGTCACAGCTGCTGGCTACATATTGGCCACGTCTGCGGGAGGTATTGGGCTGAGCCGTGAGGAAGAGAACGAGCTCATCAAGGCTCTCGGTGACAAATTGAACGATAGCGAAGAGAAGGTCCGACTGGCTGCAGTACAAGCGATTGAGCTGTTCGATTTCCGTGATATCGTTCTGAAACTAGGAGCCCTTGGTGGTGTCGACAAGCCCGGCTCAATATTCGCCAGCTTGGCAGATCGAAGTCGCGATCGAAAGCCTGCTGTGCGCGTTGATGCCATGGTTCTCTTGGGCAAGCTTTGGGCGGTCGGTGCCGGTGAGATTGCCGATGAGCAAGAAGCTGTTACGTCTTGTCTCGGCGGAATACCCTCACGTATCATCAACGCATTTTACGTCAACGATTCGGACCTCAATGTTCTCTTGGATCGTGTCATGTTTGAGTGTCTGGTTCCTTTGAAGTACCCAGCCATCAAAGGTGCGAAATCAAAGTCCACCTCTCAGTCTCAGAGTGCCAGCAATCAGGCGGAGCAGGATAAGATTCGTTCAGAGAGGATCCTGTTGATGCTAAAATCTCTAAATCCTTCAGCCAAAACAGCTTTTTTCAATATGCAGGCTCGTCAGCCACAAGTCGCCAAGGGCGTGGAGATCTTTCTTCAGCATTGTGAGGCCTACAACGGCGGCGTCATTGACTCCAACGAGGAGAAAATCAAGGCTGCCTTGGGAAGGAATTTCCAGTGGTTCGGCACATTCTTCCCTGATCCGCTTAAGGTCCGCAGTGATCTACAGAAGTTTGCGAGAATCAATGATCGCCGTTGGTACCAGCTCATTAGGTACTGTATAAATACCGAAACCGAGTATATGAACGTCAGACGAGCAATTCACGAGCTGGTGACCAAGGTTCAGGCAAAGC